TCTGTCTTGTCGAAGCGGCCCGAGCGGCTTCCCCCACCACGCCCGCCGCCGCACACCCACCGCGCTCCTCCCCTCCCCTCCCCTCCCCTACCGTCCCAAGCTGGAGACGTGCCGCGGATTCTGGATATACCCTACCGTGCATAAACGGGCTCGGACTTGCTTCGCCTCGCTTCGACTCGAGTCTTCTTGCCCCCTACGACCACCGACGGCTCACTTTGGCGCCAGTTTTCGACCCTTTCGAACCAGGATTTTTTTACCCTCGTGCATCCCTCGAGGTCTTTTACCCATCTTATGGGTAACTAATTGTTAACCGTAGGGAGTCCCACGCTTGGAGAGGTAATTCATCGAGATGAGATATTATTTAACTCGAAGGATGATTGTTTCATCCGGTGGGACGTTGCGTACGATTTGTTCACGCGCAGGCGCGTGGACAAGGGGTTAGGTTAGTTCCCGTTGTTTTTTTTTAATCTGGGAGAAGGAAATGTTCATAATGGGAGTAAGGGAATTTTATCGGAGGTCCTGGGATCACGGAAGACGTGATCTTTGCCTAAACAATTGATACGACTAGACCAAGACTGTATATGGGAAGAGTGGAAAGGGCAAGTGGCTCTTATTCGGAATATGAAACTGTATATAGGAGAGAAATATGTTTGTTTCTCCTATATATGTTAGGTGTATCGAGTTGTTTGTTGTAGATGATCGTAGATATTCGTAGACTACCGATAGACCCGCCCTAGATGTTCATGTTTACCTAGACTCAAGACAATTTCCCGTGATAACCTAGAAAAATAGGGAGAAATTAGGTGGCGGCAAATTGACTCGGTGAAATGCCTCCTTAGTCCCGCCTTGAGTAATAGGTCACATATCTCGATACTTTTATTTAAATTTTATCGACGACCCACTTGGGATTTCCCCTCTCAAGCCGATTTCACCCTTCCCCTGTTCCACGTGTAATAAATATACGCCTATAAATTTAGACTTTAACCGTGCAATTAATATCTATTTTAATTTCCCGTGTAATAAGACCGCGATACTCATAATCGTAAGGATTTAATGTCCGACGTCTTCTAAGAGTCTGAGGGTAATTAAGGGCGATATATACCAGATATGTACACGACTTCATTTGCCTTTGTTGTCCGCCGACGTGTGTATGGCACGCTTTAGTACGTTCAATTACTATTATTCGGAGGAGAGGGGTAATTATTTAGACATTTCTTATTTTAACGCACAATCAGCCAAAGGATTTCATGTGAGGACGTTTCCCAGACACCTCGTAAATTTTCGAAAAACTCTCTTGAAAGTCTTCGGAGGGAGAATGGGGAATTGACTCCACGACCTCGAGCTCTTTCAAACTCGAACGTGGAATGTCTCTTTCTCTTTCTCTCTCGCTCTTCCCACTCGGGTCTCTCCTCGAGAGATCGACACCTCGGCACTTAAATTAGGAAAAGTACTGGCAAAATGCTCGATAAATTACCGAGTGTCCAGTTTTAGTGTTATGTCCTTCTCCGGCAAAGATTTACATGTCAATGTGGCATCAATTACGAAATAACTTAATGAGCCATTGTATCCAGGGATGGTTTCTCAGTTACTTTGTACTATATTAGTAATTACTTATTCATACTTTCATACGATTTATTTAATACTTTGTTCATATTCACCCTCGCGTATCTGTAGTTCCCGCCGAAATAGTGACATTTTCCTCCCTAGCGTCCCCTCCGTTAAACAGGAATTAACTAGCAAAAAAGGAAGGTGCGTGTAAAAAGTACCATTCACTCCCGCGTGTCGTAAGAGGTCAGAGAAAGTATTGGCCCGACAAATACGGTGCCTTAACTACTTCTGCGAGGACCGTGTCGTTCACTTTTGTTTCTCTATTACAACTATTAACCAAAGAAACCCAGTGGCAAAAAAGAAGGAGAGTAGATCCGAGTAAACAATCTTAGAAAGTGGCGGCTTAACAAACGCAGCGGTTTTTCATGCCTAACGCCCACCTTAACCGACACAAGAAATTGGAAACAATAAATCACTTACCGGGCAAAAAGATGCATTTCTTTCCCCGTCATTAACCATTAATCCTGGAAAGTCGATAGGACAAATGAATTACCTGAGGGAATACACCCTCGTTATTAACAATGAGGGCCACGCGAGTTTAATTGTCCCGAGTTTTGCAGACCAGTCGATGGGTGGAAAATCGGCGCGCATAATCGATTGAAACGCGGACGTTCAATAAATAAAGAAAATGCAAGGCCGACGTACATCCACCGGGCTGATAATGCGTATGTAAATTAACTCGGTAAAGGGCAACCTCTGTTCGGGCGTGAAGAATCGGCGTTCGTCACGTCAGCTATTCGCTATCTCCTAACGACGCGTCAAATTTCAACGCAGGCCCATTCTAATTTCTAGGCAAAGCGTCGTAGACGATGAATTCTCGTATGTCAAAGTAATACGCAAAGCGGGGCCTAATCGTAAGGGGAAATTGAATTTTAACGGGCGCCTGACGGTAGATCATCGTAAGTGCACCCGAGTTGCATTGTCCGCGATCCTCAGGAGTCAACCTTAGCGCTTCACCCTTGGCCCAGTGATTTATCGTGAAACTTCGACGGAAGTGATTTATGATTAAGCGAAAAGAAACCGAGAAGAGAGGAGAATCGATCGGGCCGGGCCCTTAAAGTGTCCAACGGGAGCTAGACCCTTTTTCGGCCTTGCAGGGAACGACCTAATCCTCCTGGGGTCCTCGTGTACAGAGGCGGACGCGAATGCCTCCCCTGCAGATACGGCATCGCCTGTGCAGGTTGGGAGGGCATCGATGTCTCCCAGTGTACGTCTACAAGGATGCTGGCTAGGATCTAGCTAAGATGCAGACATATAAATTTAGGGACGACATTGGAAAGGAACAGTTTTTTACGTAGGACCTCGCAGGATAACTTGGATTGGAATAATGAAAATAGAATTCAATGGTTACTGTGTGCAGAAAATCTGCAAAACCGGTGGATAAGATCTAGCTAGGATGCAAACGTGAAAATGTAGGGAGCACGTTGGAAGTGATACTTTTTTTTGTAGGACTTATCAGGAACAGCAAGATCTAAGAACTAAACTTGGATTGGAATAACGAAAATAAAATTCAATGGACACCGTTTATAATTTTATAGTAAACTTTCCACATGGGTCCTCTTCTGGGTCGGCTGACGCGGGGAAAAGGATTCGTCATATGTGTTCTTTATTTTTTTTTCTCTCTTAAAACGGAACAAATACTCTCCTGGTCGACTCGCGTGGGCGTGCAGAAGATCCGCCACACCAACGCCTTGTCAATCTTTCCTCTATTTTGCGCCATTCAGAAAATCCGTCCTTCCTTGAAACGTCACGTAATTCACTCGGGGGTCCGCGTCGGCGAGCACGTTTGTACAGCAAAATGCCTCCGTAACGCACTTTTCGAGTAAGGAGAGTATGTAATAATGGACATTTCAGGATGCCTTTAAGTGGCCCCTGCAGACGACGTTCATGTCCGGAGAACGATAAACATCCTGACGGGCAGGGCAACTCCTGAGCGAGATCCTTTAATGCAGGCTAAGCAGGATGCGATGGACATTTCGAAGAAAATGGGCATTCGGCTCGCGTTGGGTTTACAAAGTTAATGATTTATTATTTATGGATGTCATAAACGGGGGAAGCGGCCTTGAGGAATTGGTTCAACGCCACTTCTCCGGTTGGGAAGTTCCCCGTCTCTCGGCGATCAATTACGGCGAATGATGTCAATCTTGAAAATTAGAGAGCAGTTTCTTTTTTTCCCCACTAATTATCGTAGCAGAACATTAGTAGGATTAATTGGAAAATCCAATATACTAAGGTGATCATTTTATCCCTTGGAGCATTTATCCAGAGAGAATAATTTAAAAATTCAAGGGCATTTGTTATTGCACAAGTTAAGGAATACATTCCAAGGAAGACGAAAACCGATAAAACTCGATTAATGAAACTTTTAGGAAGTTCCCCGAGAAATGGCAGAATAAATCCGAAAATGCTCTACTTTCGGGCACGACGAATTCCCGGAGGTGAACTCTATATTACGGACTGACTGCTCGCAAATCTTCCCAAGAGACCCCGGGACGCGTTTGTAAAAATTTCTCCCGTAAGACGTAAGCATTACACGCGTTTCCACTCTGGTACATAGAAGTGTACCCCCTATATATAGCCGAAGATAAATATATAATCTGGCAGCCTCCCAATGGAGCACATTGGCGGTGCTCACTAGGGACTTAATAGTGGCCACGTCGGTGCAGCTGCCGAAGTTCTCCCGGCGTCCAAGAGAGAGGCTAAGACCCGAGAAATAAGCGAAAAAGGAGAAGGATTTGATAAAAAGGAAAGACTTGCCGAAGGGAAAACGAGAAACGAGAAAGGAGGAATGCGTCTAGGAAATAGCCGAGCCTCGAGGAGTCCTCGAAGAGCTTCTCGATCCGTCTTTAGTGCGTTTCGTGGCCCTCGATACGATAAGATGTGGCTTTCGGTATTAAGGTGAAGTGAGAACAAGTCGAGGAACTCTATCGACGTCGGTAAAGAAGATTCTTCTAAATACCTTGGTTTTTATAACGACAGCTGTGTGGAACTATATTGGACACTCCACCTCTCGTTTTCCTACGATAATTATAAAAAGGTCCTAGTAAAACTCCATAAATCCCCTGGATTCGTGGTTTTTGAGGCCCTAATTCACTGGGGAGGGATTCAGTCGAGTTGGAATAAATTTTTTAGCGGCTTTTCTATTAGCTTAACGATCTTCCCGGCGCTGGTGGACGTCGTTTCCCCAGGTCGGGCAAGTCAATGCTGCCAACCGGAGTAAGTCGCCCCCTTAAAACCCCAGCAGTGGATAAATATAATCACGTCGATCGCTGCATTTGGGTTAGCGACCCGCGGGCCGGTTCGTCGTAAGAATAAGATTATTACGTAACCCCGGACTCGAAGAAACTCCGGACGAGTTCCTCGGCGCGAATTGCTCGGCTTCGAGGCGTCGCGACGCCTCTCCGTCGACTCGCTAAATCGTCGACGGTGTTCCCCTCGAGACGGGAAAGGCGGTCGGACAGTTAACGATATCGCCCATAGAGAAATTCAGAAAACTCCCCGACGCATCAAGTGAATCGAAGAAAAATCCCGGAAAAAGGAAACTCGAAGACTAAGGCCTCCGCGAATTTCCTGATAAGTCTTCCGAACGGACTTTCAAAGACTATGATAGTGGATTATTGGGGACTCTCGTGTTCTCGAGTTTCGGAAAAAGTGTGGGATCCTGAAAGACCAGGAAAAGCAACGGGCAAACTCGATCTTAGACACGTCTAGAAGGTATTCGGAAGATCTTGGGAACCGGAAGTGTTAGATTGACGTCCCTTTTCGCTGAAGATCGAGTAAAAGTGGAGTGACTTCGAGTGGTTATCAGTTTCCGAGCTCGTCGTTGTTAGCGAAATTAACGTCGATTTAGAGCGTCGAAATCGGCTGGATTGAAAGTCGGGCAAAAAGTCGGAAATAACAGACGAGGAAGAAGAGAAGAAAGGAGGAAAAACACGTCTAGAAGATATTCGGAAGATCCTGGGAACCGGAAGTGTTAAATTGACGTCGCTTTTTGCTTAAGACCGAGTAAGAGTGGAGTGACTTCGAGTGGTTATCAATTTCCGAGCTCGTCGTTGTTAACGAAATTAACGTCGATTTAGAGCGTGGATTGAAAGTCGGGCAAAAACGCGGAAATAAAAGACGAGGAAGAAGAGAAGAAAGGAGGGAAATCTTGAGAATCGCAGTGTTTCGAGAATTCCTTAAAGACATTGAAAGGACAATTCCCGATATAGAGAAGCTACAAAATGTCCTACGTGCAGGATTACGAGGACCAGAGATGTCCAAAGAGAAGATCCACGTGGGATCGATCCTAGATCCGAGAAAATCGCCGCCTCCGCTTCCGCGATGACGCACGTTAAGATTTTTCCGACATTTCGCGACATACACTCACAAGTTATTTACTGCAAATAACGCTTCAAGGATTTCCCAAAAGGGTGGCATAAATCAAAAATTTCTTTTTTTCCCCGGAAGATAATGCGTGCCTTTTTTTTCCAAACTCGGATACGCTGGCTCCTGAAGAGCGTTTTAAGTATTAGGCTAATAGATCTCGAAATAGATCAAGCGAAGGTAATCGGAAATATCCCGCCAGCTCTGAAGGAACTTAACGAATCGCGTTAATTCGCTCGCGTCTCGTTTTTTACATTCGTCCGCGCTGCTTTTTTTATCGACTGCTTTCCCACGTTTTCTTCGTGATTCCCTTTTTCCTGCTTCTTTTTTTTTTTTCTTCCCGTTTTAATGAAGATGAAGAGCACTATCTCGCTCGTTTTGGGGTCGAGCGGATTTTTCTGAGGACCTCGCCAGAGAGAATAGTCGAAGACAATGCATCACATGTATCCAACTTCCAAGGGGGACCCTTTGTGTCCTCTTGGCTTCCATCCTCAGGTGCGATGGCCCACAAGGTGTAAACGCTGCTTCAGGTATTCTTATGGACAAATGAGTTGACTTTTAACAAAACGATTTAAATATCCGACATGAAACTCCTCACCGCACGGTACACCCTTCCCTCAATTTACGCGGCACTTTTTACCCGTCTCTTTTTACACGGTTAATTGTAACGCAATTAACGCGCCACTTATTTTGCTCCTCGATATGCTCCCGAATTTCGTTCCTCACTTATCTAAAATGAGGTACTTAATACTCACTTATTTAGATTAGTCGATTAAAATCGATTGCCTTGAATTCAGAGCAGTCTAAAATGTTTACACTTACGCCTTATTACATAGAATGTCTATGTACCCAACAGGGACTACAAAGAGCACGTGGGAAGAAAAGGAAGCTTGAAAGACACCACCGCTTCTTCACCGAGTCTTTCGCCATGGGAACCGTCATCAGGAAAGTGAGTATCCTTCCGACATGACAATGTAGACACTTAGAAATTAATTACAATTAAAACCATCGGCCCCGTTCCGCAGACGAACGTCTTTTCGGTTTTCTCCAAAATCATTAATAGGAAATATTAATCGTTTATTCAATTTCATATATTCTAAACGTCTCAATAGTTCCTTAAAGGAATTCTTAACATTACTCTTTGCCTTTGACAAGAAACATGTAAATGAAATTGCAGTCTTCGCAATTGAAGGTATATTAATTGGACCTCTTGTACTTGGAATAATCTCATTGAAACGTCTAGATTGAAATTTATTTCTGAAATAATTCGTCATTTCAATAAATTATAAAAAATCCGATTAAATTGTATTGGGGAACCGGGCCTTGCTTGGTTATGTTCTGATGATTGTCGTTATTTTAATGTGTCATTATTTAACAATGTCACGATTATTAGAGCTGCCGAAGTGACGGACAAGAGGACCTGGGCGTCTACTTCGAATTTGTCAAAAGATGACGGGAAATTCCTCCCGAAACCCGAATCTTCGATCGGATGGACTTCCGTTCAAGATTTGCCTTCCGCGGAAAACGAGGATTTCGTTAAACCGGATGTCAGCAGGACTGTCACTGTCAAATCGAAAAACTACCTGGGTTCGCAATCTGACAGTTTCGACATTCGACGACACTCGTCGGATGAGACGACCCTCGATCATCCCCAAAAATTGCAAATCAAAGGCGTCATTGACAAAAGCAAAGGAACGTCATCGGAAAATGACGTGGAATTCATTATCCAAGTTAGTGGAATAATTGACCGATAAACAATAAGTAGGGAAACACACGTTTAGGTAGACCGAACATCTATGATACGTACAGGGAATTCCCAAAATTCATTTCGCCACACAAAGCAGTTAATGCAACAAAAGCTTGCCCTATGTGTAGATACTATGGGCATTGGGGATGATTCAAACAGTAAATAATGAATTTTTTCATGTAGGCAGTAATACTTAATTTTAAATAATCGTTTCATTGTTACTCTTCCATGTCGATTAGGTGAAAAAATCCCGATCCAAGGAACCTAACAAGTCACCGAATCCTCCGAAGGAAGGAACCGACGAAAGCGTCTCCACGAAGGAAGGAAAAGGAGGAAAAACGGAAAAGGTCAAGTTACTTAGGTTTCTTCCGCGAGATAATCGGGGAATTAAGTCGGTAGATTTATTCATTTAGGTAATGATATCTCTGCAGAATGAAATCGAGAAGTTGAAGGCGCAACTGAACGACATGAAGGCGAGATGCGAGAAGGTGGAGAAGGAGAAAAGTGACATTTTACTGAGGCGATTGGCGACAATGGACAGCGTCTCCAACAAGTCTGGCAGCGAAGTGTCGAAACTTCAGAAATCCCTGAAAGAAGTTCAATTAAAGAACGATGGTAAGGACCTGAGATAAGAGCAAAAGTGGCTCCTGGATTCGCTTGGAATCGATCAATCGAATAATTGCCATTCAATTTTCTATTTAACCCCCATGGGAATAAAAATATTTATCAAAAGTTATTCTTATCCTTTATGCAGATCATTTTATAAGGGATGGTTTTGCAAGTCCAAGGGACGATGGTCTTCTAATCGCAAGCTCTATTTCAGCTCTCGTCGATGAAAAGTCTCATCTGTCCTCCAAAGTGAAGAGTCTGGAAAAGGAGCTTAACTCGAAACCTTACAGAAACGACAAAGACAAGACAAACGAAGACTTAAGGTCGAAGTTGAAAGCGGCCGAGACACTTTGCGAGACTCTAATGGACGAAAACGAAGATATGAAGAGAGAAATAAGGGACCTGGAAGAGGAGATATACGAGATGCAGGATAACTTTAGGTGACTATATTTTCGGGAAAGGAGACTTCGGGCATGTTAAGAGAGACATTTTCCTTTTTTCTTTCCTTTAAAATCCTTCAAACTAACCGGGACGCAGATCGTTGTTAGATACGCTCCCTTGCAACGAATTTGTTTACAAGATTTGCGGAAAAGTAACAGGCTAAAAGAATGGTCTGCTCAAGATATTCATTATGATTCAGATAAATGTGCTGCATACATGTCGGATATATATAAATGAGGAAATTAAATCAATTTAATTATACAAGCGGGGGACTCTATATATTTTATTAAATAAATGTTTCTTTGTTCTTGGGATTTTCCAATATTAATTTATGATCCAAGTGTACTTAAGATTAATTCGGTATCTGTTTTTCTGCATTATCAGGGAGGAACAAGCTGACGAATACACGACTCTCAGGAAGAATTTGGAACAATCGAACAAGAACTGCCGAATTCTCTCGTTTAAATTGAGAAAGATCGAACGGAAGGCTGAACAACTCGAAGTAGAGAAACTGGACGCGGAAAAGAGATATCAGGAGGTGAGATAAAGGATTTCAATTCCGCGTAAACGTTATTTAATTGGATATGAAAGTGGCATCGGAAGAGTCGGTCATTCATGGAACTTTTCTCCAAATTGGATCTACCGAATCATTTGAAACTTTACAACATTTGAAACTTTCACGAGCTCTTTAAACTGATTACACGCAGATGAAGAAGGTCGAGGATGTCCTAAAGAAGTTGGGAAACGAGTACAAAAACAGATCGCAGAAGAAGACGACGGACTTCACGACGAAAATTCAACTTCGCAAAATGGTAGACGACATGGAGAAGGAAATGGGTAAAAGTCTGGAATTTCTCGCGTAACAGAGGATCCACTGACAAGAGGAAATGTCATTGAACCGAAGAAATATTTCGTTAATTCGAAGGATAATGATTAGACTCAAAGAAATTGTCAGGATGTTTCTTTGACCCTATTCCAAGGAATATTTCTTTCGCTCAATGGCATCTCTTTCGCGGGGTAGAATCCACTTGGAATAATTAAATGTCGATCCTAGGTGACGTTATCGGCATTTTTGCGAAAATCATCGAGGGGAAGGACGTCGACGTGTCGAAGCTGAAGCACGAGGATAACACAAAATACGAGAAGCTTTCTAAGGAGCACGAATTGTTGAAACAGAAACTGGATAAGACTTTGAAGGAGTTGGCTAGCGAAAAAGAGACGAAAAAGTCCGAGGCCGGTAAGACCGTTGACGACAATAAGAACACGGATTTACAAGGATGTAAGAACCATAATATAATAATTTTCTACACACTGGGGGGAAAGAAATTAATCCAACGAAATGAATTCCAGTGAAAAAGAAACTGGAAGAGGCAGTCACTTCGAAAGAGGAGTACCGAAAATCCTGGGAGGCGGAAAAGGCGAAACTTCAGGAAGAGAAGGAGAAGCTGAAGTCGAAATTGTTGTCCCTTTCGGCGGAAAAATTGAAACTGTACAACGAAGTCGTTCAATTGAAGAAGGACTTGGGTACGTGAACCTTTTTCAATGTCCTGCACAGATAACAATGCCCATGTAAATTTACATACTCGATCAGTGGTAATTTTTATCCCACGATAAATGGCGAGAAAATTGTCAGGGTGGAAAGCAGCATCTTGTAATTAATATTCATCACGTTGAAACGTTATTTTCCCAGAGGTAGCTACGTCATCGGAGGTGGAAAATGCTAGAATGGAAGGATTGCTGAATGACCTGAAGAAAGAATTATCCCTGGAGAAAGAAAAGACGAAGAACCTGCAAAATGAGCTTACTTCATATACAGAGAAGGAGAGCAGGATGACGAAGACTCTTGCTTCTGTAAGATATACATTTACAATATTTAATTATACCTTGTACCCCTGGCAAAAATCGCAATGCCTAAAAACAAAAAGAAGACAAAAGACACATATTGTTATCAGATATGCACAACTTTGACATTTAGGCGTCGCAGAGTCTCTCTTGAGCAGTATATCAATATCATCAATTAATAATTATATGGCTTATCAATATATTATCAATTTTTATTTCTCATTTCCCTGGAAATATCAGGCGGAACAGGCGAAGGCGCAAACGGACGCAGAGTTGAAACGAACGAAACAGGAATTGGAGATCTTGAAGAATTCAACGAGCATGAAAATATCGGAGATTACTGGTGAACTGGTGGAGGCGAAAAAGGAGAAGGAGAAGATTAAACTGCAAGCACAGAAGGACGTACAATCGAAGGAATCCGAGCTAGCTACCCTGAAGAAGAAGGTCCTCACCCTGGAGAAAGCTGGGGCGAACACGAAGAAGATGAACGAGCTTAAGGAAACCTACAACGAAAGAATCATGAGTACGTCTTTGATGGTCTCGATCGTTCTCTTATTTCGTGGATTGAGGAATTATGCAGTGACCAAGGCCAGAATAATAATGGATATTTACGCACCGAATTGCTTCCTAGATCTTGAGAATGAAGTTAAAAAGGGCTTGAAGGACTACGAGGAGCTTAACGCGAAGCACGGAAAATTGCTCGACAATAAGACGCAAATCGAAACCGAGAACCAAATTCTTAACAGGTACCCCGCGAGTCTTTTTCTTTTTTTTTTTTATCAGATTAACGTTGAGTCTTTGCTAATGTCAGAACATGAGAATTCCCTTGATTACCTGATGGATTAATTGCAGTAAGCTGTTGGCTCTTAAACATGATTTGGGCAGCTCCGATAACGAGCTGAAAGCTCTCCAGGACACGCTTAAGTCGAAGGAGAGAGAATGGCAGACGGAGAAAACGATGCTGGAGGTGAATTTCATTCTTCTACCTGTATTACTTACATTCTGAGTTACAGAAATTTTTGTTAATTGTTTAAACAGGAGATAACGCAGGGAAAAACCTCCAGTTCGGCGTTGGACGAGGCCAAAGATGAGATCGGCAGGTTGAAGAGGGAAAATCGCTCCCTCGTGGAACAAATGGAAAACGTAAAGAAAACCGTGAGTATGAATTATCTCCTTACCGTTCAAACCTTACCTTCAGACATTGAACGTTAAAATTTAAGGGATTAATTTATAAGACCCCAACAATCCTTCCTAATTAACCCTAGAACTCCCAATAGGTACATTTTCGAATATCTTCCATTGTTAATGAGTAAACCCGGATATCAGACTTTTGTTATATCTACTTTTATTTATTATACTTTCCTTATCTAATTATATCAATACGTGGGTTCGCGATGCACAACTTTCCGAGACACGTGTTTTCAGAACGACGACCTCATCAGCAAGTTAAAAGACTTCAACACCGTGACGAAGATTCAGAGAAACTTGTCAGCTGATAGCTCGGCTCTCGAGTCGGAGCTTCGAAAGGCGAAAAATGCTTTGGCTAATGTCGAAAAGGCGAAAAAAGCCGACGTGGCCCAGTGCAAGCTCCGTTACGAGCATCGAATCACAGCCCTGAACGAGGAAATGAAATCGATCCAGAATCAGCTCTCCAGGTACAAACGAGAGCGAGATACATATAAGCACATGTTGGAAGGTGCTCAGAAAACAATCGCCAGTCTCAAAGTAGCCAGACAACGCAGACAATCGAACACATCTACTGGGAAATCCGACGAGGTAAGAATAACCCTTTGAAATAATCTCTGGATTAGATACTACTATGATTTTTTTTTTTTTCCAGGATGAAGAATTAGCAACGACTAACGTCTCTATCCTGGAGAAGCAGATCAGCTGCATGGAAGACGAGCTTTCCGAAAGTCGGCTCGAAGCTTCGAAGCTCAAGACGGAATTGGTCTCGGAAAAGTCAGCTATGCAAGTTAAGCTCTCGGAAATGCAATCGCGCGTTAACGAGGTGAATTTCAGACATAGTTTCTAATATATATTTTGCGCAATTATTAATCCTTAATAAACTGAACACTTTAGCTGGAGGAGGAACGAATGCTGGCGAGCGGCAGGACGAAAATTCCTGGCCTGAAAGTTCGCATGGAGCTTGCATGGCAAAAAGAACGAGAGGAGCAACAAAGATTGCTGCAAGAAACGGCCACCCTTGCCAGAGATTTGCGACGAACTTTGTTTGAGGTATGGCCCATTGATTTGCATATAATCTCCGAATAATCCGAGTTCACAACCTCTGGGAACATTTCAGATGGAGAGGGAAAGGGACATGGAACGGCTCGAGACGAAGAGGAAACAAGACCAAATGAAGAAGCTCTTCGATGAGGAGAAAGAAGAAAGTAAAAAGAAATTAACAGAGGTAAGTAAGATTGATATCGCGTAGACCGGATCCACCCGAGTAAAGCGTACTCGTATCACTTGAGTATTCAAAATGACCTTATCACCAAAAAGGATATATACGAGTCTTAATATATCGACCTAGATTAATATTAAAAAACCGCTTAAATTACGAAACATATCCTGCGAACCGTGATACGTTAAATGTGATTCATTCGACAATGAGATAAGCGCGCTCCAAATTCTAATTCAATTCGGCGCACTATGGCGGAGTGACGGAAATTTGCATGGATTACACGCACCGAGGGTAATTACCCTGTCGGAGGCAGTCGATCGGACAATCACTCGCAATTAAATAACGTAATCTCCATTGCAGCTGCAATGCGACTTGCTCGAGTTGCGAGACGCCTACGCAAAGCTGCGAATGAGCAACGAGAAAATGAGGAGGGAAAAGGAGCGCCACGAACGAGAGCGAGAGGATCTCCGTGAAATAATCGCCAGCAAGAGACGTAACGAGCAAAACGAAGCGAGAAATGTTAACGTACTTTTGCAACAGGTCGACGACCTGATGAGACTCTTTCCGGAGCTGGGGAATAAGACCGAAAGCAAACCGGAGGCACCATTTACGCCGACGCCCCCCAGGAGGCTGAAGGTAAGGACGAGTCATGTATCTATATTTTCTATCCAATTTTCCAAATAAGATAAAAAAGTCGTAGTGTCGATAGCAAACGTGGGAAATGTTTAAATAGGTCGTAATAATTTTCTGTGGCGTATTTCTTGCCGTTCACTGGTGACCAGCGTGCCGGTCAACGTGTTGAATAATATTTTATAACAAGACTTTATATTCTGATAATTGAAAATGTCACGATACCGATGGTACCAGAGGTTTTCTGCTTCTCAAGTTGTATTAATTGCACGTGGGTTTTTTGTCATTGACAAGGGTCTTTTTTCATCTTTTCCGCAGGGACCAAAATCGAGGGAGTCTTCGCCCATGCTGGAGTCAAAGGAGGATCCGAAGAGTAAGGACCTTTTATGAATTAAAGTTCAAGTGTTTCGTTAGGGAGGTAATGTCAACAATTTACAGACACAGCTGCCAACCTGGGTGGTAGAACGGAGAAGTTGGAGTACACTATCGGGAAGTTAATGGAAGTGGCGAGAGAACTTCAAGATTCGAAGAGGGCCATCGACGACACCACCGCGACAAGGGCGAAGAAATTCGGCAAACGGTGAGGGAAGATTAAAGGGAAGTATTGAGAATAACTCAACCGATAAGTCCATATCCTTTTCGCAGCTCCGCGTCCACAGATGATGACAGTGGAAGAGGAACAACTCCAAGCCGGTCCTCGACGAGCACAACCGGTCGAGGGCCGAGTTTGAAGAGGAAGAGCCTCTCTTTGGAACAAACTTCAGGGAAACACGAACAAGTATTCATCCCCGGACGTTCTCCTAAAATTAAAAAAAATATATGGGAACTTTATACGTGGCTTTTGTCGCAGGTCATATGGGGAACGGACAGTAACGTGTCGAGCTTGCAATCGCTGAATGGATCGGAAGTGGACTCGCGACAATTCGGTACTCAAAGGGATTCTAGCGTCGACAGGTAATGCCACGTTTCATGAAAAATTAATGCAGAATCTCTGTCATATATCATCAATAAATCACTTCCAGCCGGCTATCCGGGGGCTCCACCAAGAGCGAGATGCTGCACAGGGAGAAGAAGTACCCCAAAGGGCTGATTAGGAAGATAACCACGAAGCTGACGAAGTCGGCCAGCATGGACGATCCTAATAGCTCCTTCGAATTTTCGATTCAGGTTGGAGATTACACTCTTATCGCGGGATTATTTACTCTGGATGGAGCTGAGAATTACGAGTAATTGATGGTGATTTTCGTAACAGACGTCGGGGTCCGAGGGAAGCATCTACGAGGAAATCAAGCCGGACAAGAAGAACCTGAAGAAGAAGTTGACGGACATGTTCAAAAGAGGCTCCAAGAGCAACGGGTAAACCCCCTTGCCAGCATGTTTCTCTTACCTTAGATATCACAATTACATGCGGAAAAATAATTCGTTCATTGAAGGAAATTTAATTTACTTCATTCGGTCAACTTCTTTAAACGTTTCGGTTCATCGAGCCGAATTGTAGTAACTTGGCTTCATTTGCCTCGGTCGACTTAAGTATTTTTTATTAAACCTGTCGTACTTAAATTCGACATTTTATTGTTAAGAAATAAATGTTAAACCTTTTTGTTGTCTAGCCTGGACAAGAAATCTGGTTCCCGCGAGCCGAGCAGACCATCGTCCAGGAATTCCGCGGTCTCGAAGACATAACTGAAATTATCCACTCTACAACTATAAATCCTCATTGTTCCGTGTCGTAGGTCATGCACGCGTGCGTGATCCAATGCCTATAAAGAAAAAAGTGTCTTATTCGAGTCGACTGATTTGAAGGGGGTCTCCACTTCACCTTAAACAATGCCCTCTAAAAGTGAAACTGCGAGATGATGCTGGAATTTTTTACTGCGACCCTCGAGTAACGTTAAACAAAGTTACCTTAGCCTTAGAGTACCATCCGATTAGGGTTTTATAACTACGTAAAGTACTGCCATCGGATATTTTCAGCCGATGAGTATGTTGGAGTCGTCGACGAACGAGTATGGCGGGACCTCCAGGTTGTAAGGAGCAGGACCTTTACGAACTCGTCCTGCGGCGTCGAAATGAGATCCATGGCATGGGCAAAAGAATCCTCCACTTACGGACCCAGCACCAGCAATAGGAATGCATCCTAGATGCGTGCAAATAGCAATTACCACCAGCCATTCAGGGCGTTGGACCCGCTCCTCGTCCGTTTGGGGATCTCTCAGATCGGCCACCCTGATGGCCCTTTCCTGGTCGATATGTGCTTGCGTTCTAAAAATTAAAAGCCCTTAATTTACCGAGAGGATCATCCCGGATGATATCCGGAAGCCTGAACCGCTTCGACATCAATGATTGTGACTATGATTGAAACAACGCGCGTTACTTTGATGTACTTTCAAGTATTACCCATGACCGAGACACCGTACCTGTGAATTATTTGAACGGGCTTCCCTCGCCATTTCACCACCATAGATTTCCCTTCTGGGATTTCGCTAATATTTACTTCGGTCTGGGCAGTTGCCAATATGTCACGGGCCGGCGACATGTAATACAAGTAATGCAAGCCATGGCCTTTGATGGCGTACATTAATCCCACCCCTGCAACTGTGAAATGTCATTTTAAGATAGGGTGAATTTCTTGACTAGGTCGATGCTACCTCTTATCACGACTTATCGAATAATATAAATTTACCAAAAGACGCGAAATGGGAAAGCCCTTTACGTTCGGCCGCACTTTGAGATGCTGGAATGTTTGGATCCTCGATCGACTTCCTCCGGAATTCTTGAAAATTCGGTTTTGGAATATCGGTGTGGGCGGATTTATCTGAAGTACACGATAACATGAGATATGTCAAAACGTCGACTATATGCAAATTTTTCCTCTTTATAGGTACTAACCGAGGTTTCCATGCGAACACGTGGAAGGTATTAATTTCTGAAATATTGAATTTCCGCGATTTAGGCAGGTCATTTTCTTCAATATTTTTGTGCTCAACATTTTCATAACCGTTGATTAAGAAATTCGAACCTATTCTATCACCAGCTTTGACAGTTTTACGGGGGCAAATGTCAAACAAATTTAATTTCCATCCTAACGACGTTCAGCGCGGACCTGTTAAACGATTAATCGTTGCGATAAATCTACACAGACCGATCTGTCTCATACTCAATGAAAATAAAGAAGCAAGAGCTTCTTAAACTCATACCTTAAATAAAATGAGTATATTAATACACGTTTATGCGTACAAAATGTTTATCCTCCTGTAATTTTCTTAATTAATAAATATATTTATTCCTATTGTCTCATACCTTTATATATATTTTTATATTATAACATTCAATAGATATGACTAAATTTCCCACCAAACCCCTGATTACCCATAATGCATTAACATATATTAAGTCCACAAGAAACGTTAATTAAATATATTAGGTTGAGGATAAAAATTCCCGCCGTTTTCAACGTAACGAGACTTAATTAACACATCGGGAACTTATTCCTCAGCCTAATATCATCAATCAGGGGTGATTATAATTAATTAATAAATTCGAATTTGCGTTCATACACTTCTATACGCTTGCTCTGGATTTCCAGAACCTCCACATCATCGAAACATCATCTTCGGACGTTCTCAGCATCGACATGCGAAACTTATTTACATATTCAGGTTGGTCATCATCCTGAATTTCTTGACAGTCATCGATATTCTCCCTACGGCAATACTTGTCGATCTTTCGTATGATAAATTCCATTATGAGCAAAATCATGCCAGCCAGAACGCCGATACCAAAGATCATGAACATTCCCTGGGTGTCATCCAACGTCAGTTGTCGTTCTTCTCCGAGGAGGAAAGGAAATGATGGCCCTTTGGATACCTATAATCAACATATTAAATTTGTATCAATATAATTAACACATTTTACAAATCATTCCATCTTCCCTCTGATTATCGGTGGTTCATCCTTAAAAAGAAATGGATAATTTCGAGCCAGCGTCATCATATAAAGGTACACAAATAATATAAATATCGCTCTTAAACAAAAAAACCCGCTTTCTCTTAAAAAAAATCTTTTGAATGACACTCGTTATGTATCATGTTATTCCAGTGTTATGTATCTGTAACAGTGTGTTTGGTGGGTAGTATACAATATCTCTAAAATGGATTCGAACACGGCATTACTTGTAGGAACTTTCCCGTTGCGGTACGTTGTATGTCCCACTTAACATCTCTGATGATCTTCTGAATGATGCCGGTCTGCTGAGCTCGGGCAAGCATCTTATTAAAAGATTCCGTGTAGATTGATCGATGCGGCAACAAGAAGGTGGTCCCATATGTGGAAAAACACTCCCGGCTGATGTGCATCAGCGAGCGCTTAGTGAACCAGCTGTAATCAGACGTCAAACATGATCTGGATGATATCTCCATCCCTCGGGATCCTGGACCACATTTGGAAGGACCGCAGATCAAAATTCATGATCCTACGACTAGGAGAATAAATTGACAAACAATTAGCCGCATGGAACGTCTGCGACCTATGTACGCATATTACAGAATAGATATAAAGAAAAATTTACGGTTAATTCGTCATAAATAATTGCAGCAAGGTATTTACCGCGTACTCGAGTCATATGCCAGTTACGCCATAACCGACATTTATCAATTGAAAATTATACAATGTAGCGAGGGTGATAATATCATTCCATGCAATTTCCATGAGGCAAATTTGCATCGTTTTGCCTGCCTGGGAAATTTGATAAACCTAGCGCTTACTTGGGCGTGAAGTTTGCTTGGACGATGTACTCGAAGAGAGTACGAGAGCCCAAAAAGGCGTAAGGCCAAAAAAAGGCCCGACTAGCGTTCCTTACCCCAGCAGTAACACTGGGAACAAATTCGACATTCTTCAAAAGCTTTTCTGCGATAGGATCATCTTCGATCTCTGCCAGCCGCGCATCCCATCCGTCATGATCTGTGGGAATAATTTCACTAGTCCCAGAAAATCATTAACAATTTGGGCTGGGTGCCCCAACCGTGATTGACATTTCTGAACTATCCAGAATAAATGACTTTTAACATTACCTAAGGTTCCTATCCGGTACCGATACCACAGCAACTCTTTGGTTGTCTCCATAGCGTCCGGATATATAGGGACGGTGATAAAAGCGATAATGGATCCGGTGTAGCAAGATGTTATGATAATGGTAAAGACCCAGTAGATTCCTAGACGTTAAATTCGGGAAATTACTGCAACTGGGGGATTAAGGAACATGCATGTGCAGCCTGATGGAACAAGTGTGTTAATAATGATTTTTGGTACTATTATATGAAATCATGGTACATGCAAATGAGGCCTCCTTTGAAGGATTTTGATAATTTAGGTACCTATCAGCAGCGAAGTGGAGTTCTTTCCCAATCCATGTTTCAACAATGGGTCCTTCACTTTGAAGCTATTAGTGAATGTGCTGAAGACGAACCAAAACATATTATTCGTCGTGCTGGGCCGCGTTATCAGTGATAAGAGTGAGTACTCGGTGTTGAGGGAGAACGGTAGAATTGCCAATAAATAAGCACATATCAACAAAATCCACACCGTAACTGAAAATGGCCCCATCACAGCTCGGTACCTACGGTATCATCGATATTAATTAACATAAATCAGATCTGAATTTTGTCCATCATTCAGAATGTTATTAAGTTGCGTTCAATCGAGGTGAGTTTAAAAGAGATGAAAAGAAAGGAAGTTTATTTTAAATATATAAAATATCAAATAAAATATCCCTGTAAACGGATACATCTTTTCAATCTCTTTTAAATCCACTTTGTCACAGCCTAACAATCCCCTTAAACAAAAGGTAACGTAAAAAAACTCACTTTGGCAAAGCCATTGAGGCCAAAGAGATGAAAGCAGCGCAATCCTCGACATGAGATACAGTTGTATCAAATTGTGATACAACATCTCTTGTTTTGTATATCCCACCTACGCCAACGGAAGCAACTCCAAGTGCAACATCCTTTGTTGCTGAAGTTATAGGACTGAAAAACGAAACGATGATTTCAATTTATTTCGATAATAAATGTGTACGTCTAATAGTTTACCCATTTTCCACTGATTCAGGGTCGCGGAATTCTATGGTGAAGTTCAGAATTTTTGCCAATAAGTGCATCACGCGAATGTCGATTCCATCCCAAAGCACTTCGTCGGTTCCCGAAATAGATCTGCAAATAATATATTATCACGTTACCCCGTTAAAAGTATTCCTAAAATATGTACACTTTAAGTACGCAAACCTCTGAAGATATGAAATTTCATATAGAATATGTAAGATTCATGATATTATTTTATAACGTTGTCCCGAAATGATTTTAATATTACTACGTATTAAGATTAGGTCGTACGGAATATCTAATGGTTAAATTTGGAAATTATAAGATTTTCAATAATATATATTCGGCACCTGCGAATTGCAAATGGCGGAGTATGAGCCGTCGAGATTGCAAGTCGATGACCCTGGAATCCTAAGAGCAGCTTTTCTGGAAATAAGTCAACGTCCCTCGTAAAGCGATCCCTTATCCACGATGTTAATAAAACTGGCTCGCTAGATCCGATTCCATTACTGTACAGATTATGCGTAAAGAGTACATAAGAGCCAGGCTGCAATTAAATTTTAATCTAATTAATTACCTTTCCCAACCTCCCCTGTTACCATGAAGGGATATATACAAGGATAAAATATATACAAATATAGGATGGTATACAGAATAAATTACATATGAATTTTTAATACCTGGGCGCGTAAACTCGCGCTGTGCGTAATGATCAACAAATTATTGTAAAATCTGGAGATGTAACTTTTTAAAAAGTCCAAAACCGTCCATGGAAGCGTCGAGGTGACGACGAGAACTTTACTTCTCCTCTCGCACTCGATAAGACGCGAAATGTCAAATACATTGTCGATAAAAATCACATAATTGTACCACTTGTCTTGTAAGTTTCTTTCCCTTTCGATCTTTCGGGATAAATCGACGCGCTGGTGAACAATGGTTACATTTTGGTTGTCAAAAAAATCCCGCAATTCGAAGGACCGAATTTCCGTCGACGCATCGATAATTGCCAAGGAGGAATTTCCGAAATATAGATCGATAATTCTGTCGAGTAAATTGACAAGACTCGTCTTTCTTAATCGAGCCTCTTCCGATGCACTTTTTACATTTTTTCCAACAATAATAGATCTCGTCGAGTGTAGTATGCAAGTCAACGATAAGAGAATACTTAAATTCTTCATAATGACTATTTTTCTGTTTAGTATAATTCAACGTAATGAAAGGTTTAATGTCTTCCTATTGTTAAACTGTACACCAGGTAAAAGAAATGCAGTGCGTTCGGTAAGAGCGAAAGTAATTCTGACTCGACTTAAGTAATTCCCGTTGAAGAAGGAACATGAAATATTTATCTACCGATCGCGTGTGTACTTCATTAATTTTTATTGCTCATTACCGCAATGTAATAACGACCATTAATACTAGTCGGCTTGATTAGCCAAGCAGAGGGTTTAATATTTAATAAAGAGCGGTCTTCCCCTAATACTTGGTCTGGCTTTGATTTCGATTAGTATTCTCGGCATTCTCGTATTTATTACTTTTTACAATGAAATCAACGTGGAAAGGGTAACGTATATTCCTTAAGGTTCAATAAGTTGATCATTGCGTGGTATTTTTCGATATGCATAATAGGACTTTCATCGTGTTAATTAATAATACAAAATAATGTAATGTTTCAACAATGTCGATAAATAGTATTCATAGAGTTAAGGTACTTCTTAGCAGAAAATAGTGTCCCTTTATTTTGTGACTTCTTTCATGCTTGCGATGATTTTCTATATTCGCAATTTATCTTGCTACTCTTATTAATCTCAAGATGCAGAAAAGTTTAAACTCCGTTTCCACAACTCAAGTTAACCGGAGTTTAGTTGGTTTACAGCAGTTTCAAACAGGACGTAAACTAGTTAAACTTCGATTAACTAAATTGGGGAACCGGCCTTAATGACTACGTCTCCATCGTACTCGAAAACCGGGATTTATCGGGTCTAAACCCAGTAAATCCGAATTTAAGTGTCGATCGAGACTCTCAGAATCGAATTTGCGGATTTATTAAGGTTATGAAGACATTTACGGGATCCGTTCATTTGCGATCCCAGCGCCATGAAGTGTACCTATTCTCATCGTCTAAATATCTCACCACTCTAATACCACTCTACATACGCCGTTATCATTGCTGTCAGTTTTGTTTACAATTTCGTTTTCAGCTCTTCAGTAACGTTAATTTTCAAAGGAATCAATGAGAAATATATCGTACTCCTTTGTAAAGAATAAAAAATGTATAGCATAGTATTTATTGTCGACATGCCCTCCGATTCTCAAGATAAATCGGTGAACTGCGAATTAAGGTTATGTAAATAATTACAAAATTTCGAATACTCCTGCATTTGAAATGGCATTTTCATTCAGAGCTGGCTCAAATTGGTGCCATGATTTTCCGAAACTCGCTAGAGAATCGGGGTTTTATTTTAACATGCATAGAACAAGAGTAAGAGTCGATTGGAATCGGATAAGTAAGTATAAACTAATGCTACGTTACTCTTGATCGATGATTTGCCCACACAATAATAAATCTAATTTCTTTCGACTTATACTCACTTAATTGTTTTAGGCTTAATTGATATCGACAGAGTTATCCAAGAACGAGATTTTTATACCGTCGATGAAAATGTAAATAATGTTGTAGACTATTGCTTAGAAAGTGAGTACGACGTTAAGATCTTGGATCCTAATTTCGTTAAGCTTTTCCGTCTAGCTCAGTTAGCTGTCGAGTATTTATTATATTGTAAGCAGTACTTAGATCAAAGTGTTGTTATATTAAAACATGAGTTGAAACTAAAACTCGAGGAAAATGTAAAGTTTAAGAAAGAACTTGCAGCTTCCGAAGCTGCATATAAAGACTTGAAGGAAAAATTTAAGGAAAGAGAAAAAGCTTTCCAGATAAAGATAAGCGACTCTCACGGTGAAATTCATAAGGTAATATTATTTCAATTCGAATTAGTCATTCGTAGGTTTGTGTAATTAAAGTATTTTGTTTTTTTTAGTGTCCATACTGTCCGAAAACTTTTGTGTCAGCAATATTTGTAAATGCCCATATAATGCGTCGCCATCAATGTTTGTCAGATTCTTGCTTTTCATCTTCTCCGATTCATGAACAATACCGAGCTGAAGCTGAAAAATTACACACTGAGATAAAAACACTAAAGGAAAGATTAAATAAAACGGAAAGGGTAATAAGAAATGAATCGGAGAAATCATCTCAAAATGTTACTTTGGAACAAGGAAGGAATATTGACAAATTAGAAGGGGAGTGTCATAATACCAACAAGGATGTCGACAAATTTGAAGAGCAACATAAGAAGTATCAAGAAGAAATTACTGGGCTAAAAGACATGCTATTTAATGAGATAAAAGTAAGTCAAACTGAGAACAATCATATTTATAATTACACGTAACCTTAAACAATTCTCATTCATTCATTGATTATTTAAATTGACTGACATATTCTTTTAAGAAATTGAAACAGAGTGATATGAACAAAAGTCCCCTCAGATTATTTGACAATGAAATTTCAAATACAAGCTACAAGGAATTGCTTCAACAACAAGAAAATGAAATCCATATTTTAAGAACTCAGTTGCAGGAGAGCACGAACGCTGTAAGGGATTTACAATTTTATTTATTCTAAGTATTTAACACAACTGGTTGTTTTATTTATCCATAAATTAATTATATTTTCAACAGCCATCAAAGTTAGAAAACCTATATTCGAAATTTCACGCACAAGAGAATTACTGGAAGTCCAAAGTCGAACAACTTGAAAGTCAGCATCGAATGGATATCGAAAAGTTATCTGCGCAGTTGGAATTGACACATGATACTGCTAATCGAATTAAAGCAGAGTATGAAACAAAAGTAAGAGACCTAGAACATCAGTCACTGAATCAATCGAAGATACTTAGCGAGCAGCGTGAACAACTCAGTTACCTGTCACGTGGCATTCAAGAATCACACTCAATAAATCACAACGGACTTAAAGATTTCGAAAGATTTTCTGAAAAAACCAGGCATAATGCGTTTGAAAAAACTGCGCATAAAAAAGATCATTACGAAGCTAAAGGCAAAAAAGATATATCACGTACTACGAATAATGAATTAATTTTTGAAGATATTGACAGTGTATCTAGTCAAAATTCAGTGAAAAGTATTACATCAGTTCCAAATAACCAAGTTCCCTACAAGGAACTCAAGCTAACAAAAAAGGCAAACGATAGAGCTACTGAATACGTTAATGAATTAAGAGATAAAAAGCAGTCCCAGCGAAGAGAATTTACCAAAAAACCAAAGAAAAGGATCGATACCATGTCGAATGGAACAAGTTCTCAACTTAGTACAGAAACGTTAAGATCTCATTCTAAAGCTAGTCCGATACAACAAAGTTATACGAAAGATATTGTAGAGCCGTTTGTATCCAGTAAAAGTAAACTTAAGCAAAAAATCAATGATACAGTGGTTGATAGTGATAGTTCGATAAATTCTCAAGTACAAGATAAGTATTTAAATAAAAGTCATAGAAGTCAAGACGTACATACTGCTGTAAACAGAGCGACAAAACATCAGCTTCGTGCCGATTCAAGGATACCTATAAATTCAGTCGCTAAAACTGAAAAACCCGTAAAAAATAGCAAAGTCTTAATGACTGATTCTGAAACGAGTGAATTAGATGAACTGGGATCAGATAGAGTGCAATCAAATTCTGATTCGGAATCACAGACCGAGAGTACGGATGAGTCAACGTCGCAGAGTCATTCTCAATTAGAGGTTCAACCAGTAAAGAAAGAAATAGTAAAAAAAACTTTACAGCAAACACGTGATGAAATGCTAAAAATGTTTGAAAATAAATTGAAAGATTTGGGTATAGATCCAGAATGGAGCGGTCTACCAAAAATGACATTCCAACAGAAAATGGAAACCGTGAAACATCATCAAAGCATTAATGCCAAAGTACATAAACTATTATATATACACAACTTTGTATTAGCATAGTATTAAATTACACTATATGTATTAAACGTTAATTTTTCTTCCAGAAGTTTCCCAATTATGACTTAATACGACGAAAAATAATTCAGGATATTGCTCATAAACTCCTTATAAGGCAAAAAGCATCAAAAATTGAAACAGAAAAAGGTTCGTCACACAATAAGGTTCTGTCTAATGTCAAGACGAAGAATTCGGTTGCAGTTAATCTTCAAAAAACTCTAGGTATTATTTCCAACTGTGCAATATAATTTCTTTATATATTTTGATCTCATTTTTGTAGAATAAGGTTTAAGCAATACTTAATACTTAATCTACAGAAAAATGGTTTTCGGTACTGTGATATGTCTGAATAGTCGAAAAATTTAGAAAGTGTAATAATACAATATGTAATAATTATTGTATTAATTTTACAGGCATCGAGACACCTATTATAAAATCTCAAAGTCCTACATCACGGCAAGTAACGCCGAAAAGTAAAATTAATATGGACTTACTTCCAAAAAAGTTAAGCGAACAGGAGATACGACCAAATAATAGGAAACCTACGCACACCCTTTCAAATGACAAAAGTCCACAAATGGAATCTCAACCGAGTTTATTAAAATCTTCGCATTTGTCTTTGCATCGTGAAGTTAAAACAGTACAAAGTAAAGCATCGATGAAGGCAAAGGACTCATCTTACGATATGAAACAGTTCTCACACTCATACGAGAGCATTAATGATTTTCTGAAGGATACGAATGATCGCACAAGATCCTCCACGTCTGTGTTAGATATAAATGAAATAAGCAGTCCAAAAGTAACATCTACTCCGAATAAAATTGAGTCGAATGCTTTACATGACTCTTATGTGAGTTTAGTTAACGAACCTAATATACACTTGACTAAGAAAGAAATCGTCAATAGTGTACCAGCTTCTCCGAAGAACAGTAAAGGAGTACTTAAATCAGCAACGGGTTCTACAGGAAGCTTAATAAAGAAAAAAGTCCTGTTTCACCTAGAGAAGGAAGACAGCGGCCCTGAAAAAATAAACGTAACGCCTCTAAACACATCGATGTTTACCTCAAATAATACATTAAATGGATTAAAAGTCAGTAACCACGATTCTGTTATTAATTACGACAATGACGATGATGAAGAGGATAACTGGAACATTACAAGGTATTTAGGATTTTCTTTTCTAATACACTGTTTAATTAAAAAGTAGGAAGTACTGTGCACTCATTTTCATACTATTTCCAGCATCTCCGATGAACAGGATCAATCTATAGAAAAAGAGAAATTACCCGTTACGAGTAATTTAATTTTAAAAACCTCTCAGAGTGATAAAATTGCACAGATTTCAAAGAAAATTGAAGAGCAGGTAAAATTGTGTCTATTGAATTTTTAAATGATTTATAATATTTTGTATCTCAATTGTCGTAACATTTCAGTTAAGTGCATCGAGACACAAACCAGTTGGTGCTGTCGAAGCTATGTTTATGGAGAGACAGCAGCCAAAATCAGAGGATCGAGAAGATGGAAGCCAGTTTCCAAGTTCAACTAGTATTACGAGCTCTATTTTAGAGAGTCCAGCTAGACAAATACATGTAAAACATAAATCAGAAAAACGCGAAGCCCCGCTCCCAGCTCCGAGAAGTTTAAAAAGTAAAGAATCTAAGTCTTCGATTTCACTAACCAGAACTGCTGCACTGAAGGAGTCTGATTTAGATTCAGACATTAATGAACTACTCCAAATGGATTAACCATAGCGTAACTACATTAGTAACATCTCGTTACATAATATTGTATTAACGTAGATGTTAGAAACTGTATAGTAGGCAAATCTCCTCAGTTACATATCGATTGCGCGTTTATTACGGGTATATTAAACTACATAAATACCTGAAAATAATTTATTTGTATGCGTAAATTTATGTTAGACGTGCATTTATTTATAATAATGCATTTCATGTGTTTGTATTAGTTTTGCCACTGACTTTGTGACTATTCCTTGATTTGTAACAAAATCTATATTGCAATCATTAATAAATATTTTTTTGTACTTTGAATAGTTTCTAGATTATTGCAATACGGTTAATTTAAATTCATGCTATTTTCACCTTAAATGAAACTTCGATTGTTTAGGGAGAATTTCAAATTTGACAGCATTAATTGTTTCAATATGGCCGTTAAAAGTATGCTTACAAATTTTAGCAGAACCATAAAGATAATTTACTTGACAAGAACGTCCTTTCAGCCGTAATTTTTTCAACAAAACTATGTTTACGCTCAATTAGCATTAGTTAAAGACTATTAAATTGTACCGTGGTAACCGAGAAAAGTATACCTGATGTAAAAACATAAACATAACCTACATGATAGGTTATATCACAGAGTGACATCAAATTGAATTCTACAATTATAGAAGTGTGGTTCTTACCTTAAATGTTCAAGACTATGTTGGAAATAATTACAACAAATTTACTGCAGAATATGAACGAGGTAGATGCATGGACATATTACAGAATGCAGAATTAAAAATTGTCAACATGAAATCTTCATTTACGTACGAAAAATGCTTGAACTAGACTGTTTACCATAATGTATATTTGTAATAATATACTACAAAACTGTGCTTATTTAATTAATCTTAGATTCGTTTGAGATACCGCACAAATAAAAAGTTATATTATATTTTAAGTGGAGTTACGCCACTTTGTCATGTTTTAAGTTAAAATGCATGTTTAATGAGTGCGGTGGATACAGCAGCAATGGGCACAACAGAACTATCTTGTTTAATTTGTGATTCGGAACTTGAAGTAACATCGTGCACTAATATTTTTTATACATCTCTGCCTCGTAATGGAGAGCTGCTCGCAAGTTTCATACTCCGAGTACTCCGTTCAGCTACATCGGAATTACACAGCTCTTATATATGCTCCCGTTGTTATAATCTGTTTCAAATGTTAGATCAAGCACAATTCACTGCTACTAACATTCGATGTGAGATATTAAAAGTTTACCGTACAGGAGATAAACATAAATTTGTAAAGGATGCACCAAATGTTAATGCAGAAGTGTTATCGGATGGTAATGATAAAATATTCATGGACAATTTAGTCTCGGAAAACAAGGTTGACATTACTTGTAGCCTCAACGATTTACAAGATGTTTCTACCTTAAAAACAATATCCGATGAAGCTAACAACCTCCCAGCTGATAATGGAACCATCCCGGAGAATACTTTGATTGAGCAAGATTTGAACGTGTTAACTGTCGATACAGCTGATATCACCCAATCAAAGATTGTTAATAAACCTGAGGTAAAACCTAGTGAAATAGATACGTTAAATATTTATATTAAAACAAAGGAATCAAGAAACAAAAGCGACGACACGGATGATACTACAAATAAACAATCGGTGCATTTCTCTGAGAGCGTCGATTTAAACAAACAAAACATCACTGATTCATTGGAAAATACTATTTTGATCGAAAGCAATCCCTCTGTGGATCTCAGTAGGCAAGAGAAAATGGCTCTGTACACTCGACAGTGTCGAACATGCAGCAGCTTATTTAAATCTGTCGATGATTTAGAATTTCATTTATTGAAACATGGAGGATCCAGACCTTACCTGTGTAAAAAGTGCAACCAACGATTCAGCGATTTATCCCAAGCAAACATTCATGCTACAGAATTTCACGTTGAAGGAAAAGATGTAATAACTATTGCAATAGAACCTAGCGACAACGAAGTCCCAAATTTTGAACAGGATGACTGTATCTTACCTGAGGATGTATTAAGAATGTCAGATGATGAGGAACAAGACGACTTTGAGTGGAAAGAGACAAACCAGTCTGTTACAGAGATGAAAGATAGCCTAAAACACATCCAAGGTACCAGATTAATCACACTTGTGTTATAAATGTTAATATACTGGTACACATAAACCAATACTAATAATCAATGATTTCAGGAAATCCCAACGGCTGTAGTGATCCAAATACCAAAATACTAAAGGACATGTCTACGGAGTCTAGTAACTTATCTTGGAAATCAGGACGCATATCGAAGTACAGTTTAAAACCATTAAAACATCCTTGCCCAACATGTGGAAAGAAATGGAGAACTTCTGCCGAATTAAAGACTCATTTGAAGTCACATTCGACTTTAAGACCTTACATGTGTGAAAAGTGTGGCCAAGCATATAAGCATAAGCATGCTCTAGAAGTGCACGTAGGCATGCATAATGGAATCAATCCTTTCCAGTGTAGCTTTTGTAATAAGTGTTTCACACAGAAAGGAGCTCTTATGAGACATCTGCCGATGCACACCGGAGAAACGCCATATCAGTGCGAACTCTGTGGCAAACGATTCGTACATCATACCTCGTACAACATGCACGCATTGTCACATACTGGGAAAAAATCTTATCAGTGTCACGTAAGTACACTGCGATTTAAGGGAAAATATAACTGAAGTTTAGTCGTAAATGCTGCATGTTATATTAATAGATACGCGAAAATATATATACATTGCTTTTCTTTAGGTATGTAATCAATCGTTATTATCGACTTCTCATTTGAAGCGACACATGCGTGCACATACAGGGGAAAAGCCATATAGCTGTTCGTTGTGTGGAAAACGATTTGCCGAAAGATATAACTTGTTTGCACATCAGAAGATACACGATCCTGCGGAAATTATGGCAAAAGAAGCGAAAAAAATGCAGTACAAGTAAGCACCGCTAAAATAAACTATATTCATTTTAAGGTTAAGTGAAACACTTGATCCTGTTCAAATGCGTCAAAGTTTGACAGCTCGATCCAATGCCTTTAAAAAAAAAGTGTCTTATTCGAGTCGACTGATTCGAAGGAGGTTTCACTTTACATTAATGGAAGATAAAAGAATTCAGGTGAATTCTGATTACAGATGCGAACGCTGCATGGCGTTGTTTGATAAGAAACAGAAGTTGGACGATCACGTAAAGCAACAACATGAGATGGACCCTGAAATTGGAAATAATGGAAAATGGATGGCACAAGCCATCGATATTCAAACTAGGCAAGCAGAATTGGCAAAGTTCTATTCTCCTGAAAATCAAAGTGTTTCGAAGGACAGTTCACACAGTAATATCGAACAAACGTGGCAGCAGATCGATTATTCAAAATCCCAAAATTCAGCTGACGAAGCGAAATCAATTCAGCCAGAGAATCAGTTTTTAGAACTCGATGCAAATACTGTAACCGTTGCACTTGACAATCACAGACTTCTACTTGATTCCAGATATAACAAAAATATACACTCTAATTTGGAGATTTCAAGCAACACTCACGTACAAATGGACAGATCACAAATCTGATACACGATTTTGAATAAGATGATAATATGTATATAGATTAATATGAACACCGTATGAAAATAAGCTAAGAGATATGATAACGTGCGATTATTTTTACATATTAATATTACTTTTATAGTACTGCAAAAACAGTCATGCTATCATGATGCAAAACTATAATGTTAAAATGTATATTAATATAATAACGCACAAATAATGCGCATACATTTTCATGTCCATTTGAAAGGCTTAGAACATATCGTATTATTTGTATCAAAGTAACTTGAGCTTTTTGTACAATTATCGACGTCATACGTTAACAAGTAAACACGAAAGTTCCTCAGAAATCCATATACTTTTTTTTTTGTGTGCGATGTTTCGTTCGTAAAATTTCTATTTATGGAAATCTAGTTCGTAAGAAGATTACAATGTATACGTACAAGTAATGTTTATAAAAGTCAGACTGATTCACAGTGGTGTTACGCTACATACTACATTCAAGCACATGTTATATTTTTAATAACGTTTTATATTCAATATCCTAAACCAATCTAAATCACTTTATATAATGCATAATCTTATGTGCTCCAATAAACATTTAATACCTATCAATTTACTTTATTGGTCCCAGTCGAAAAGTTTAAACGAGACAAAGTTACACAAAACTTGTCTGATGGTTTTTGACCCGAAGGTGTTGTAATGTTATTTATACATAACTAATCAATTACTTGGCAAGCATTGTACTACTGTCAGATTTTCCAATCAGGTTTCATTCGGTGTCAGTAAATAATTTCCTAGTCCCTTGCGTTAGTTGATTAGGAGTTGGCTGATTCCATGATGACATACCGTGTGTCGTAATTAATCCTTTTTTTTGACTTTTCGAAGTAGACAAACTTCTGTAATATCATTAAGGGTGTTTCATATTTTCACGCTACGCGTATATTAATTGCTAAGCACAAAAGCATACTCTTTTAATTCTTGCATTATGGGTATCACTTTGGTCGGAATTAATATCTCCGATAAGTTTTCATGTTCAGGATGACATACAGGCCTCCGGAAAGAGTGAGTTACGTACAATTCATAAAGGAAATCGACGAATGTATTAAAAGCACTGTTAAAATCGTCAGTTAGTAACTGAAACAATGATCATCCGTTACTTAATATAATTCAACTCACAATTTCCATTACATACATTCTAGGATTAGTATTGCTTAAGATGATATGAAAGGGTCATTCTATATACATATATTAAATATTTATAAAACTTGAACATTCATACCACGAGAGAATAAAATCCTGGATTATTCTTGTGATAGCGTTCATATAAATTTCTCGAAGCTAGAACAGTTTCGACGTACATATTTTTTAGATCCTCTGGTTTTGCAAGTTTCCGGCGGAGCTGTTAATAGGAATAACGTTCAGGAATTATTTATCAAAAAGTATACGAATGTGATGTAAGTATACCAAATCTGCCATAGATTCTTCACTGGACAATGATTCTCCAAATTCTTCGTCGGGTGCTGGAAGGTCATCGATAATTTCAAATGCATTATGACGAAAAAGGACCCTTGCCCTGTGTTTCTTACGCTTTGTCTCTGCATCATCAATGATAATATTCGATTTCTCATCCAAAATAACCTGTTCCCAGGAGAAAGTTTGTACGTAACGCTTAATAAACTCATACTTTTGTGGTGTTACGAAACAGGCATTCTATATACATGGCAACGTTTTATATATGTATACAAAATAACCCTTTCATATCACCTTAAGTTCTACAATTTTCATGTTAATTTCTGTCCAACAATTAGATTTCCAAAATACTTTTAATCCCAAATATTTAGGTGATGGAGGTTCCGCCATCTCGTTGGAACAGGTACTCGTGTTCTCTACATCTCCATCCATTTTAAACGAAATATGTTTCCTTTCTTCTATTTCTAGCTGGCTTCTAATCTTCAGCACTTTTGGTAACATGGTTTGGCTTTGAAATATTATATCCGTCGTTGTGGCTCCAGTTCCCTGAGGTCTAATGTTTGTACTATATAAGGGTAAATCTAGGTCGTCGATTACCTGTTATAATATTTTCATACATATAAAATTCACGTACTAACTCATATGAAAAACCAATTATATACATTACGTACATCATTAAGAATTTCTGAAATGTAATCGAGTTTACTAGATGTAGATTCTGTGCTTTCTCTGTTGGCATCTCGCCTGCCTATTTTCACTGCTAACAAATTCTCAATGCTGTCCTTTACCCAAGTAAATATTTGAAATTTTTCCATTAACCGTTGCTTATGTAATTCTCGATCCTTTGTCAGGACCAGTACAATTTTGACATTTGCGTATTGGCTCTGTAATTGCAACGAACCACTTAAATCCATCTGAGCGATGCCAATTTTTTGTTCCGCTGCTAATGCTGCCAATTCACTTATATCTAAAAGAAATGAAATGTAACTGTAACACAGCATGCTTGGTGAGCATTTGCATTTAAATTCAAGAATGTTAAGGATCGGAACATTACTAACGAAATCCATAACTGTCCCCTAAATATTCTTGAATGGAACAGAATTCTCCACGCCTGGCCATTTCATTGAATTCTTCTCTGCCTATAAAATGATATGATCTTGGGTCTTCGTCAAATGATATAAGGTCTCTCGTTGTATGACTCGGACAATATTTAACCTGCATCGACAATTGTTTGTGTTAATATAAATATAACTCACGCAAATGTACATGTTTAATCATGAATTTACTCATTGGCCTTCTCATCTTTTATTTTGTTCTTACTCTATTGGATAAGGTGTCTGCTATTTTCAGCGCCAATGATATCTTCTTCACGGCGGATGGTCCACTCAGGACGACTACAGGTGGACAAGTTTGATCATATGGAGTAACATGCATACCAATATTTGGTGGATTCAATTGTTCCAATAATGTTAATTTAGTAATACTTCGTGCAGCTAAAAGATCTAACGTTGGCTTGAATAATGTCGAAGCAGATATCTAAATGAAAGAGAATATTGAAAATGACGTATTACTTATCAATTACAATAGTCTGCGTATTACCTTTTCAGTGACAGAGACTTCGCCACCATCAACGTACATAACACTTGGCATAGAAAACAACAAAACGTCTCGATAATTCGGCCACTTTGTACAAGGATTACCTCTGAAATCCACTTCGTATACCAAACCACTCAGATAGGAAACCTCTAATAAATCCGCTATTTTATTGTATTTTAGATCTACGATACGCAAGGCATATGCATCCTGAAAGAAATATTATCACCCCGATGACAAAGGATGCGAATCTTTGAACACACTAGATGAAATATATACCTTGAAGAACTCAAGAGTGGATAATTTATTGTGACCTAGTAGAAGGGTACGAAGGTTTGCTAATGTGTTTAAAGATAACCTAGGATCGGCAGATTTAAATGTTGTAATACAGTTGTATTCTAAATTAAGCTCCTGTATATTTAGTTTGTCCAGATTTTCGATGCACTTGATCAAATTGTATGACAAATTTAAATACCGCAAATGCCTGTAAACAAATAGGTTTAATGTATCGTAGTTTTACTTATACTATGATACTAATTTATTTTACAAATAATTTTCAATGGAGTAAAAGGAGAAAAGAAGAAAAATTGGAAGATAAAGGAAAGGAAATAGTAAAAGTTACTCACTTTAGATTATGCAAGCCGGTAATTTGTTCTATTGCATTGTGAGACAAATCCAATCTGACAATGCTCCAAAATTCGCTCAAATCATCTATTTCCGTTATGTTATTATATGATAAGTTGACATAGGTCAAGTACCAAGGAGGAGTAAATTTCAGCACAGATTTGAGTCTATTACGCGACACGTTTAAGTACATTAAATATGGTATTCCCCCTAATGGACTCAAATCAGTGAGTTTATTATGTGTCAAATCTAAATATTGAAGGTAACGGTGGTGGCGTAGAATTGAAATATCCACAAGGTTCTAAAATCAAATACGTTTGATGGTATATATTCACCATGAGGAAAAAATGTCATTCAACCAAAGAAATATTTCTTTCTTTCAATGGCACTTTTTTCTCACTGCACTTATTTGAAAAATTATCATCTTACGATACCATTTTTCTTAGCTCGCATTTACTTAAGATGAGTGTTTCGTTTTCTGGACATTTTGTCAGAAACGATGAACATGCACCAACCATGCGATCTGACAAAATACCACAAAATTCACTTGGAGTTAATTCCATTTCACGACGGTTTAGAATATTTACAACGGGTGAGTTCCTGTCTGCCCATAATTCTATATCAAGTGCGTATCCACCCCATTTATTTTGAATTATTTTCTCTCTCTTTTCATTTCCTACATTCAAAGGCCACTCACAATCATCCGATATCGATGAGCTCTACATAAAGAACAAATAATATATGTGTTAGTAATGATGCTGCTACGTCAAAAATGCAGAGTATTTACAAAGATCTTTTTATTACTACTTTTGTTTCTTTTAATTACAGTAAAGCTGGTGGATAGAGAAGAAGAGTCACCCTCACTTGAACATTGTAATGTTACTTCATGTGGTACGTAAACACTCTGTTGCGATCCCCAACTCATCTCATCGTGTGTAAGTTTGTCCAATGAATCTATTCTATGTAATGGCATTGTATACTTTTCATGTTTTCTCTGTATATTTTCATTCACCTGAGTATTCTTTCTTTCAGCAATTACAAATTCTGAAGAGAAAAGATACTTCTTTTGCAACATATTAACCGAAGAATTTCTAGATATTTGACTTTATATAAGATCCACTAAAATGTAAACGTCCTTTTAAGGCCAACCGTTACACACTTTTAAGGTTGACGTTTAAAAACAAGTGACTGCAGCACTCTTTTTTAAACGATTCCAATTTCGCATTTACACTCGCACTTTTAAAATCACTTCATGTCCCTTGTTCGTAAAGATTGAATATTTTACACCGTTCCTTCCTATTTATTGAATTAATTCTTTCAAAGCAGTTTCATTTAAACGATAAAGATGCCATCCCTCTGCTTTTGTTATATCAATTGCACCTCTTTTCTTATAAAAGTCCTGCGCAGGATTCCAGTTTAAAACTATAAAATCCATGCGGTGACAATTTTGATCAACTGCAGTCTGCGAAAAGTAAGTCAGGAATGAAATACTTTTATACACATTTGTCGATTAACAATATTCTTTTCTCCCACTAAATAAGGACTATTACCAAATACATACAAAATGATTACTATACCTTAGCAACTGTTTGAAATAACATACTCCCAACATTTTTGTTCCGATAATTACTTGCTACACATAGATCTTCCAAAAGCATTTCTTTACCAGTCCAAGTTGAATAAACAAAATAATACAGAGCATAACCAATTACTTTTTCTTCGGCTACAGCAACATAGCACTGAAATAAAGGCTGCTCCGAATCGAACCCATCTCTTTCCAGTGCTACGAGTAATAATTTATATCAATATAAAAGAAAATCTACGAAGTGCTAAATTCAAATTTGAACTTAATTTTTCTTTCTTCATCGGTACTTGGTTAATATATGTTTACAACAGAAATTAAACAAAATCGTACCTTCGTGATTTATTTTAGGACCATACGGCATCTTTTCGAAATCGGCAAGTTCCTGTAAAAATAAAGCGTTCAATCGAACATAATTTAAGAAAAGAAATTGAAACTAAATAACAAAGGTGAAAAATACAAAATTGCCTGAATTAGCTCTATAATGGCTTTGCAGTCTTCCCGCCTTGCTTTCCTTATTGTAACACTTCCTTCCATTTCTTTATCGAGTATTACACTCACTGACTTCGATTAACTTTAATTGTCTGTAACTCTTTAATTGTAAACTTAAGAAGTGATATCATTAACAATGGGCGTGTTTATCAGTTGCATTACGTAGTCACGATAAGATAGAATAAGCGCGCGAAATATGTATTCCATTTATTATTAGATTTCTTCATTCCTTTTAAATCGTAGTTAAAATAAAATTCAAGGGACATTTTGCATAAACTACAGTACACTAGGAAGTCTAATAAAAAAATGAACGTTGCATCATGTTCCTTGCCATTCTTTTAACAGTTAACGACCTCTTATCACGACGGATAATCCTGGGCAACTGCCGGTTCGGTGGCCCGGGCCGCGACCGCTGACCAGATCCGGCTTCCTGATTGGACCCCGCCTCGCCCAATCAGGGAGCTGGATCGCGACACAATATAGAGGGGTAACTCATTCCGTGCAAAGATGAGTTGCGCCGCCATTGAGGGGAACAGGTGGCAAGTATGTTAGCCGCCCGCACCAATTACCAGCACAGCCCGCGATCGCGTTATCCCATGAACAATCTCCCAACTCATCTCTGGAAGTGAGACGCATATGAAAAGAACAAATTCACTCGGTTTATCCGGGACATTTTAGAACATACCCACGGCTGTCGGCTCCGATTTTTGTTAGCTTCAACGTCCACGGAGCGTGAGATATTTAATGAATTTCGCGAAGTTATGACCGGTGTACAGTTAAAACTATGTACAAATTTAATTCGACGTAAAATGTCGAGCAAAAAGTAAAAAGAAAGATTGATTGCGAATGCGTTCAATTTTCCGAAGCGTCTGTACGAGAACAGATATAGAATTTTAAGGTTAGAAGTTGAATGTCAGAGAAGACTCAGGAATCCTGCTTCTTCCTCGTTTTGTCCGACGAGTAGACAGATGTAAGCATATCAGTTTTCAGTACAAATCTTTAGTTAATAATACATGTGTCCTTGTTATGGCACTCATGTCGATAATTTTGTTTTCAGAGAAGAAAATAATATACAACGATGGCGTTACACATTGTACCTCCGAAGCGTAAAGAGATTTACAAGTACGAGGCACCCTGGCCTCTGTACAGTATGAATTGGTCCGTACGTCCAGACAAAAGATTTCGTTTAGCATTGGGTAGCTTTGTCGAAGAGTATAACAACAAAGTTCAAATTGTGTCACTCGACGAAGAAACATCTGAGTTTAGTGCTAAAAGTACATTCGATCATCCGTATCCGACTACGAAAATAATGTGGATTCCTGATAGCAAAGGTGCGGTTATTCTAACGTCAATATATGCATTGTATATATTATTATTAATACACATCATTAATCATTATCGTAAGTTAACAGTTTTAATTAATACGTTTTAATAGGACTATTTCCTGATTTACTGGCCACATCTGGTGATTATTTAAGAGTATGGAGAGCAGGAGACTCAGAAACACGCTTGGAATGTGTATTAAATAATAACAAGAATTCTGACTTTTGTGCCCCCTTAACATCATTCGATTGGAACGAAGTCGACCCAAACCTAATCGGCACTTCGAGCATCGACACTACTTGTACTATATGGGGTTTGGAAACGGGACAAGTGTTGGGTCGGGTTAATATGGTTACAGGCCATGTTAAAACTCAGTTAATTGCTCATGATAAGGAAGTGTACGACGTAGCGTTCAGTAGGGCTGGCGGTGGTCGTGATATGTTTGCCTCGGTTGGAGCCGATGGTTCAGTGAGAATGTTTGATCTACGTCACTTAGAGCATTCGACAATAATTTATGAAGATCCACAGCACACTCCCTTATTAAGACTAGCATGGAATAAACAAGATCCCAATTACCTCGCCACGGTGGCAATGGAGGCTTGCGAAGTTATTATCCTGGATGTACGAGTACCTTGCACCCCAGTTGCCAGGTTAAATAATCACAGGTATAAAACAAAAGATAATTTAATTGTAACTTATTAAATTTGCATTCTTGCAAAATTTCACGGCGTGATAATTTATTTAAAGGGCAAGTGTCAATGGCATTGCATGGGCACCACATTCGTCCTGCCACATCTGTACAGCGGCTGACGATCATCAAGCTTTAATATGGGACATTCAGCAAATGCCACGAGCCATTGAAGATCCTATTCTTGCATATACAGCCGCAGAAGGTGAAGTTAATCAAATCCAGTGGGGTGCGACGCAGCCAGACTGGATTGCTATCTGTTATAATAAAGCAGCAGAAATCCTTCGAGTATAAATAGCCTTTTGTAGGCGATGTACTACCAAGGTACAGGATCATCAATTTGAACAATGATAAATTTTATTGCATGCAGATTGAATCTCAGCTGATAAGATCCTCAAATAGATCGAGGTAATTGCAATCAAAGTACAATGATTCATATCGTGCATTCATTGTGCGGCAAATATGTACTCATCGAATCGTTGTTCTTGCGCCTACCAAGGCGAAAATCATGTAAAATAGTGCGATTTTAAGAAGACGTGAATCCATAGACTGATAGGTTATATTTATAGTCCTACCATTACACTGTGAACGTGACTGGTGAATTCTTTTGTGTTCCCCTCACTGGTTGAGGTACGTAACTTCAAAAAAAAAAAATCTTTCTATTATTATGAGAAATGTATAATTCCGTAAGTACATTTCACAATTTCTTTTCAAATTCATGCTGTACTATTTGCGATGTTGTGTTAACGTCATTTTGTTGTTTGTTGGCAAAATTATATATATCGAACTTGTCTACTTTGGGTATTAACAAATCTACCGATTTATAGTGCAATTGAATTCAACGAAAACTTGACGATCCATTTAGGACACTACGTTCTGTTCGTAGTATTTTATGGTTTGGGTGTGCCCTTAATATCCCAAGGTAGAATTGTGTAATTCTTCAATGTTAATAACACACGAGTGCGACTAAGAAGATATTCTTTGATTAATTAAGTACAATTCGAAAAGTTATTAACCGTAGTGCAAGATTTCCCCCTGTCACGCGATTTGTATATATGTTTATATCTTCCTGCACTCAAAGAAATAAGTACATCATTAATGTATCGGATTACTATTAAGACTAGGTTAAAGTTTTGCAACAGTATTTTAAATTTAATACGACCAGATAGATACTAGAGTTCCCCTAAAGCTTAACAAATGATAAAACTAGTTATACAATCAGTTATATAAGTTCCGTAAAAAGGAAAGCGGTAAAATTAGACGATTTAAAAGAAAAAACATAAAATAAAGTTTCTTAAATAATGCATTCAGTTTATTGGGATCGTTATCGTTCTAATAGTATTCTTATCATTCACATTCGTAATCCTGTTTGACGTGATATTCTGCCTTATATTTGCATTATTGCATTGCTTCATATTTTGCATTATATTTCCGTCGAGTGTACAGCTGTTCTGAAGCGTGATTGATAAAAAAAAAAAAAAGGTAAAGAGGAGTGTATCGGTTCGTGATAGGTCAATTTTTATGATATGGTGACACAGGGTCAAATGCTGGATTAAACAGAGAGAGCATTATTTCCTAAAATCGTACTTAAACCACGAAAGAGTTCTTCTTTGTACCAATAATCATAAACAGTTGTACAATACGTGTCTCAATTATCCGAAACGTACGCGTGAATGTCGGGTTTTTATATGTAAATGTTCCAATTACAAACATGTAATATTGTATTTAGGTCTAATATAAATTTTTATACCTACAACGATTCAATGATGTACTCGATTTTTTTGTTCATCTCTCGGGGCCCTTGTATAAATTTTCACTTAAGTGACTTCCGATATACATATTGATATATTAATTACTGCAGATATTGTTTCAAGAGAAAGCATATATAGGCACGCTGAAACGTTCTTCTTCTTTTTTTCTTTTTTTATAAAATAATTGAATCTTGTTACACGAGTTAACATATTACACGACATTAGTAAACGGATAGGACAATGGTTAAAACATATAAACAGCATTAATTTCCTTCTTTTAATAGAAAAAGCTACGATTATACTGACAATTGAAATCTCCTACTATTTATACATCTTCGATGAGGCACAATGTGTTATTTACAGAGATGAGGTTCGCGTGCATAAATTAACGTATCAGTCAATTTATATAATTTCATAACATTAAATATCGATCTAAAATCCGTCGAAACTTGCGAGAGAGACATTCCGAGCTTCAACGAACATTTATTACTGTTAGTTAAATAAATATCTCGTTAACTCTGATACAGAGCAGTTATAGATTCGAAAGAGAGAGAGAGAGTATTGCAGCCAAGGAGGAAGAGCCTCGATTGGGGAAAATGAACTGTAGAGCAATGTTCATTTAGCCGTATCAGATTTGGCAAGGGCAAACTTAAGTCAATCTAAACATTCATACGTTGAACACATTTGTTTATACCCCCCACTTCAAGATGAGCAAAATGGAGCAATTAATTCATAAGACTGCAGGAGTCGGGAATAACGAGAAGCACTCGTTAGACAACTAAAATAAAAAAAAAATAATAATGCATTTCTTGACGGGTACAGTATCAACCCCAGATCAGATCTAAATCCCCAAATGCCAAACTACGTCTTCAACGTCTTCAACGTCACCTCCGACGTCAAAATAGGAGCGTATTATCAAGCCCGATAATTATTAATCGAGTTAAGTCCTGCCGAATCACTTTGGATCAACCCTGACCTACGGCTTTATCTCTCTGAATCCTCAACGCCGATTTCTAACGCTCGTCCTGCTGCAAACTATTAGATCAAGGAACGAGTTCCCGTTTTTTAAAGTGACACGAGAGGCAACGACGCAACAAACAAATTAAAATCCAGAGAAATGCAACTTCGAGTACCCCACGCGATTCGCCCTGTCCAATTGTCCAGGATGGTCAGAGTGTCGTCACTTTTCCAAATTCAGGAAGCGATTACAACCATCAGAGGAGTCAACCAGGATAATGGCACCGGGGCACCTTCCCCTAGGTCCTTCTTCCCAGACTCGTTACAAGACACACAATTTGCTAGCGATGTAATGAAGGTGTAGAACGGTGCACGCCATTGTGAGCATGTTCCCCATGGCTATGCAGACGTGGACGCGCCGGAACGCGGCGTGGATCTTCAAATAGTGAGGACAATGCTTAAGAGGTCCTGGATTGTGCCGGCCGATCTCGTTCCCGACGCCTGCGGCACGCTCCAGGGTGTTCTTCTGGACGATCAGGTGCAACAACGGCGGCGTCAGGTAGAGGCGAATCAACAGCTCCAAGAAGAAGGCACCCGACATCCCGCCGACCTGGAAGAACGTACCCATATTAATTGATGATCTCCACGTGGAGGACCTCGCGATCACGTGTATAGACTTCCAGCAAAGGGAGGGCTTCGTCCAGGCAATTGCGTAACCCGGGACTGCATCCTCTTACCCTGGGGAAGAACGAACATGGCCGTGAGAAACTACAAACCTGAATGGCTACTTCGGTGTCCCACGTATGGGCAGGATGATGCTTCACGAATATAAGGAGCGTTGTCAGACTGAGGCACGCATTCAGCGTGAAGTACCTTGGAAAAAGTACTCGTTGTACCTCTCCGAATGTATGTCGCGGCAGGGCGAAGTACAAGGAGAGGCCTGCAACACGAAGAAGGTCTTAGAGATATGATAGGCAGCAGGTAAATCCGTAATTAAGTGATGAGTAAAGGATTGAAATAGAGTTCGATTGAATGAAACATTACGAAGGGTGGATTACCCGAGACGAAGGTCATCCAAATTTGAGCCCCGACGTGCATGACGAAGGAGGCCAGGTAGATAAAGGACGTCGTTCGCGAATGTGGATGACCCGCGGCGTTAACCCTTTCGGTCGTCGGGACGAGAGCGGACATCACGCAGAGCACCGCCGCTATCATTATCACGTGGGCTGGCTGAGCCGTGTGGAAGAGGATCCTGAAATGTCGAAAGAGAATCGTTAATCGACGTTTATAGCGACTACCCACGTGGATTCGATCTGTCTATATTGACCATGGTCATGGTTTCAATATGGGACCAATATTGGTAATCGAGCCTCCGAGAATCGTTAATCGACGTTTATAGCGATTACCCTTGTGGATTCGATCTGTCTATATTGACCATGGTCATGGTCAACATGGTTTCAATATCGGGCCAATATTGATAATCGAGCCTGGGCCGATTATCTTGGCCCGATGTTGAAAATACCATCGGTACACTGGGAGACATCAATGCCCTCCCAACCTGCACAGGCGATGCCGTATCAGCAGGGGAGGCATTCATGTCGGCCATTGTACATGTTAGGCCCGATATCGGCATTACATCCTCAGTCTAAGAAAAGCCGACGTTTTGAAATAGATTAAGCCATATTGGCTTAATCTATTTAAAAGGATATTCCTTTTCGCTGCCACGTGGTCCCATGAGACCGGCGTTTGTCTTTTTATTTCGACCATGGTGGTCACCCGTTACCGGCGCTACTAACTTACGGTAATAAACACCCCATTGATAAGAGTAGGATTTCATTTACTCACATTTAATATTCCACCATCATATGCTAAGAATAATGGAAATAATCCCTCGGGTTTACCTCTTAGAACTCTATAGTGATTCCCCTTGTCCACCGAGAGGCAAGGACAACACAAGCCGCGGCGTAACCGGCGAGTTAACCCGAGATTAACGGATCATAGCGGATACGCTCGGCCGCGCGGTTACCCTCGATACTTTCGCGGCCTAATGTAAATATAAATATGCAATTCGCGTATTCTCACATAGACCTGGTGGCGGTAAAAGACGGATCTCGCCAAGCCGTTCGGAATTAGCTTAGCTTACCTCGCTCGCTCAGGAAATTTATTCAAGTGGCCGTCCTTCCTGCGGACGCGGAGGAAAATATTTCCTCTGTAAACCGGGGATAAAGTTGAGCCAATGTGCGCGATAAATCAGATCGGACCCTTAAGGTGGTCTTGATATCTACGAGGAGTCATTGAAAAGTTTCCTAGCTCCTCCTGAGGATCATTAATGACACGAATGGGTCATTTCAAAATAATTGCATCCAGCTCGGAGGAAAGTTTAATAAATATTTTAACATTTTATATATAACTATATACATATATATATATGATGTCTGTCATATTAAATCAAAGGCAATCGGTGCTCAACGAAGTAATATCGTTTTTCAACGATTTCGGAGCGAATGGTCCCTCGGGTTAACATATGATATCATTCTGGTTGGCAGTCGGTAAATTTTTTTTTCTTTTACCAGTGGCCCGTCCTTATCAAACTTATCAACGTTTAATTTCTGTCCCAAAGCATTAGGCGCCTCGTCGAACCGACGTCAAACGTCCAGTTACACATTTCGGCAACCGGCGCCGAATTTACATAGCAAATGCTGCCACGACAAGACGCGGTTAAGCTGCCAGTTAATACGTCAGTCGTGAAACCACGTGTGTGTGTAATTTAAATGGCACGCATGGAGCTGCAAACTACGAGGTCGTTTTTCTCGTCCGACGTCGCTCGTGGCAAAAGATAACTCTTTGAGATCTCTCGAGGAATCCGACATTTTGGACAGGCGTATTTAGCGAGGCTCCCCTTCTTCCTTTTCCAGGCTTTTTTTAGCACGCGAAAAAGCATCGCCTGCATTTAAACATCACTCCAACTACTGCTGAATGGCGTTTCTAATAATAGTCTATACCGTAATGACATTTACAGTAACGACAAACTGCAACAGGAATTTTTTTGGCTTTTTTAGTACGCGAGAAAGCAATAATAATAGTCTGTACCTTAATGACGTTTGTAGTAACGACAAATTATAAAACGACAAGACGGTAATGATAAATAAAAATAGAAGTCGATTAAATCATGAAATCCTAAATCATTGAATTTTTTGAAAGTCAAGGAACATTAAAAAACTTATCGCTGTGGGATTTACTTATCGATAAAGTTAACCTTGAGCTTTAGGCGTTGCACATTTTAACAGCAGTATGCTAATCTACATATATAATTTTTTACGGTAAATCGGTAAATATACAGCGTCACCGGACTCACAAGGAGCCTCTAATAAATAATATTAGGAAAATCGGTCACGCCACATGGTCTTAGAAATCCACCTGCATAAAATGAGTACACCGTCAGTATATCATCCCCGGCACTATCATTACCCTTTAACAGGTCGTATAATTTTTATTGCGCCTTGTCCGTGACCTACCGCAGTTTATACGAAGATTAAATATTTATTCATAGGCCGCCACACCTAGCGTATTCATATATTCGAGAAGAGGTGTCCGAAAAAGGAACACGTAATCGATTACACGACTATGTAGAATACAAAAGCGATCGAGGTAATGTTGCACCGATCGGAAATAAAAAGATCAAACGGGCGCCGATCGCGAGGCGAGATAATTATCGGACGGGACGGTTAATCGATCGATTTTTGGGAGGGGGTCAAGGCGGAACGAAACGGAGGCTCGACTTCTTTTTTATTTTTATTTTATTTTTTCTCTCCCCTCGATTTTTTCCTTTCGAGAAATCGCCGCTTCGGCGAATCATGTCCCGCGGTGCCGGTGGGCGTAAAAAATGATTTACCGCCGGCTCCTCGGGGCCGATAAACCTTCCTCCAGGTTGCACTTCATTTTTTTTTTTTTTTAATATATATATATATCCATCAGGTGCAGCGAATGATTTCCCGGAATTGTCACGCGAGTTTAACATACGACAAGGGATGGCAAGTCACGTAGGTAAGAATTCCCACGTACGCACTTTGCCTCGCTTCGTTGCAATGAGCGGATGTGCACCTCGTGACACTTTTTTCTAATCGCCAGATAACGTCATTTAGAAAGGCAATTCGCCCTTAAGGTGATATAAAAGAGTCATATATATCGAAAGGTGAAAATATTGATAGAACTTTTTTACAAACCGGGTGCACCGAGTCATTTCAAACTTTCATACAATGAGCAATTAAGCTCGATCGAGATTTATGCATTAATATGTTCTCACGGTGCAAGGTGCGTGCATACGAGTACAGTGATAATACGAGCGGTCCAGTGGTGGGAAATCCTCCTCAACGGATGTGGCGACAATTTTTCCCTGCTATCTCCAAGACCGGGTCTTGCAAAAGGATGGCAATGGTCGTTACTCCCCCGTATTTTTCGTGCAAACATTAAAATCCCGGGAAAAATGAGTAGGTGTCCCCTTTGGTTACTTTATTTTCTAAAATTTATATCAGATATGCCTGGATATCTGGGTGCTAACAATTTATTTGTACCGTAAAAAATGAGCACTATCGTTACTTCCCCCTATTTTTCGTGCAAACATTAAAATCCCGGGAAAAATGAGTAGGTGTCCCCTTTGGTTACTTTATTTTCTAAAATTCATATCAGACATACCTGAATATCCGGGCGCTAAGAATTTATTTGTACCGTAAAAAAAAATGGGCATGATCGCATACCATAAATGATTACTTGAGGACACGGTCCCCTCTCTTCAATAGATATATTTAAAGTGTAACTTTTTATGAACGGCCATAACGGGCCCCTACCCTCTCGCCAATTGGGCAATTCGCTTCTTGTTCCGTGTATTAAGAAGCAATTCACCCACCGTGATATGTTTGCGAAGTGAATATAGAAACGAGAAGTGCTAAGAAGCCGAAACGAGTCTCTCGGCGATTACCGAGCGGGGCTCACCTGAAAATTACACCTCAATGGGGTACTAATAACACAGCGATTAAGGCGGTACCCCGCAATTTTCTTGCAATCTTGGCAGTCTCGAGAACGCGTTTCGGGCGAAAGAAAACAAATCGAAGAATTATACCCTCGGATGGCGAACGAAACCGCTGAGATCGCTCGTTAGGGAAACCAAAGAAATTCGAGCGTCAAGATCGATTTAATTGCCCTTTTTCCCGTAACGAACTGATACTCGTTAATAGTGCGGCATTTAATTAAGAATGTGTAATAGCCGAGGATCACCCATCGACGGAGGTTCTACGATTTTCTACGGTAAATCACAATGGTTTACGCGGTGAACGTCAAAAATCTCGAAATTATCCGAGTATATTATATTAAATTACAATTACAAAAGGACAAATAAAAAATATCCCAATTACTTCCTGGGATATGATTTACAGCCGCTAAATTATCGATATCGTCAAGATCGATATTTCTGCTTTCCCCAACAAATGGATACGCGTTAATAGTGCGGCATTTAATTTAATTTTGCATGATAAGGAAGTATGAAAAAAAGGGTCCTTATCACCAAATTTCAGGCTTAATGATAGTGATTAGTAAAATTGGGCGTATATATACGCTCCGGTGATAGTGACCAGGAAAACAGAGGGTATATATACGCTAATGGTGCAAATGGGTTAATAAAGGATGTGTAATAGCCGGGGTTCATCCGTCGGCGGAGGTTCGGTGAGCCACCTGACTCGTTAAGCAGATTGGCAATAGCAGAGAGGCAAATGGCGAGGAGAGCGCAGACATGAACGGCCGAGCATCTCGCACGTACGCCCTGGGAGAAGGTTGAGACCGCCGTTATGCAACACCGATACAATCTCGCAAAAAGGAAACCGTCTACGCGAAACAATGTCATCCGGGGTGTTACCAGCGAGACCTAAGCGACTGGATATTATCCAATTTAAAAACGCGACTAATTCGTACATTATAAATTTCCTTAATTAATATAATAAACTGACCACGTGTAACATACGTAATTCTACACGTGTCTTAAAAGCTTAATTTAATTCCAATTCCTATATTAACAAAGTACAAGTGTCTTAACAAACGCTGCTAATGATATACATGAAAATATCCGTCGATAACGACAAAGTCGTTACTTGCATTTCCTACTGAAATAACGGTACAACTCGCGTGCTATTCTCCTAAAGATGCATAACAGTACACCGTGCATAAATAACAGGAGAAATACTAGAATATGATAGCCCTTTGGGATAGGATGGACAAGCAGCCCCCCTCTCTCGAGCGATGCGCTCCGGCCGAGCGGCCGTCGCCGACTGCGGCGAGCCGGTCTCGCGACGCCGTCGATACCTCGGGTGTCCATTCGCGAGTCCGGCGATTTGCGCGCGCAGGTACCTGGCACTTCTCATAGCCTCCGGCAAACGTGCGAGACGTCACGCAATCCACCCTCGGGTCATAGATGTCAGACCGATCGGACGCAACGCGTGGCCGGTCTTAGTACCGTCATTAACGCTCGCGTTTCCGCGTCGCGTGCTCCCGATTGAACTTCGATACGAGGGGAGGGAGGAGGGGGGCTGATATCGATCTTTTCTGGAGTAATCTTGACGTACGATTTCATCGTCTTGAATCCCACCTTTGGGCAACCGCGCGACTCTTATCGGAGAAAGTGACGCGACTAAAGATCAAGAGACGACCGTTAATATATCTCGAGCAAGTTCACGGCCTACTATCAAGGTTGATAAAAAAAAAAAAAAATCACGATTTCTTTGAATAAAAGTCACCGACTCTTCCTAACTCACCATTTCCTCTTTCTATATTTAATACCCGTGTTATTCAAGTAAACGCCTCATTTAAGATTAGGTTAAATCAGTATTAATAAATAAAAAAAAAATAATAAAAAAAGAAATTCATCGAACCAAAGAAATATTTCTTTAAATAGAGACCGAGAATTTCACGTGTCGAATTTTGGTAACGATTTATCGGGGCGATCCAATTTTTTTTTTTCTACATCCGCGGGAAATCAGAGTCCAACGTCTTATCGGTATCGCGGTAAAGTAATTGCTACTTTTTTTTTTTCTATCTATCCAGTGGGAAATAAAAAAAGAAAAGACAGGATTTAAACTACCACGAGGGATCGATTAATCTATCATAAAGTATAGTAACGCGGATTTTCGCGCGTACAATTACTCCGTCTATTAAATGTATTACCTATTCTAGCGTTCGTTAACCCTTTCCCCCTGATGTAACGGATGACCTTCGGCTACTGGTCGTGCTCAACTCCGCGAGTCAGCAAAGAGATAGGAGAGAAAAAGAATGACGGGGGAAGAAGAAAAAAGAAAAAAAAACTCACAGGTCTCACTTTCGCGGATCTTGCGGTAGGTCACGTAGGCAGGAGCCTAACCTGACGTCAACCCGTGTGGGGAATCTGGTTTAACGATCCAACTCCATCCCGTTTAGCCTAATCAGAAAATTTCATTGGGAGCTCGACAGTACAACCCAACTATTCCAACAATGCGCTTATAATCATTTCCACCGCCACTCCACAACAGAGTCAATTAAAGCATTACGCCACATAGAAACTCTAAGAAAGTCGGATTTTCGTATATACATTTAATAAATAATTTTTTTCCCCCCATTCGATGACGTTCGATACGTTCGTATGCACCTTTCCTCCTTCGAGGGGCGTCATGCGCCCGTTATAACATTTTTCCTAAAATACTTAACCCACCGGGATATAAATAGCCCCTCGGGAACCGCGTCACCGAAGTATTTAAACGCGCAATTGTTATATATACGTATATAAAAAAAAAAGAAAAAAAAGAAGTAACTTCGCAGCCGGCACGTGGGGTGCACCGAAATTAAAAAGTCATTTATCAACCGGCGGGGACTCGACAGAAGTTCGACCAGGTCTGATGAACTGGTTCCCGAAAGTATCACGTGCGAGGCTCCACTTTGAGTGCGAACGCGTTTCATATGTAGGTGTGGATCGTGTGTTATAACGATACGTATGTATTAGTTTTTATACCAATGTGTTAGGGTAATTTGGCGCGGAGTTCTACGGAGTTTCCTGATCCGAGGCGTTGACGCGCCGCGCTCAGTGAGACCCCACCGATTTAACGCTAACACCGAGTGCAACGTCGTCACGTGATCTTGCCGGCATTCATAAAAATAGCATTATTAATCCATAAGAAAAGCATTATTAACCCTGATTACCGATTACCGCCGATATTTATGCGGAAGCCAATATAATTATACCTTAAGGTGAAATGAAAGGATCATTGTATATATATATAAAAAGTATTTCTATTAAAAATGAAGAATTTCATGAGCACCACGTTCCTCCTTAGGGCCTCCCTAATCACGTGGTGAGGTTACAAACGATTCGGTGCATCCAATTAGGAAAAGGGATTTATAAATATTTTAACGTATTATGTTATATACATAGACCCTTTCATATCACCTTAAACGAAGTGAAATTGGAAGCCGTGAATCATTTGGGATTTCCGCAAGTTGAATTAATATAGGTTAGTTGTCTCACTTGTATGTCTTGGACCGCTGCACGGCGACGTAGTGTCTCTGGAGGGCGTCGAGCAGCGCGCCGTACTTTACGCTGCTGGTGGCGAGCAAGTAATTGGCGACGTCCACGAGGCAGAGGGAACCAGCCTGCTTCTGGCCAATGATCTCGAGCTCGCGGGTGACCATCTCGTCGTGCAGCTTGACGTACTTCTCCTTGGCCTTGATAAGGCCGGCCTGCTGCCGGACGATCGCGTCCGCGGCTTCGACTCCCATGCTCGACTTAAGGCACATGGCTCTTCGGAGGGCGCGAAGACGCGCGAATCGGGGGCGGCTAAGTACTCGAGACCTCGCGTGGCATAGAGCTAGGCGCCTGCGCGGCGAATGGTCCGGCGAACTGGAACGCGCCAACTTGAAAGCACGGCGGGAGCGAGGGTGCGCTGCGGCGGCGTGGGAGGTCCTCGCGGCGCGGCGGCTCGGGGAGGATTGCGGGCCGGCGCGCCGCTCGCGCGCTTTTATACCCCCTCCACTGCCCCCGACCGGTAGCCAATCACCGGGCGCCTCGTGCGCGCCGGCGAAACCGGCCGACCCGAACCCTTCGATAGGCCGATTCCTTATCGATCACCCGGTTTCGCCGGAATCCATAAATCCCTAACCCAAGTTTCTCACTTTTCTACGTGACTTGGATCACCTAGAGATTCTGTAGGATGTCCCAATTCGCCTTTGAAAGGGAAATTAGGAATCTGGGCCTGTTGAAACGTCCTATATAAGACGTGTACAAAACCATTCTACGTTTCTTGAGCATGTATGTCGGCACATATGTGCACGATGTATCGTACGGAAATTTGATAGTAATATTCCGCGTTTATATTCACCCGATTTTAATTACAGATAATACCATTTTTACGGAGTGGCTGGTCAGGACGTCTACGTTAACGTATATACGTGACGTAGATGTGCTACGTGACGTCTCTACGTGAACGTATCTACGTGACGTAGATCACCTACCACCTCGAGAGAGGAGTTAATCTTTTCTGAGTTCTGGGTGACGAGGCCTTCTGGAAAGGGCCAGACCATCTTTCGGCTAGAATAGTTACACAATGAAAATTGGAGACCGACATTCCTTCCGGGAGATTCCCCACTGACGTGGCCTTGCTTCTATTTTATTCTCTCTCTCATATGGAGATGGATGCTCGAAAACCTCCCGAAAGAACCGCCTTTTTAAATCCCGCCTCGTGATTATAATAACAAGACTGGAGTTAAGATTCGCAATTAAATTCTTGTCCGCATATTTTCTTCACGTGCAACGTGGGATTGTTCACTTGGAAGTTAGTGAAAACGATTTCCTTTTTTCGGGATCGATCGATCCTTTGATTACATATGATAAGCGTCACTGCAATTCGGTAACAAGTGGCGTTCGGCCTTAAATTGTTGATAATATTACGATTTCCAGATGATTACCGGGGGATATCGAGTATTAAATTGGACGACTTTTTCAGCGAATACCCCCTCGTAACTTTCAGGAGACTAATGAAATTAATTTATTCGTTACGCGCCAAGAGAGAAGAATTGTTTCGTATAAACACTGACCCCGGTGGTCGGGAATTCGCGGTCGCAGGAGCAAAACTCTTCTTCTTTTTCTCTTTTTTTTTCCCTCGGCACACGAGACAATGTCGAGCATACCTATGTGACCCAACATCTGAATACTACATGAAGATGGTCCGCCCATGTTAGGACCGGGTACCATCCAACATAAAACCAGTTTAAAGTCCCTCGGCGATTTTAAGAACGATATAGCGTTGATCCTCCCCGTGGTACCCAATAAAAAAGATGGAAAATAAAAGCACTAAAATGGTCCATCTTCAAAGATCCAAGCGCCTTTGTCCTTCCCTCGGTGCGCCTGCCTGGAATCTTCAATCTCGTTAAACGGCGAAAACATTTTACAATGCGAATCGCATTTACATATTTTTTTTTTATGGAAAACTACAAATAGGACTCTGCCATGCGCTAAAACTATCTAAGGGCGAATCTTCTCTAGGACAAATGTACGATAAGGGTACTTGACGATTCAAGGATGCCCGGAAGTGATAGCCCGATTGGGCCTTCCCCTGATAAAAATCGATGAAAGTCTACATACACTTTACCCCTCACACCTGATATATCACAGAGAAACCTGAAGTGAACTGTTTTAACCGAGGGAATTCTTTCTGGGGGAGGGAAACTGTAAGGTGGCAAAATCGGACGGTAAAAAAGGGGCTCAAGATCAATGTCAGCCATGAAAGGATCAAGAGAGCCCCTTCCGAAAATCTTCCTTTCCCTTCCTTTTGCAGTTTATTGCCTCATAAAGTTTCCTCGTGGAGGTCGCTGACCAGCCCTTTCATCGATCTGGCAGTTTGCCCGTTCTTCTTGGCATTTCCCTATTTTTAGGCGATTAATTTCCCACTCGAGCAGTGCTCCGAAATGCCGAACCGTCGATTTAGGGATACATCTTCGCTTGTTACAGAAAACCTTGTAACAATAATCGAATTCGAGCACGCCCGACGTTCCGAGCCAGACGAGCGTTCCCAATCCGTCCAAGTACGTTTTTTAATGAAGCATATAAATAATATCCTCACGGACGCGCCGATCGTAATTTCGCGCGAGTTGACACGCGATTATGAGCCCGGGTTTCAAAATGATACATGAAAGTTCGTGCAATAGGCGCCCGATTTCTCCCGACATACTTTAATCATTGATTAAGAGCGTACTCTTCGTTTCGTCCCGAGGTCACGTCATGGATTTTTAGAAAGATCTTCTTTACCGACGTCGATCAAGTTCCTTAATAAAAATTCCTACTAAGGTTTTGCAGCTCCTAGAATGACTTGAAAGGTCTTCTTTCTCTTTTTCTTTCCTTCATCTTTTAAGGATTCAACAGCTGTTTAGAACTCGATGACGACTTTTCACACGAGGAACCATAAGCCATGTAAACATCCGTGAAATAAATCATTGAGTTAATGCCGACAGTAATTCATTGGAGATCATCTCGCGCAAGGTTGATCTTCTGAATATTGCCTTGAAGTTAATCAGTTAATTGAAATCGGCGTTACTCGATCGTGACGAGTATTAGCTACCCGGAAACGAAACGAAGAGAGTAAATTCAACTAAACTCCCAATTTAAACATAGCGAATTAAATAAGAAATTGCAACAGGGAATTAAACTCACTGGAAATCTTATCATCAGAAATGAGATCCGAAATAAAAAAAAAAATCGTGTCGATTGCACCAAGAGCGCACGTGCCGTACTCGATGTTAATTGCAAGTACCTCAGTTTTTCGGGGTAATGTTTACTGTCAACTGTTGCAGAAATCTGTCGGACCTTCGTCAGATTGCTCTTATAACGAGGCTGTAAATCACCGTGCATAAGAGGATTTTACGACGGATGTAAACAGGCTGTACGGTACCCCCGAATGCAAATGTAAACTTCTTTTGGCATTGATCGGAGTTTTACGGCTTTGGAAGACGGACACCACCAAAGAAGAACCAGGGCCCATAATTTCCTCAACTCTTCACCACTTAGTCCTACATTTAATCCTTTGATATTAATCCCCCTCGCCGGCAGCTTAGCGCAATCCACGTCAACGTTGCATAAATCCGCGTATCATAAATTAGACATTCCGGAATCGTTTAATAGGTACCATAAGGTCTCACTTTTTTGTCCCTCGGTGTCAGAAGATATTCAGACCAGGCATTTAATCCCAGGCACTGCGTCCATTCAGCACACTCTGTAAGATAAAACGAAGACCTATGTATTACGTGCACGTAGCCGAGTAATAGTTGCTCGGTACTTGAAGTAAGGCTCAATGAGCTCGTAAACAATAGGGCGACCGTTCCGCTAACGAGGGCGACGCGTCTAGTATGTCGACTGATAACTTTTATTACAGTCGGCGGTAACGACACTTTGTAAATACCGGGCTGACAAGGTATATTGGATTTAAATGAAAGTATGCGGTGCCTACGTGAGGATTCGCGCCAACCGGACGCTATAGATACACCGCCGTCTGCAGAAGCTGCGTCAGCAGCGACAGTGTAACATGTCATTCATGAATTGGCCCGATAAAGTAGAAAAGTGCGGACAAATTGATCAAGAACTTAGACTGGAATACCCTTATCTGCCTCGAGGTCCTGCACTCACCGAAAATAGGGTCAACGATCGGGCCCCTTCAAAGAAAACCCTCTTTTTTTCCACGATCCGACAATCTCGTATCTGAAACATAAATACATATTCGTTATTGATATGCCATATCAAGCCGATGCCAACGATACGATATGTCGGGGAAACTCGGTAGAGTTTAAAAGCATGCGCGAATACATAAATACTTAACGTCGATGTTGGGTACATCACTTTCATGAATATTAATCTCTCACTTCAGAGAAATTATCGTAAATCCATGTTTGGCTTAATGAGAGTATCTTCCGTTCTACGGCCTGTAATTTTAATATATTCAATCGTTAATCAATGTCGTCGACCCTCTGTACTCATATGTTGTAAACAATTCGTCAAAGTGTGTGGCAATTCTTTCCACGCGGAACAAGGAAACGAGTCACCGATCAGATGATATCTGCAGCGATAGCAAATATCGTCTGCCGCTGTTAAGAGATACAATTGTTGCGATAGCGATTAAATAAATCTGCAATTGCAAGGTACACTCCCTGTCGGGGGAAGTTCGCTAAATAGCGAGTTAACGCGTTAATTACTCGTACCATTCCACGAGAAGGCCATCACTGTCCGGTAGATTTATTTTTAAGTTTATACACGGTATGTGCTACATAAAATCACATTCATTCGAACTACCTTTTAATTCGGGAAGAATATTTAAAAAATAACGTATACAAATAAACTATTAATAGCATGACCACGAGTACTAAATCGATGGCGATCTATAAGTTACAAAAGAAAGGGGGAAAAAAAAAAAGAAAAGGAAATTAAGTCGTTAATCTTTAGCTTTGATCCATTATGTTGGTTTCGTTCATATTGCTACCGGAGCAATCCTTCTGTATCAACTCGAAGAGAGGCTGTAAGTCTGAGGTCGCCTTGATCTGCGTTACGAACTCACTCAAGGTAGGGTTTTTATCTGCAACAAGATGCCATAAAAATTATCCTTATTAAACATTGATCGACCCCTTTCTAGTAACTCACCAGCGTCGGGGATTTTTAACAACGCTGCAACGGCCCTCAGAGCGGAACGCTTGAGTTCGTCTTGTTTTTCATATTCCTGTTTGACGGAATTAGCCTTCACCTTCATGGTGCAAGTACTCTTCAGCGGTTCCACCAGCCTTTCTAACCCTAGGAAAATGCACATTCACAAAACGTATATTATCCTCAAAGAATAATTACACTGCACTGATGTACCAATTTTAATTTAACCCTTTAAGTGCCGGACAGCGACATATCCTTGTTTACAAGTGCAACTTCGGCCGGCACTAAAAGGGTTAATGATCAGTAGTCCTAAAACAAGGACGAAGACAATAAAAATCGGGCCTTACTCTGTAAGACAGCGGTGGGGCATAATTGCGCTAGCCGGGCAGTCATAAGATAAGTAAGCATTTTGATATCATAGTGATCCTTTAAGCCTGTTTCCACATGGTTCAAGAATTCGAAGACATCCAGTCGGTCGAGACAAGAGTCCAACAAGGTATACATGCATTCGAAGGCCGCCTTTCTTAAGTCCAGCCCATCGTCCACAGTATGCTTGAATGGGCCCATTTCCACTTCCCTAATCAATTCTTTCTGGAAAAGAAAAGTATACGCATTAAATCCTGCTTATCACCCCGTAACCCAACTGCTCGACCAGTTCCGTCTTAAGGTTCCATAAGAGGGTAAAATCGTTCGGTCAAAATGAGAGGAAGGTACGTTGTCTAAAACGATAAGCTATTAATTGATTAGATGATAAGGTACGATTTAAAGGGACGCACCTTGACCACCGTTTCGGTATAGAGATGAGGTAGTACGGAGTCTAGAAGGTCACGTATGAGCATAGGCTTGTTATGTGCTGCGGAGTTAAACGCTACCAGAGCTACCCTTCTGACGTTTAAGTCAGGATCTTCCAAGGCGACCAAGAAACTTCCCATGCACTGCTTCAGCATCGCATCGATTTGCTGAGGCTGCAAAGTAATTAAACACGCGTCACATCATATCTAGAATAATACCCTTTCCTTGTATCAGGTTGAGGAATAAGTTCCCGCACGTCGATAGAATTTCTCTACGTGTTTCGCTTCACCTTAATTATGTAATGTTACGTTAAAAACTGCGAGAACTTGTTCCTCGGGCTAACATCTTTACGGCCACTTGCGGATTGTACCTGGTCCGAAATCGTAAACTTAACAGCTGTAACAGTCGTGGTTCTCATAAGGGCGGAGGGTGATTTTAAGGACTCTTGCAACCTTGGTAACAGAGTTGCAGGATCAATTAACGTCAATTTCCCGAGGCACTCGGCTACTACGTTGCGGGTTCCCTCTTCCGTGCACTCGCAGTGCCTGTACAACAGCATCCAAATAGCAGGCACGAAGTTCTGTAAATGCGACACTCCAGACGGACTGGCCGACTGACACGTGATGACCTGTAACGTTAAATGTGAAATAATAATTTTTTCTTTATTTTATTTACAAGTTATTCAAATACATTGACACATAGCTGTCCCTCAATTTACACGAAGTACGCGCTCCTCGTGGATTGGTTTTACCGCGTAAATTTTTAATAAAAAAAAAAAAAAAGAGGAGACTCGCGTAAATTCTCAAAGTGGTGATCAAGCAACTCAAATTGACATGCGTTGGTAATACTCTCGATCTGTTATTTCAGAAAAATTGTATACAATTTGAAACGAAACAAATGGACACCTAGGTATAACTCTGAACATAGAAAGACTAATTACTATTGTACTGCGTGTGTGCTTACTTCTTTCAGCGAATGAAGAAGAAGATATTGGCGCTTTGGCTGTGCCTCGATCTCTATCAGGATGAAAGGAAGATACACTGACAGATTTCCTACCGCTACGTTTCCCAAGGTGTAGCTAGCAGCAGATTTAACTTCTTCCGATTGGGATGAGAACGAGGACAAGATTACGTGTTTCAACAAATTAATGCCACTCAGATCTCTGTAAACATAATTTTGCCGACAGGCAATATTATACATCTTGGGGAAAAAAAAAACCATTGCTTAAAAAGATAACTTTAGATGTGGAGGAAAATTATGCACGTTGCTAATGCCTTGATATTTTCAATGCGACATATTAATGACAAGGCCATGTTTTAGCTGTACTTGATGACAAAATTCAAGAAACGTTTGATAAGGGGAAAAGCGACTACCGTTTCTATGAATTCGATAAGATCTCCCAGTAGGTGTTAGGCCCATTTTAATCAGTACTAATGATTAATATTAATAATCTGTAACGCCTGCCTTCTATATGTAAGTGAATTTTAGGATAACCGGAACTTACACATGTCGGCCGATTTCTCCGATAACAAGCAGAGCAAAAATGTGCTGTGCGTCGTTTTGCGGATTTTGAACGTCTTTCAGGAACTGTTCTACCACGCACTGAGCCTCCTGGTGCCAAGTGATCGTCAGGGCTGCAGCACACTTTGCCAATGAATGATATGCCTGTTTGTGAAGTACGGACTGAGCAACCGGTGCCACCAGCATCGAAAGAAGTTCTCGATACCCCAGACCTGGAATATCAGCCTGGACCAAAGCTTGAAAGAATTCCAGCATGGAGTTCAGCGCAGCACCTGATTAAAGAATATACAAAATAAATGGCGCAAATAAGAAAATTAATAAGTAAGGTAACATGCCACAAACCTTGCAACAGTGCAGATTTCACCAAGACCAATATCTCCGGTAGAATATTGTCAGAGACTCTCGTCAACGCGACAGGATGTAACTTTGCAATCGTAGTTAATAGGGTAAGAGTTAGCTGAGCAATATGCAGATCGGCCTCGTTCAATAAAGGAGGTAACTCCGCGGTGACCTTGAAAAAAAAATACATGTAGGTAACGAAAGTTTACGAAATCCTCCCTCGTTAAATCTACGCTTAGTTGTAATTCTTCTGGAGTACCTTGTCGAGCAGCTCTGCATGTAACGCGGAGCTGTAATTGCGAACCAAAGTGTCCAGAAGCGTGAGAGACGAGAGTTTCAGAGCTCGTTGATTCTTCCTCAAGAATGAGCCAAGTACCGGAATCGCCTCCTCCTATTGTTAATAAAATTTGGTATAATAATTATGTGTAAGATTTAGATAGCAACCTTCGTCTTATCAGGATTATTTATGTTGGACTTATGTCTACATTGATAATTATGATAAGACCCTTACCATGATAGGCTTGAGGTCCACTCTCAGAGGGGATGCAGCGATGTAAGTCAAAGCCTTAACTGTCGTCAGTCGAGTGATCTCATTGCGAAGTCGATCGAGGAAAATTGGAAGACACACGGGCAGTTCGTCGTATAAAGTATCACCAAGGTGGGCAAGAATCTGCCCCATGCAAGCAATAGCCCGTTCTTTCACCTCCTGATCTATATCTGCAGATCGCAGCCTCATTAAAGTGGATCGATAAATTTCTCCAGAGAGCGATGTGAAATCGAAGCTGCAAGGTTTATCTGAAAGCATCGATACGAAGGATGTTATTAATAAAAAATTGCGAATCCTCAAAAAAAAAAAAAAGATATTCTTAATCAAATTTCCCATTTGCTATAATTAGCGTTCTATATAGGTTTTATTATAAGTGAAACTTACCATGAGGTCTGATAACCTGCACAAGTTGTTGCAAGACGAGAAGGGCTTCGGCTGTAATTTTGTAAAAGGGGTCTCCGACAGCAGCTATCACTGGTGGAGCCAACACTGACATGTGAGCATGGAAAGCTTCCGGATGATGGGTTACGATTAAAGTATGTACGAATGCCAAGGTATCAATCTTCATATTCGACGATGAATTTTTATCTCCCAGGGAGTACTGAATTCCAGGGATCAGTGCAGGGATATGGTTGGTCAATGCACCTGGCAGTACGAGAACTAGTTCCTTCAGAAGGGAAAAACAGTCTTGTCGGGTCTTGATGCTTTTTTCTTTCATTTGACGATGTACCGCTTTAACTATAAGCGGGACTTGCTGCTGCAACAATGAGATAGGTCCCTCTTCATCTTCCATTGAGTCAGGATCAAGCGGAACACCAGTAGCTGGCCTAGTTTGTCGCAACAGTGCAATGTAGGCATGGAAGATGTCAGATTTTACGTTTTCTTCACGTTCTGTAATTGATATAATAATTTCATTTGGTATGCGAGTTTTAGGCAAGTAATTAATAAAAGTACCTTTAAATCTAGCTATAAGAGCCGGTGATACTATTTTATAGAGGTCAGGTAAAAGCTCTCTTCTACTGGATACGACAGCTTCGAGACACTTAGCAGCAGCTCGACGAACTTTCCAACTCATGTCGTCATCATCCGAATATTCGTCTTCGCCATCTTCCTCCCCATCTTCTTCGGTTTCCATAATAACACCTTCGCCGTCAGACAAGTCGTGTACATCATCGTCATAATTGTAGTTCGGATCGTATGTAATATAAAGCAAACAGATTTCTATAATCTAAAAAAGAAATTTCATTAATAATTTGTTTAAACGACCAGGTATAGTAGTTTTATACAGATGCGAGGCTTTAACGCCAGAAAGTAATCGTTACTTTATTTATATGAGGAGTAATCTCTTTAGGACATCGATACACGAAAGCCTCAAAGGCCTGAAGACAGTATTCCCTTAATTCATCGTCATCTTCGTTACTGTACTGTACAATCAGTGGCATAACTCTTTCGACTTGTTCACCGAACCTGTGGCCTGCTTGGCGACTAGAAAAGGATAAATATGACATTTTTCCATTCTATAGAAGACACGGAGGTCTTTATTGTATTAATAATACTTTACTGACTTATTAAAAGTACTGACCAGATTGATGCGATGCATTGTATATAAGTACGAATTACATTCTTCACCTTTTGTGTTGCAAGGCCTTCGCGTAAGTGATCTAGCAGCTTGTTATACAAATAGTTGTTGCTAGATATCAAAAGGTGGCTCAAAGCCACGATTGTACGTTTGCGTACTGCTTGACGTGGAGAAGCGAGCTGTGGCAGCAGTGCAGCTAGAATCATTGGATGAAAAGTAACCAATAAAGCGCCAAAGCGCGATAATAAGTCAGCTACAATGTCAAGAGCTTCAAGCTGCACAGACACATCTTCTTGCTACAAAGAAAAATTATGAAATTGCTGAGCACACCGTTAAGCACATATTAAATACTATTACAAACTAGCATACCTTTTCAATGGCACTACTTAAACGGCCAATGATTCTTTTGCAAACATTTTCTGCAAGGTCTGTAGATCCAAGTGGTAGCTCAGATATTACTGTTTTTAAGCCAATGCTAGAAATATCACGTAGCTGTTCTTTGTCGGAAACCATATTTCCACAGAGAGCATCCACTATCGTTTCTACTTGGTATTCTTTTACTTTATTAACCAATGGACCCAAACTGAAACAAATGCCATAATTCTAATAAACTTGTATACGTAAATGCTAATTTATTAAAGATTTGTCAATATTAACATTTAATATCGTAAGAGGATTATAATAAAACGCATTCACGATCAAGCAATTAAAAAAAAAAATAACAATTTATGATTGAATCAATTGAACGTAATTGCCAATTAGTCTTACCATTTTACAGCTAAATTTTGTACTTCTCCATTTTTGTCTTCTAATAATTTCAGTAGCATCTTTACAACTTTGCGCTCTGAGTCATCATCCAATTTGATACTATCTTTCTGCAATTCTGTCATCAGATCGTTCGTTGCCATAAACCTGAAATCCTTGTCGCTAGATGTCATCTAAACAAATAATTCATTATTTTTATTTTTGCAACAGATCCCATAGAGTTGATACCTTATAAAACAAATGGTTTAAGGTAAGGAACAAACATTACATAATAACTCGCCATCTCGATGGAAAAAGAACTTATGATTATACATCAAATTTTTAAAATATTAACAGTTCTGTATGTACACAAACATTACAGCAAAATTTAAATATCTACCATAATTAATCCTATTAAGCAGTATTAAAATAAAATTACACTCAGAAATAACATTTAAAATCGTTTCCCATAGTACATACATTACATTAAACCCAACACAACGAGGAAATGATTAAAACAGGTAGAGAATTTCTGCAAAAAATTAACATCGCTAATAAAATTCTAACACACCAAGCGATCAAATTTAACAGAACATTTTCCTCGATAATCAGAAAATGTGACCTAACGAAGGTCTACGATTCTGCATCCATTTTCCCAGATAATCTTATATTTGTATTCATATAATATTGATAAACAGTTCTTTCAAGAGTCTCATTATTACGAATATCCGATGGAAAATACTCATTAGGCTGTCAATCTCCTTAAATTAACATAAATGTCGACAAAGCGAGAAAATAAGGCAAGATTCCAGAAAACCGGATTACCGCCGGAAAGAGGTTAGATTTTGGAAAAGACGACAAAGCGTCGCCGGCCGCATTATATCGACACTTGGCAAGTAAATTAATGAAAAAGCATGCAATTCGTAAATTCTCATCATAAATCGATTGTGAATAATGATTTTGTTAAAATACCTTTTCAAGCAGATTCGCTATTTGATACGAAACACTAGCCATGATCGAGAACTTTTTCGACGGCCGGTTCAAGTGTCGATTCTATGTTTCGAATAATAATTGAACACAAAGAAAGAAAACTGGGAACTGTCGCGACTCCGCGGAGTGCAGAACTCTCGGCGATTTCTTTTCGAGTGGGAATTCGTGGCGAACGAGATTTTCATTGAAATTCCACTATCAACAGCATTTCACGAACTGCTGTAGACTGCTGCGGAGGAAGTCAAGGAAATGCCAAAATTTTGACTACAATCGGGCGTTCTAAAACCTGAACGGTTCACGACTACGACCAATCACGACATCTCAATGGATTGTAATCGCTGGTTATTTGCCGTCTTGTTGGAAACTCATAAATGGGTTTATTATTTAAGCTGAAACAGTTCATGCCTCTGCCGACAGGTGGCGAAACGTGAACAGAAAAATGGCCACTGACCATGCATCTAAAGGATGTCAGCATTGAAATATATAGTAAATTTAATATACAGTAATAATAAATATATAGTAAACGTTCGTCACCCTTAAGGTGATATGAAAATGGTATTTGAGAAGTCAATCGTTTATATAACTTTCTTACGAATTGTACTTGTAAACTTATAATCAAAATCATCTTTCATCCCAATCATTCTAGATTTATGATAAATACTATTCGTATTATATAATGCTACTTAATATCTTTTTTATTTTCCGACAATGGTAATTCGCCATGCACTGTATACATTTACAAAAAAGATATGCAGATGTATTAATTGCATTAAAAACACGTATAGTTGTAGCTTCTTATGGTAATACACTATTTTTAAACGTGGTGTCACTTAATAATATACTGCAATTGATCATGTAAAAATCCAATGGTATGCTCACGGAAAGGTACGATTACATTACTTTTGAAACCAATTGCACCAGCCTCAAAACATAATTGTGATACTTAAGTTATTCACAATCACGTTACAATCTGAACGAAATAAGCTCCATCATTAGGAGGAAGCTTACAATTGCACAAATAAATGTGATCGATAAAACATTCTACCAGACCCGAGATCTTGTTTCTAAAGTAATGCATTGTTACCCATCCATGTTTATTTTCATTCATACATTAACATTGAATTTCCTCCTAGCTTATTCCGCCTTTTAAGTCTGAAATTGAAAAACTTGAATGACTCGAATTCATAATTCTCAGAATGGCCCTTAAAACATTTTTAAAGAATAAATACTAAAGGAACTTATATGTAAAATAATTTATGTATACACGTACTTATAATACACGTTACATTAAACAGGCTCGTTTGAAGCGGCGTACAATTTTGAATACAGTATGTTCTTGTTCAATTCGGTGCAATGACGTCTCAGTTGTTATCGTGGACGAGACAGGTGGACATTCTTCAGGTGATAAGAAAGGGTCATTCTATATATATAAAATGACCCTTTCATATCATCTTAAGGTGACGTAAAAATGGCATCAAAGTGGTGTAGTTCATGAAACTTTTCTCCGAACTGGATGTACCGAATAGTTTCAAACCTAACGTGAATATGGAGGTTATAATGAAGGTCCTGACCCCCACGAAATTTCAATTTTTTAAAAATTTGTTTACTCATTTTCAAAATGGTTAGATAAAAAATGAAATTTTTGGATGCCACTATCACATCCCCTTAATGAAGTCGATTATCAATAACAAAGTTCACCCCGATGTGCAACGATTGAGTATTTGCACACAGAGTATGTAATACTGAGCAGAGGAGCCCAATCAATGGGCAAGGTATAAATTGTTAAGCGCACTCCAAATGAATCATATCACTTATCTGTAACAATGTTTTGTGCCTGTATAAACGCAGGTGTGAGGTTTTCTCAATATCTTTTCAAGATTGAAGTTACTTCCTTAATGTCGTTAACTGTTAGAGATTAATCACGTATAGAAAGATTCTGCCAAATAAATTGGCCTAAGACCCAAATTTGACTCGCTTTTATTTACTTTTTACGTCGTATAGTCTCAACCTTACGACCTTAGAGAACGGAAAAGCAAAATTGCAAATCTGTCCCTACAAAGAGAGGTTCGGTACTGATAAAAGTTACTTTCAGTTGATAAAATGTTCAACGGCGTTTGAGTATAATTTGCGAACTTGCGGATAATTTAGGAGACGAAGTTATTGTCCCTTGATCTAGGAAATCTGAGGAATCTCAAAGTTTACGTTAAGATTGGCAGAATGCGCAAGCTTGACAATAGTTGACAACTTCACGGCAATACGAGCGGCTTCGTCGAGATCATCTACGGGCACAATTTTCAGGCCTGCATTTGCTATCAGAGCTTTTGCCTCGTCTACGTTCGTTCCCTAGAAACAAATATTAATATTATCACAAAGAACATTTAAGTAGTGGTGATAAGATTGTTAAAACTATTTAATTAATAATCACCTGCAACCTAACAACGACAGGAATTTTAAGGCTAAGTTCTTTCGTTGCCGCGATAATACCTTCAGCAATGACATCGCATCGCATGATGCCTCCGAAGATGTTAACTAGAAGAGCATGAACCTAAAAGTGATAAGTAATTCGATTACAGATTAATCCAACGAAGCATAAATTTTAATTTCCAACCATGTTTCAGAAATGGAAATAAGCAGGAATAATAATTAATTCTACTCACTCTTGGATCTGACGTAATGATTTTAAAAGCCTCCTTCACAGCGGAGGTGGTAGCACCGCCACCAACATCCAAGAAATTAGCAGGTTCTCCACCATGGAGCTTAATAATATCCATGGTAGCCATGGCTAACCCGGCACCATTTACCATGCAGCCAATATTACCATCAAGAGCAATGTAATTTAAATCAAACTTTGCTGCTTCGACTTCCTTTACGTCTTCCTGGGACCAATCTCTTAAAGCAAATAACTCCTTTTGCCTGAACTCAGCATTATCATCGAATCTGCATTTGCAATCCAGTGCAAAATCTAACACGAAAAATAGACAAAACAATTAAACCTCCATTTTTTAAGTATTTATAAACATTTTAAAGAAATTATTAATGTAACGATTAACCTTACATTTCCCGTTGATATCTTCAGCGAACGGATTCACTTCCAGAAGGAGAGCATCCTTCTTAACGAATAAGTCATACAGACTTACGATGATCTTTCCAACGTAATCCTTTACTTTTTCAAGACCTAGTTTCGCAGCAATTCGATTTGCCTGTTCCGGTGTTACTCCTGTGTCAATATTAATAGGTTCGTACGTAATAGCTCCAGGATTTGTAGCAGCCACTTCTTCGATATTAACCCCACCCTGGCTCGATGCAATTATTACAGGCCCCTAATTGTAACATACAATTAAAAATAAGTATACCTCTTGCCCAGAATTATTTAAACAAGGTAATCATTATCGGGTCATCTAAATTGCTATTAAACTTACACCAAAAGCCCTTTCCATCATAATAGCAATGTAGTATTCCTTACGAGGAAACATACGCTGTGTAACCATTACTGCATTGCATATCCTTCCTGCTTCGCCTGTCTGTTTTGTTACCAGGATTTTACCTAACATCTTGCTAGCTAACTCTCTCGCTTCCTCAGGACTGAAAATAATAGTATATCAAAGTTTAGACTGTAATTGCAAATATGAATTATAAATTTAAATCGATATAATGAAAGCAGTGTCCATTAAGAAATGAATTATTAAATACTTACGATTCGCACATCTTGACTCCGCTAACATTGGTACCCTTAAAGTGTCCTTTCCCACGACCTCCGGCAAGAACTTGCGCCTTAAGAACTATGTCCTTCGTTTTCAAGTCGGCAGCAAATTTTGCCGCCTCATCTGGCGTTTTAGCAACGCCAAACTTTGGCGTCGGGATGCCAGCTTCATTAAGTAAACTGTAGCTGATGTGTTCATGGACATTTAAGTTTCTCACCGGCTGCTTCGCCACCCCAGCTTTGCATGCTAGAATCTAAAAAATATCAGCTTATGAAATCCTGAAGAGTAAATCCATTAAATCCGTAACTGCTATTGTAATGTACATTCCACTATTCCATAAGTGATAAACACTTTATTTTTAGACTAGGGATTGAAGAACGTTGGAAAGTGAACGGCAATGGATTACATATCATTAATTAATACCATTAAATATCACTTCATAAGATACATTTTTTTAAATATAAAAGATAAGACAATGTTATAAACAGTCCAATATGTTAACGATTTATAAATGTTTACATTATGTAAGAGAATCTAATCGCTTAAGCTTCGAGAAGTACCATAATAGTAATTCCTCTTTATTTAGAACGGCCTTCGAAGGATAGAGCTTAAATATAAGTTCAGTGCCATAGAGAGCCAACGACATTGACCTACACATTCTGTATCAGTCGGCTTACATCACAGAAGACTTACTGCTCGTTTGGTTTTAAATACTTGCAGTCAAGGACACGCAACGAATACCTCAACCTAATGCTATCATTCCAACGAGAACAAAAGGTGAAATATGTCTCAATCGGCAAGGTTTTTTTTGCACCGTTCACAATTTCTTACAAAAACTTACTTCGCTCAGAAATACCAGTGACGATTGATTCTATGCTTTGACATCCCGAAACATCATTTGGCATCGGAACATTAATTCTAATCGATCACATTCCAGTTTCCAAATATACAACAATGACATTTTATATATTCTTTCTTTAAGTTCTACATTTCTTTCGACAAATGTCAAAGTCGCTGTTTGACAGTGCAAGAAACATCGACGGGGGAATTGCGACGTCAGCGTTCACGTTGCGAGTGTCAGTTATTACTTCACGAAAGACAATTGCAAGGTGCGCAATAAAAAAGATGCTGATAGACAAAACCACGAATGTCGTTCGAAAAGTCACTTTTTCGAACAATTCAAAATGCGAGATATTTCTAATTAGAATGGAACGTCAAAGCAGCACAACGGCCGCGTAGGTGTCAGCCATCCGAGGTCTACCAAGCGCGGGTGACAAAATTATTCAATTACGGTTAATCGAATGCAAGCAGGATCTGACCTAAGCGATCGGCCGGTCGCGGCGAGACCGCGGATGGTCGAGGAAACCCCTTATGTAACTGACACTGCGGATTTTCCCCAGAAATTCGATTAGCGAGGAGGCTTTGACAACCCGAAATCCTTGGCTTCGAATACGACGACCCTGGCGCCCAATTTAGCAGACTACACACATCTAACATGGTGATCGCCCTTTTGTACTTCCGAGCTCCCTTGTGAGGCTCCTCTCCGTCCCGAAGGAACGTATTTTCGACATTCGGAGAGACTCCCGACTAGGGAATAATAATTGACGGTCGATTCGTTAAAAAGCGTACCTTGGACCCGTTAAATCGGGCGAGGTTTTCGGCAAGCGAGATCGTCCGCGACAGCATGGTGGCCATCTTGATTCAGCGGTGGCGGTCGACTGCCAAAGTGCCAGATATTAGCCTTGCCCTCGTGTCCCCACCTTTCCTGACGCTTCGTTTTAGAAGCTGACGTAAACCCGCCGAGGACATGGCAGCACCGTATTCCCGACGCCGGCGCGGCGCGTCTTCTGCGCTGGACGCATTTAAATTCAAACTCCATTGTTTTTGTTACTTATTCGCAAAACTTCTCAAAGCCTGAGCAACGCCATCTTGGATTTCTTGATTTCACTACTTGTAACTACTTGCCGAATTAAGATGATATGAAAGGCGCTGAGAAATAAATTTCATATCACCTTAATATTCCAATCTATCCGTCTTTTTACCAGAGATTGGCTCAAACCTTGTATAGAAAGTTTACTTGAAGGCAATTTGCTTATGTAAAAACACTGGTACATTGTCATACAAAAATATTAGCGCTAATAAACAATTATCGTACAAAAGAGATCTTTCAGTGCATCTCAATTGAGATTGTTAGTACTAGTTCCATGCTGATTTACTTAATTTCTTTTAGACCGTGGTTAGTGGCAGACCGCATCGTTATCGTCTTTGGGACTGAGAGTAATGTCCATGTTCAATGAATTTGCCAAACGCACAATCTTTGCCAACTTCACAGCAGCTTCGGCAGCTTCTGCAAAGTCTTCGATTGGGATGAGTCCCAATTTCGATTGTATTATCAGGGAGCGTGCCTGTTCAACATTGGTGCCCTGGATGAAGCGATGGACCAGATTAAAACAGCATACTATTCTATTACACTAGGAACTTATTCCTTAATTTAGTACAATAAAATGATCTTTTTAAAAAATTATCAAATACCTCTAATCTGATCACTACAGGTATCTTAAGCTTAAGATCCGAAGAAGCTTTGATGATGCCTTCGGCAATAATGTCACAACGAATAATGCCTCCAAAGATATTGACTAGAATAGCTTCCACCTAAGCAAAAGTAACATATTGACGCATTATCGTAACAAATATTAATGTAAACGAGACCACTTCGATGCCACTATCACATCACCTTAAGATATTCAATACTACCAAGTTTTTATTCTTTCAGTTACTTCGGTACCTTGGGATCAGAAGAGAGTATTTTGAAAGCTTCGGTGACTGTTTCGGTGGTTGCACCTCCACCGACATCCAAAAAATTAGCAGGACTTCCCCCATAAAGCTGAATGATATCCATCGTTGCCATTGCTAAACCTGCTCCATTAACCATGCAAGCAATATTACCGTCCAGTGTAATATAATTTAAATTATGTTTGCTAGCTTGCGCTTCTTTTTTATCTCGTTGACTCCAATCTCTTAAGTCATGCAGCTCTTTTTGTCGGAAGTCCGCAGAATCGTCAAAATTCACCTTGCAGTCCAAAGCAAAGACTGAAATATCGTAAAAAGTTTCGTGAACGATTGACCCCTCGGATGACACTTTCGCATCCCCTTAATTTAAGTCAACCTATTATATATCTTCTTGTCATTTGTTTAACTTAAATTTTACAGAAACTCGCTTACATTCATCGTTTATATCCCTGGTCAGAGGATTGATCTCAAGAAGAAGAGCATCCTTTTCGAGGAACAACTCGTAGAGGTTGCATATAATTTCAGATATCTTTTCCTTCCCTTCTTTAATGCCCAATTTAGCAGATACGCTGTTAGCCTGCTCCGTTGTTAATCCCTTCGATATGTCTATAGGAATATATGACACAGCCTCAGGGTTCGTAGCAGCTACTTCTTCGATGTTCACTCCGCCTTGGCTCGAAGCAATTATAAGAGGTCCCTACGTCAGAAGAATAGTTTCTCAATTTATATAAATGTGAAATGTATAATAATTTATATAAAAAAAAAATAAACAACAATAAAATCTAGTCATCTAAGTAATTTGAATATTTGTTCCCTGCCAATATTGGTTCGTTCAAGCTCCGTTAAAGAAATAATCCTTATAGTACCTATAAGAATATTTTATCTTTTAAACCTACTGCCGAGAATAGGGTATCACTTAATAAACTTACACATGGATATGCCCGGTCGAAAGTAATTGACAAGTAATATTCCTTCCGCGCATACATGCGTGACGTCACCATTACAGAGTTGCAGATTTTCCCTTCTGGTCCGCTTTGCTTCGTCACCAGAACGTTTCCTATCATTTTACGTGCCACTTCTTTAGCTTCCTTAGCACTGTCATTAAACGAGAATTAAAATCACTTCGATTACACGAATGTACAATTACATTTGAATTTTGCGATAAAGATGCAATATAAATCTCACTTGTCGCATACATTGACACCGGACACATCAGAATCCTTGAATCGTCCCTTCCCCCGTCCACCGGTTAAAACTTGAGCTTTCAACACAATGTCCTTTAACTTGAGTTTCTTGACAGCTTTTTCAACATCTTCGGGAGTCTTTGCGACCATGAACGGCGGTGTAGGAATTCCAGCACCTCGTAACAGTTCATAAGCTTGGTGTTCATGAATCTCTAAATGTCGCATTTGCTGTGTCCTGTGCGGACATTTCATCGCAGAAATCTAAATTGAACGATAAAAACGCAAATAACAATAAAAAATACGTCGCTAGGCTTTTAAAATAAATATTAACAATTTCGTAGATTTCTGTTCGCATACCTTTTCACAATGACTTTTGGAAAATGTCAATGAAGCGCGAAATACACGTGACAACATCGTGTCGTCCCTCGTTCACATAACAGAATTCTCACAAAAGCGGATCAGCAAGATCCGTCACTTGCGTATAAACAATTAAAACGATTTTATATAACGATTATAAAATTAAAAAGAATATATTAGCGGTAAGAAAAAATGCTGGTTGTCAGCAGAATCGCGACTTGACTCGTTTCGGCTGAAACTTCAGTCTTCGCGGCTCACATTCTAACTTTCACGATAATATCGTTTATCACAGAAGGCAATGGACTGACAAACGTAGACAAAAGAAATCTCTCAATGCTCGAGGAAGCACGAGCAAAGCATCATCAGCAAATACGAACTGATAATTTAAATAAACCATTAAAAGGACTCCGTTTCATCTCCCACTGCGATGTCTATGAGTTACGCTAATAGTAATGTTAAAGTTCAGCGATTATCGCATCAACAATGACCCTATTACCAAGTCCAATGATAATCGCTCGATTGCACCCGTATTACGATAGCTTTGTTCGATGTTAAGTGTACATTAAACAAATTGTAGTAAACTAGTACGTTTAGTGAGGAAGAAACATACAAAGGCTAACGAACGATACCGAGTGGTAAAGAAATGCCACTCCTTCATGTTCCATTTCTGTACCTTTATTGTACAAATTTCAGGTATCTTCGCGCAACTACTGTACAGAATGTCGCTTATCTTACGTACATTAATTAGTAATCACTTGCTACGCTATACAGAGTCAACTTTAAAGGTGTTCCAGTAGTACCGAGCGACACTCCATTTATTAATGTAATGTTAATACCGTGAAAAGCAGCATAATTCAGACATCATCGCATTATTCAACCGACGTTAAGAGTATCTTGGTTTGTCTTTCCATTTAGTAAGCAAATTCCGAACTCCCGGTAGCTTTAAAAGAAAATAGTGATCGACGTAATCGCTTCAACGCTTAAGCAACTCGTAAACGGAAAGTGCAATATAAAAGAGAAATACGCGATGCCATCTCTCGTTATCTCAATTATCTCAATTGCAATGGGAATTCTCAATTCCCTTCTTACATCTAATCCTGCGACACTGTCACAGGAATATTAATAATAAATTAGTGAGCGCGGTCACCATACCGCATTCTAACCGAACGAATGTTAATCTTAAAATACTGACAACAAATTTCATGTCGTCGAAAGTGTCTGGATCTAAAATTCATCGTTCCAATTTGAGTAGTTCAATTGAATACTTTTAACAGTAAAAGTGATTTTTATTTCATCTCCGCCATGGCGAGATGAACCTTTCTTTGAAGTTTCTGATATACATACGTCTATACGTATAATATATTACTCTAAATACTTAATCACTCGTTCTACCTTCGCACGATATAACAGCAACAAAGTCGAGAACGCATGTACCGCCGATTATTTAATATTTGTATATTGTTCATACGCGCACTTTAGCTATAAATGTTGCAAATCCCCAAATCTCTCTCTCGTTGCTGCAGTCTTCAGGTTTTCATCCAGTATACATTTATTGACAGCTCGTTCACAAACTGAATCTCTCGTTGAGGGTTCGCCCTGTAACTCCGAAACTTCTCCCACAATTACTCACGTTGTACATTAAAGTACTAAATGTACGGTCGTCGTCGTCCACAGAAACCGGTGCAATCTGACGTTGCCAATTTGACAGTGACACTGTTATGTTGTGTTTCGATTGTGACCTGGGCACTGACCTGGATCTTGACCTAGACCTGGACCTCGACTTTGATCTCAGTTGACCATATATCTGGGGACGACTCATCTGTGACACGATACAAACTCTTTATGAGATATGAAATTAATACAACTTCCGGGGCAATTGTTTCAAATGTTACACGTCATATTTTCGTGCACTTCCACGTAACTAAATTTAGTACTCTGTTCTTTTTAATGTAATATTTAAATGGCGCAAACGGAAAGTCTGCTAAAATACTTGTGGCTGTGGATGTATTAAACAATACGGTTTGAATTATAGATCGGGTACTAATTAAATGGTTCTATAAATTGAAGGTCATTACCAGATTCATGTTTTGCACACTAGGTCTAAACGGCGATCGTCCTCTGGGTAGTTGTTGAAAGTTGTTAATGTTGGCTCTGGCTTGATTTTGCGACAAAATGAGAGATTGTTGACGAGGATCTGCTAGATAGTTTCCGCTTAACGCAGACATGAAGTTGACGTCAAAAGCAGGATTTGCTCGATTAGAGCTATAACATTAAAAAATGGTATAATTTAAAACATTACGAATTGATCTTAATTGTATCATTGAATTTAATATTGTCATACTTCAGTCTTAGGAGCTTTTGTTCATATTGTGCTCTCCTTTGAGCCCTTAGGATTTGATCGGAACGAAGTCCACCGGTGGTGAAACGACGCTGAGATGTCAGTATTTGTTGTGGACGTTCCAGAGTACGCTGTTGAAGAGCTGTGAGTGACTTTCCCCCCATTGGTGGAATCTATAATTACATATTGCAGATGAGAAAGTATTTCATCTGCCACCTTCTCGGATAATTAATATCTTCCGCTACTTCAAACACTTATTACTTTATTTCTATTTTTCTGACATCTATTGAAATTGGAATTCACATGTTTTGTAAAATGCTTACTACCTTGGTAAAAATAAGATCTACGATTGGCCTTACAAAACTTACCCTGAATTTATTGGTAAGTGTTGTCTGGTTTTCCCGTTGAAAAAGCACTTGTTTGGAACGTTTCATGCGGTTTCGATAAGCAATTTGTGCCGGACTTTGATAACCCAAACGATTGTACACAGAATCTGGATCTCTTAAGTTGGGGAGACTGTTGGTTTTCTTAAGGAGGCCTTTTTTGTTGACAAACCCTCCTTGTCCAAAATTCATGTTTATTCGGTTTCTGCCACGATTTGCACTTAATTTATTTCCTTGACTGCGTCGAATGACGTAACTTCCTTTGGGATTATTTTTTTGTATATTACGATTGAGCGACAGATTGCTTCGAGATTTTGTAATGCCTCCAGGTTTAACGTATCGCTTTTTGACGAAACCATGTAAAGTGGTTTGATTACGTTGATTACGCCAAGTAGGATCTGCACTATGGTCCCCAGGTTTAACTCCGCGGTTCTTAAAACCTCCTGGGCCTCGGAGAACACTGCTGCCTCGAATTTGCTTTGCACCACCCTTTTCACTGGTAGTTATAGGCTTTTTCTTTTTCTTCTTTCTCTCCATCTTTATGATATCATCTTAAAAGGAAGAAAATCAGAAGATTTAGTGAGCGTACGGTCTCAACAGCAAATTTGGTTTCCTAAAAAAGGTTTATTCCAGAGATGTGAAAACTCTCCCGAGGTGAAGATTTTTCAAACATTATCGATAAGGCATAGTAGCTCTCTTGAAATAAGGCATTCATTCAATTCTTCAAAATAATATAACATTTTTAATCACACCAATTCAATAAACAGCTTATTTTATTCTCGTAATGAGGAATTCGTTTGATTCTTCAGAATGTAGTTTAATAATTTTAAATCGGTGTATTAAAGATTAGAAATATTAAAATACATATGTGAGATGCACATTTTATTTATTATTTTCATTCTCCTTGCAAAATGATTTAGGTATTCTATTACTCGTTTCATGACCAACTTTTTAAAACCTATATATTTTAAATTAAATACCAGACATACAAACACCAAAGGATTTATATTCAAGCTTTTAAATCAAAGAAATAATATTTTATATGGAATTAAAATTTAAAATAGGCTGTTTACATGATCATAACCGCATATACTTGTACATTTTACAAATATTCTTTTAGACATTCTTTTACAATCATTAAATAAACGTGGATAAATTATTTAACAGCAATCATAATCTTCATCTTATAATAAATAAACATATATTAAAAAATACATTAAAATGTAAAATATTAACTATTTATGGAATGTTATAATTTAACAAAATTCAAATATATTCATTTATGAGCGGAATGCAACTCTCGTCTTTTCTTGTCACGGTTTTCATCATTGTCACCTCGTTAATAGAACCAGACACGTTTTCTGATCTATGGTTGGAAAAGTACTCTTTGTGTGCAATTAATTCCTGAAACTTCTTATAACAGATGAATGTCCTTTTCACAGTCCCAAGAAATTTAAAGAACTTTGTCAGAATCCATATCGCCTCCTTCAGAATAAGCGATCAATCTTTACGTGTCGTTTACACCATGCAGCAGATTCTTATCACCGATCTAGTGGCATTGCTTTATAATTACAGTTGCTCGAAGTTTCTCAACGATAGTCGGTATCATATCTCGATAAACGTTTTAGTACTTCCATTGATCGTAATATTACATCCTCGATGGCAAAAATGTTGAACAAGTGTTCGGTAGATGACATTTGATCGGAGGCTCCGATCTTTCCAACGGCTCTGGAAAATTCAACGAGCCTCGATGGGATGTATTATCAGCGCAATGGTATCGACGGAAAAACTGTGCAGCAGTTATTGACTTAAAAGGGTCGGAGATCCTCTATATGGGTCAATTCTTTCGGCGATGGAGAGTGAGTCACACGACGTCGATTTACTCGGGCAGCACTACGTAGACATTGGTTGCATGGGTCACCATCTTAAATCAATTGGCACATCCAATCGCCCTATATTCGTGCTAGGAAATCGTCTCGACTCGTCAAGAGCCTTGCAATTGAAGAGCACAATCTTCGATGGGCCTATTATCCGGCCGATGGACCAAGAAAGCAGAAGCTTGCTCGCCATTTTCTCTTGCGTAAGAAAGGAACGCAGTCGTACGCTCACGGAGGGTAATCGGCAAAATTTCTAGATTTTCGGGACTCAGCCCACTTACCGAGTGACATATTTACTTTCGCGTCAATGTCTGTCATATTGCTGGAGGTGTTTTTAATCGATAGAGTATTTCACACGCGAGCACTGAATCGAAATTCAAGATTCGCAGCTATCAACAACTCTCACCAACGCACGAGTCGATCCATGAACGTAATCCAAGATGGCGTCCGAGAAACGGAGCGACCACCGGAAACTACGCGCGAGTCATCTGGCGGTCAACATCGGAACGATCCCACATTCGATCTCTGGAATATACTCAAAATTCGTTCCTTTTTGCTCTGTAATCAGTTCAATTCATGCTGGACTTGTTGGTAAGAGACGTTAAAAGATGTTAAACGATGTTTGTTATCACAGAGATGCTCTGTTCCAGGTTACTATATATTTCAGTGCTGCCAATACAAAGCAGGTCGTCAAGGAAAAACAGCGGAGAAAGGCCTTGAAGCCGTTGGCGCGTAATTTCAAATGACGATTGAAACAATTGACGTTCGAAAAAACAATTGACTATCCGGAATGTTTCCCTCCCCCATAGGATTTTCTAGAATCACTCGTTCACATTCGTTAGACCGGTAGATGAGGAAGTTCGTCTGTAGGGATAGATTTATTGGAGAGAATAACAATGGAGAAGTGTTGGGAAATCCGTAGCGTGGACATTTTCTACAAGTTCCAAGTTTTTTTAATTGCTTTTGTAGCGGTTGGTACCTGTGCGAAATACCGCGAATTCCGGAACACTCAAGGAAGACTCCAATGATCTGTCGCGTGGTTTTATCGCTGTGCTATATAGCGTGCACCTCGTGAAGGTCCTTTGTCGAGCCGGTTCGGGGACCAACGTGAATTGTAACAAAAATCTGGTGAATAATAAGACATAATGGCAGCCACAGTGCAGCCTTTCGATCCGCCGAGCTCTGCAAGCTCCGATGGGTAAGACTTTCGAGCTATAAAGAGATGACGCCTAACCTATTCGAAGATTTCTTTAATATATTTATTCGGAAAAGGACTGGCCACAATTATTGTTGGTTCTATTATAACGTGCTCCATTTTATTCCATTGTTATTTTGATCATGAAGGATTTGTCCAAGAAATTAATTATATTAATACACATTTGCTTGCGTAATTGTCTGATCGTTTGATTATAACTGTAGTTTGATTATTTGAGGTATTAAAAATGAAAGGAACGGTTATGTACTTTATCGAGATCGTACTGTATATCATTTTTATTATGTAATTATACCTTGGTTGTATGATGGAAAGAGAAAATAGGGTATGGTTTTGTCTGACAGCTGTCTAGTGTAATGGTTTGTAAGAGGAAATGCGTAGTTGCTTTATAGATAGTATTTCAAGATTATGTATTTATGGATGTTTGCGTTACAAAGTTACCGATAATGACCATGAGTTAATAACTGGGGTCTTGTGGTGATGTTAATTTGTCATTGAATTTTTGTAGCGACGGAGATACGTGTTTAGAAGATCGAGAAGTATTTTTCATTGATGAACAGGCAGATGACATTAATTCATACCGTCGTGTCGATGGAACACCTACGCCACATTCACCTAGGCCTCCATCTGCTGGTAATTAAGTTTGATAATGGTATAAATTTATGAATTTTTGGTAACTGTTTGTTGTTTTTGTTATAAACACAGGGTCCCAAAAATCTCCTAGATCGCGCAGACAGCGCACCACCAGTATGTCGCAGTCTAGTAAGAAAACCTCGGCTGAATCTATATTACGAAGTAACATGAGAACAATTTATACTGCGGGTAGGCCACCCTGGTATAATTCCGCTGGCCAACAAGTGGAACCATTTGTTATTGGTTTGTAAACACATTTATAAAAGCTTTCATGTATTCCTGTTATTCAGTGTTCTAGCGTACATTTTTTTTAGGAATTTGTGGTGGCAGCGCTTCTGGAAAAACAACTGTTGCCACAAAAATTATAGAATCTCTCGATGTACCTTGGGTAACGCTCCTTAGTATGGATTCCTTTTACAAGGTAATTTTATTATTAATAAGTATGTAATTGCACATTATGTATTACAGCGAATGAGAATAATTATTTATATGCAATTTGATTCCAAAGAAAAAACAAATTTGTTTTAATATTCTAGGTACTTAATGAAAAGCAGCATGAAATGGCAGCTCACAATGAATACAACTTTGATCATCCCGATGCTTTTGATTTTGAGCTGCTTAAAAGTACATTACAACGCTTAAAGGAAGGGAAGAAGGTGGAAGTGCCAATTTATAATTTCGTAACCCACAGTAGGGAAAACCGTACCGTAAATATCTCATTTGATTCCGTTTGCAACATATCAAAGTATTCGCTCTAACAATGGTATTTTTTTTTACAAATGTCTTTATGCAGAAAACCATGTACGGAGCTAATGTCATTATATTCGAGGGTATTTTCACGTTCTATAATTCAGATGTTCTGAAGGTAAGCAAGTATGGATAAAAATTGAAAGGCAGGAGGATAATCGTGAAAATTGATCGGTAACCCACCTGACCGTTAACTTTTTTGGTCAAGATGTGTGACATGAAAGTGTTTGTCGATACCGATGCGGATGTCAGGCTGGCACGACGTCTTCGAAGGGACATATCGCAGAGGGGTAGAGACTTGGAAGGAGTTCTGAAGCAGTATAGCACAATGGTCAAGCCAGCATTCTTCTATTACATAGCTCCTCTCATGGTGCACGCAGACATCATCGTGCCAAGAGGCAGTGAAAATGAGGTTGCAATAGAATTGATAGTGCAGCATGTTCACACCCAACTTCAGCTGGTTAGTTTTAAAGAATCGTATGTAATAACAGTGATTTGCATACTTTACACTTCTTTAATTTTTCAGCGAGGATTTAAATTAAGGGAAAAGCTTGCTCATCTGTACATTGGCCAACCTCGACCCTCATCTTTGTACTTACTTTCCAATACTCCTCAAATTCAGGGATTGCATACGATAATACGAAACAAAAATACACCTAGGGATGAATTTATTTTTTATTCCAATCGTTTAATAAGATTGGTCATCGAATATGTATTATCAATGTTACCTTTCAAGGTTAGAACCTTCGGCACTCCATTAATAGTGTCATTTATGCATATAATAGATTACAGGTGGTATTACGATTTAAAGTATCTTTTCTTTTATTCAGGAAATTACAGTAGAGACGCCGCAAGGAGTATTATACCAAGGCAAACGAAGTGCCACCAATAACATTTGCGGAGTTTCAATTCTTCGTGCTGGCGAGACTATGGAACAAGCTGTGTGCGATGTCTGCAAAGACATTAGCATTGGCAAAATACTTATCCAGACAAATTTACAGACTGGCGAACCAGAGGTACGAAGTCCTTATTTCTAATTACTGTGCATTCCTTTTTAATGCAAGATAATAAACTGATATTCTTTTTTTATGTAGTTGTATTATTTAAGACTGCCAAAGGATATAAAGGACTATAGGGTGATATTGATGGATGCTACGGTTGCAACGGGAGCAGCAGCAATGATGGCCATCAGGGTGCTCCTCGATCATGAAGTTCCCGAAGAAAATATCTTGCTAGTGTCTCTTCTCATGGCGGAATCAGGTGTACATTCGATTGCATACGCGTTCCCAGGGGTTAAGATTGTCACCACTGCGTTAGATCCCGAAATTAACGACAAATTCTACGTATTACCTGGTATTGGAAATTTTGGGGACCGATACTTTGGTACGGAGCCATCGCCTGGTGACAAGTAACCAACCTCTGACATGGGCACGTTATTTAAAGCAGCAAGAGATGCTGCGAAACTTACATCGTACAGAGCGTTACTGTAAATTTATACACGACTGCATAATAACGCGAGCAGACAGCCTTCTAGAGATCGCCGCGTGTTTTGTCTGCATGCCCGTAAACACGCCGTAATCTTTTTATAACGTTTCAGTGATATTGTATGGTACGACTGCAATGCTGCAGTCGTACTCGACGCCTTGTACAGACCATGCAGTGAGATAGTAATATTGTATGGAATTGCCGACCAGTGCAAGTATTCTAACTGTGAAACATAACGCGTATACGTGTACGCGCGATCGGTATATTATTATTTACCAATAAAACATCTGTTGTAGGAAGTCAAGTACGTAGTGTATTCAAAGTGGGGTCGTACCGACGTTAGTTGCATCGAATGCGTTAGGGCGCAATTGCCTGTACCCTCGAGCACTGGCGCGGGACCGTCTCCACGAATCCACATTTGCTCCGAAATTTCCACTGGCAATGCCGCTACCACCACCACCTCCATTAGCTCCATTACTACTAGGTGAACCCAGTAAATAAGTAATGAGCTTGTCAAGAGCTGCCAGGTCCTCGCTTGTACTTCCACCGTCAGGAAGACCGGAAGGTCGAGATACTCCCGTTCCCACGGTGCCGTTAGGCAGGCCCAACTTCGACGCTATCTATTCAGATTACCAGGAGGTATAGGTTTCATATTCCCTGATAATATGTCAATCTTAGATCTTTAATACGTGTCCTACATTCGAGGCTTACCTCGTTTGGACCATGTTGGCCGTAGCTCAAACGTTGCACCCTGCGGTAGGTATCGTCATCGATGGCTTCTCTTACAGCCTCGTTTAGAGTTTGCTCCAACGCACGTTGCTTCGTTTTGCTCAGTCCTTCGTAATAGCTATAGAAGGTATTTCGCAATTACTATTTCTAGCTCTGGCGCGAGGGTACCCTGAAGACTAGCTTCCGAGACGAAGTCGCAATTGCTACGAGTAGGAGGCTCCTTTCGAGAATGTACTTTATAGGGAGTTAAGGATGGAGAAGTAGTAGCGGAAGGCTTCGTCCTCTTTTTTTCTTTGGAAGTTTGCGAGAAGATTACGTACCTGGAGTTTATGGAACTATTTCGGGTACTGTTCTTATCCCGGACCACGCGGATATCGTGCTCCCAGAAACGCCGCAACTCCGGAGTTGATGTGTATGGAGCCGCGACTTCCTTGATCTTAAGTTTGGAGATGTCGTTAATTAGCTTGTGTTGGGCTATTTAGTGGCTTCTGGAATGAGAACTCTCACCTTCAGGACGATTATTGCCGTGATGAAGATGCACATCACGTTGATGAACGTTAAGCACGCGCTTATGATGCCGTTGCAGAAGAACTCCACCGGCAGGTAGTCGGTGTAGACGTACACGTAGGAGCTGTTCAAGTCTGTGTAAGATTCTCCCTTGATATGCGGCATCTTGATTGGCCTGTAGATCAGCCATATGCACCCCAGAGCCCAGAATAAGCCCTGCGAATCCGTTGTACGGATGGACTTCCTTTTGTAGGAAGGCAGCGCCCGAACGGTGCGCTTTGGTACTATCTAGATTGTTTAAGACTCACGCAATTTACAACAGGCGGTAACAGGGATGCTGAAATGGCCACGCCGATCAGAGGACCGTTGCTTCCTTGGAGGAGGGCTACGGCAACTCCTGTCCCGGATGGTAGAGCCCACAACACTCCCATCCATAGCGATCGGTAGTTACCTCTGAATTTAAAAGATCAATTCTTTCGTCGGGACCGAATGTGAGGATCCTTCTGTTACATCTCGACGGATGAAATCTTCCACCGACCTTCCTTTCATCTCATCCGTTGGCCAGTCATTGTAACCCCAGGGCATTTCTGTAGTCCCCAGGATAAGTCCGAAGATGAACCCGAAGACAATCGAGAGGAATATCCCCAACATCAAACTCTTAAATCCGACTAACTGCAAGTCCCGATCTGCTATGATGGTTCCGAATGTGAGCGACATTACGGGCCCCTGGAAATTACGTTCCAGGTGATGAGGAACCTTGTTTCATGAGTTCAGCTTTTATACTTTTAGACACTTGGTTTAATGCTATCTTACCATTAAAGGGGACACCAACATTGCTGCTACGACGTTTGTCGCGCTATTTTCTACCAGACCAAGGGCTGCGAGGCAACTAGAAGGCGAAGGTCTCAAAACTTGTACATGGATTATTCAGGACATTTTAACATTGTCTACTTACTCGGCCGTCAGGACTAACAGGACGTAGTCGAATGTTAAGTCGCCGCCACTTCTGACACCGTCGACTACTTGTTTTACCGTCAATTTGGAACGAATGGACCCGATAAAGGACGCCCAAGCATTTCTTCTTGCTTCCGCCTCAGTTTTTCTGGAACCATGCAATATCTTTCCATGGCTGGACTAATTATTTATCTCTTCCTACTTATAAATTATCCACATTGCCTTTAGCGGTACCGATGGGTTAATATTGCGAATGACGGAAAGGTTTAGGCAAATTGTTGATAATGACTTCCGAGAGTTAATATTAAAACTAAGCGAAAGTTGCTTTATATATATATTATATATATCTATGTTTATATCGGATTAAATCTATATTTATGCACTTGCCTTCGTTCCAGGTCATCCTTAATTGCCTTTGCACCTCCGACCCCGCTGTACGTGCATTGCGTAGGTATTACGCTGTAATGATCAGATGGTATTAACTTTTAATCAGCATCGCTGGTAATTACTTTACACGCACCTTACTATTGAATTCATTTTAACGCCGATACCCATTTCTGTTAAACAGTGGAGACAATTTTCACAAGGGTCGCCTGCTGGAACAGGAAAGATCACCTGGAAAGGCAACTCCACTGATTACGATTACCCTGGTTTACGGTAATTTTATCTCCTGGATATCAATTGTTAATGGTTTAGTGACTCGCCTCATAGTACATGTCTTCTTTATCCTTACACCATACCACGTGCTGTACTCTAAGTTTCTTTAGTAACTCTTCAAGAACCTGTACAAAGATCCGACAAAAGTGTTAAACAATTCCCTCCCGTCCACAGTATATATACAATTTTGTTTGTTAACTTACTCTCCGCGTACGTGTCCTTTTGCTAATATAAATGAATGTAAATCTTACAGTTTCCATCGACACAAAGGCAGGACTCTTGGATTGCGCATCTTGGACTCGCCTCAGTCTAGGAGGCTCGATTACGTCCTCGTCGTCGAGTTCTCCATCCAGGGTGACGAGACGATTGCGGTTCCTGACATCCTTGAGACGCAGGTCGACGTTTGGCACACTCTTCGGGAAAGGATCCACCTTTCCAGGTCTTTTAATTCTCGGCACGGGCACGCCGAAGACGAGCTCGTGCTCGTAACTAGTAGTCGGTATGCAAACGAGGAAGACCACTCCTCCGGGCATCTTGGCCTTGTCGGCTCCTCTATTCTATCTAGAACCTCCTCCTCGAGATGTACGATCGTCTCTGGCCTTCTTTTAGAGATTTGAGTCCTCAAAGTAATTGCATTAACGCCTTGGTAATTACCTTCCAGGCCTGAGTGTTAACGAGAAAGACCAACGATGGAGGGAAAGGCGTGGAGGAGATTGCGGACCTTCAGGTAACATTGGAGTACACGTGTTTCTTTTCTTTTTTTTTTTTTAAGAAATAAATATTTATTTAATAAATCAACAGTTGTAGAATTCGACCTGGTCCTAGGCTAGTCTAAAAGTATAGAGAGGCTCAACGTTCGTCCCGCAGCGGTGAAACTACACGGCCTAACCGACCTACCCCAAGGAGACGAGCAGCTACGCCTCGGTTCAACCCCATCGAGTTTACGAGCGGGCAATTAAACGAAACGAAGAAGCGACGATCCCGGTAGTTATCTCAGGTTGGTCTGCCATGCCTCGTTAAAGAGGGCCGCTATCCCTACGCTCCATGCGGCACCTGCATCGCTGGAATATTGCTGGTTAATTCAGCAATCTTACATGACGTTGCAGCCGCTCGGACGTGAGTAACAGCAAACGGGGTACTGTAGAATCATCTCCCGCGCGTTGTACTCTTAGTACTGTACTTGAGCTACTGGAGGAGCAAGAACTACTTAAGCCGATTGACGGGTCGCCGGCGAGGAAACGTAGCTAGTACTTTAGATAAGAAAGTTATTAAAGATTGTGGCTTGAACTTGGCTAACTTCTAGGCAGAGAGCTGACGGACCAAGGACTTCTAATTTTTGAGGCGCAACGTAGAGCCGGAGGGAATTCATCCGAGGACGTAATCAAGATCCTGGTTGTTGGAAATGGTTCCTGGGAAAATTTAAAAGTTCGGGGGATCTCGTCACGAAGAGATCGAGGCGTCTACTGGGCAGCATCCAGGAACCCGAGGTTGGGTACAGGTTGAACCGCGTTCGGTACGCTTTACTTTTAGTAGACGTTCATCGGATCTCTATCTAAGGGTGGATGAATGGAGTCTATCCCGGGTACTAAAACAATCGTTAAGTAGTTCTTACGCCGGAGGCTCGATTACATTTTCACGAGAGCGACCCCGATCCCTGCGAGTAACCGCAATCTACTCGGAGTGGTCGATGGGGTCGCTCCACCTCTCGTTCACTCGTCCACGCGCAGTCATTCCACGTCCGTATCTCTCTGTCCATTTTTCTCTATTTTCTGTCTTACAGCGTCTCTCTCTCTCTCACGCACACTCAGGACCCCGACCTAGGAGCCGGGGCAGAATCGGTGAAAAAATAGCTTCTGTCGGTCGACGGAGGAGCAGCAGGGCCGGCGAGGGAGGACCTAGTCGCAGGAATCCGTCTCCTCGATCAACCTTCGTCAGTCCTCTTCGTAGTCTTCCGAGGACTCCGAGGAGGAGGTGATCAGCGCGGCCGACAAGCTGGGCTGCTTGCCGGCGCAGGGGAAGGACGTCGCTAATCGCAGCCTCTGGGGGTTCCAGCACTCCGGGAGGGAGTGCGAACCATTGGTGGCTCTCTCCTTTGGCATCCTCTCCGTGGATCCCAACTCCATCATGGATCCTCTCCTCGTCGTCCGGCTCTGGGCACCTGTTCGGACGACCCAGGCCCATGATGTATCCTGAGCGTGGCCGCTCGGCCGTGCATCCCTCGGGGAACGACTCCCGCTCCTGGGAAAAAGTCCAACTTACCCACGCTCGTCGACGGCGTGTACGAGGAACTTTTTTCGAGCTTCGCCGTGGCACTATCGTCGCTCTCTTCGGCCTCCTGCGACTCGATCGTCGCCGGGGGCGAGCTCATGCTGTCCCTACGGAAGAGCCCGATCACCGACTGTATCTTTGGCTGCTCGATCCCACCTGTAGAGGAATTGTTCCAGGTAATGTATGCAGTAAGAGTGCCGAGGAAGTCTAACTATTACTGGGATTTCAGGTCGACCCGGGGAGGAATCTATGCAGCTAGGAAAGAACGGATGGATGGAAAGGTACTGGCTTTGGTTCCAAGTTCTGAGGAAGAGAACCCAGGCGTGGTACATGGAAGCTGGGGAATGTGGACGGGACTTGCTGGACCACTACCTGGACTATTGTACGCGCCCGATAGGTTACTTGCACGTCTCCTGTGATGCTCGCTCGTACTTTGAGAGGGTTCGATCTGTCCGAGGCCTAGTACATACCCAGGAAGGTCGCGGAGGGCGAGCTGTAGGCAAGGTACTCCTTGTTCGAGCACCAGGCCGGGAACTCATTCTGCTTAATAGGTCGACCTGTTTCGCTATCGTCCTCTCTCTTCCAGGGCAGCATCGTCTCCGACGCCGTTGGAGTTGTTACCCGGAAGCATTCGCCTGCGAACAACCGCCAGGAAGGTCGTACTCTTCCGGTGGAGGGCGCACGTTTCGCGACATCGTGGCCAGAATGCGACTCCACGCAGCATAGGAACAGTGACGACGTCATACGGATACTCTTCCGCTAGCATTTAAACTCCGACCCGTAAATTATTTTAACTTCAACAATAGAGACCTTAAGATCATATAAAAATCGGATCCGAGGAATTCTGTTCATGAAACCTCCAAACTGGATGTACCGAGTCATATGAAACTTCTTCCACGTGAATGCGAAGACCCTAAAAAAGGTCCCCACGCAATCAATTTCTAAATATTTATTTATTAATGTAAAGTAATATAATTTAAATGAATCGATACGTGCCTTTTAGAAAAAAGTTTCATGATCGATCGACCCCTCGGAGGGCACTTTTATACCGCCGTAATTTCAAGAGATTTTTTTCCTTTTAGGGAATTCCACCCTTTTTAGCAAACTGCTAGGAAAGGTGTAGTCTTGGAAAATCTGTATGGGAATACTTGGATGATCGTTAAATCATCTATGCTGCGAGGAGAACAGTATGCTTTGCGATATGATATGTGGATACGTGAACATGCGGGGAGTGATATGTTACTTCGTAAAGCCACTCCCTCGCGCACTGCTCGAGTTCCTCGGATATCCGAAGTCGGTGCACCCGGTGAACCGAGACGCCGCAATTCACCTGGTGCAGCCTCGCTGCACGAGATGAAAGGAGATAGAGACCTAGAAGAAAGAACCTGCGTTCGTTGGCCTCCTCAAAGTGTTTCCGCCGTCCCGTTTCTCGGGCGCACCGACGCGGCCGTTTAGTACCTGTACCTGCCGTTAGAGGTAGCGAGGGAACCAATGCGTTTAGTACAGACCTCGATAAGGCTTATCAGAATGTAATTCTACCTTCCGACTCGCGATGTCCTGGTGAGAGGATCCCACCGTTCCCGGATCGGCGTGTGTCCTCCAGGGCGTTCTCCAGATCTGAAAGGCAGTCTGGTCGTTAGAACTCGGTTTTCCATGATTGTAACGTCGGATGGTCACGGACGATAAACCTAGGTCAGGGACGAGGTACGGTACTCGCTTTCTTTGTCCTTTTGGACAATGGTCACCTTACCGGAAGCACGGGCCGTGAAGGTAATCGCTGATTCCCAGTCGTCCTTCGTGGAAGGCTTGGTGTCGGCTGCTTCCCCGCTTTCGTTCTCGTAGAGGACCCCGTTGATGTAGTCTGAAAGTGGGCCCGGTTACTCCACATTGCATCTGGCAATAATTAACTATCGGTTGCAGATCAGATCTCATTAATGCCGACCTTGCGAGAAGAGCTTCGTCGAGCCGTTTTGCTGGAACTCCGGGAAACTTACGTGGTTTTGCTTGCCGTCCTGGAAAATATTCAACGTTTCAATTTTTAGACCGAGATATCCCCAAGGTACTCCTTACCCTTTGGATCTTAAAGCGTTTTAATTATTCTATAAGCTATAAGTGATTTATCGTTTTATAATAGGTCCTACTAGAATCTTTGGATTTCTTTAGCGAGGATGAATCGATCAGCTGTTACTCGAGGAATCCTTAGAGGAAGAATATGGGACCATGAAATTTAGGTATGAGAATCTCTTCATTTTGTTACCTTGATAAAATGCCTTCAAATGTTTAATTTGCTTAATTGTGTGTAGAGGCTGCATCCTGACTGATACCAGGACCAACGGAAGTGGGACTCGGGTTTTTTAGGTGGAGCTCGAGCTTTCCCACAAATGGAGGGCTTTACCTTGTTGAGCTTCTTGCTGCGCTTATGTCGATGCTTGTGCTCGCCCATCATGCGTCTGATATTCATGTGCATCTTGTAATTAACTTGAGTTGAGAGGTCACGGTCGTTGACCGCGTGCCGACTGTAGCTGAGACGACGGTGCTGAAACGTGGAGGAGGATTGAAAGGGTGCGTGTTGGCTCCAGATATTTCACCGCTCGTTGAGTTCGCACCTCGAAGATGGGCCTCGCCATGGGGTCCGAGAAGATGACGGGGTAAGTTGAGGGTAACGAACCCGGGGTATGTACTTACGCGTTTGTACGGTTTGCAGAGCTCTTCGGCCAGGAGGTGATGGATCTTGGCGTCCGTCAGGTCCTTCTTCGAAGGGTTGTACTCCAGTTCCTGCAGGTCTATGTTCCACCCGGTTTCTAATTGACTGCAACTCGGACTGCAAAGAGACGCGCGGATCAGAATGGACCAGAAGAGGACCAGGAAGGGGTACGAGGTGGAGGACTTGACCGAAGCTGGAAGCTTCCTCGTGTACTCGATATGACCGACCTGCTGTTGAAGTGACCGGTATTACTGTAATTGCGGAAGATCGCGGACATGCTCTCCGTCCCGCTGATGTTGCCGATGGTGGAGGCGTTCCTGCGGATGTAGTCGAGGGCGTCCTTCATCGCGAGTTTCGAGTAAGTCTCCAGGATCTTCGGCTCGGCACCTCGGTGATCCCTCACCAGGTACGGCCGAATGAACTTGTTATCGAACCTCTTGAACCTTGAAAAAGGTAATACCGATAACAAGATTTCCTAAAACTGCGTCTAGGTACATTAGTACCCTCGACTCGAGGCCATAGCGTTAGGTCCTACATCTGACTCCCTATAATCCGTTGTTAATTGTTATGTATTAATTTTTGTAGATCATTTGGTTTTGGAAAATTCCTACTCACTTGTCCCTGACATGGTAATTTCCGTGCTTCCCTAAAACGTCCTCCAGGCCGGCCATGATGTGGTCCATTATCTGGAGAATTTAGTGGACATTGAAAAGGTGATTAAGTTAATTAAGGTGATTCAGGGATTGATATGTACCCTTTCGTGGATTCTCTCGTTCATCGTTGGTTTTCGCTTCTCCGCTCTTTTCACGTTCAGGATCTTTACCAGAGGCTTGATGGTGATTCCCTATAAAACGTTATATCGGAATTACTTCCAAGGGAAAATGTTAATACAATTAACGTTCCTTTTCGTTGCAGGAACTCCGCTTACCTGGATAAAGACGGTAAAGTAAATTACAGCTATGGTGGTGGTGACGAACATCGGTTGCAAGTGAACATGGGCCGGGTCGATCAACAGGACCAACGCAAACGCAACTGCTCCTCGCAGACCTCCGTAAGACATGACGAACTTTTCCACCTTGTCCAATTTGTGCAACCGGAATTGATTGGCAAGAGCCGACAACACGATCACCCCTGAGATGAAGAAGACGAGGGAGTAATTTAAAATAATTAACTCCTGCCAGAGGAAGTTCTATTTCTTTTTACCCTAGACCACTCACCAGCGATTCTGTACACGGAACAGAAGACTATGGTCATCAGGACGAACCAAGTATTCCAATCGTGCCGATTGTTGACCGTGGCCACGCCAAGGAACATGAAGATGATGGTCTCGGAGCTGCTCGAGAGCATCTTCATGGTGTACTTGACAGTAGTGTGCGACTTGTGCGATATATTAGCCTCGACGTAGTTTTTCATGGTAATGCCGCAAAAGGTGATTCTGAAATCGATAATCCGTCATTATCAAGGCTGCCAGAGGAATCCTCACAAGTAAGGATCCAATCTGGGCATGTAAAACCAGGGATCGTAAGCTGCTACTTCCGCGGTGAAGTCTTTTCCTATTAATAAAAAATGAATCCTTACAGGGACGATTGAATGACATTTCACGTCGTTTGGACAAGGACAATCTCGCTTGATTTTCTCTCGGATTGATAGGAAAGCTTGACTGTAGGTATTGTTAGTACTGTCTAAGTACCATCGTTCGTTCGATGGCATTTTTTTTTATTTTAATAATTTTCATTTCTATTTTTTAGGACACTCACGCGAGGATGCCCGACATGTGGAAGATCTCGGCATTGAGGTAGGCCAGGTACGCCATAACGAAGATGAAGATGGGCTCGATCACGCGAACCTGGTGCGTGAATCTTGTCACGAACCCGGTCGCGAATCCCCAGATCACTCCTATGATCGTACCGCCAATCGCGACAACGATAAAGGACGCGAAGCCGGAAAGTATATCCGTATATTCGATCCTCGAGGGACCCATTTCGCTGTACGTCTCGAACATATGATACAGGACCTGAAAAAGCACAAGACCTTGACATGAGCGATATCCATACCACGCAAGGACGTTCCCCACGTGTGCCTCTTCCTACCGTTTAAATAAAAACCCGATAGATCTAAGTGCTCCGTCCAGCCCATACTTTTTTTTTCTTCCCTTAAAGAGGAATACAGAATTTGCAAAGGACTAATAGGACTATATAATTGCAATAATTGAACCGTGGACGCTACATGTCTTGCAATGTACGCATCGACAGAAATTATTTCACGGATGCTAAAAAATGTTTAACGTATAAGGAGTTGGTTATTACTTGTTAAGGAATTATTCCAAGGATTTTGTAGTATCACAGAAAGGAAGAGAAATTGTTTAACAGGGTACCGTAGACGGCAGTGATATTGAATGAAAAGTCAAACACGCGAGATTGATCGATCCCGAGGAACGGGCCGAAGGCACGGCATTTTATATAAGAAACGATCAATTGTCCATGCATATATACATGAGCTGAATACAGTAACCTATACCCAAGGATATACTGTATAGTTGGTATCGGTAGAAGGAACAGTCCTCAGGGAAGATCCATAACTCCCATGAGCTGGTCATTTCTACGTGTCCCTTCATCTTCTAATCCCTATCATTTCCTCGAGCACGTATAATGATCCCATTCATCAATCGCGATGGATAAAACCAGGAACCAGAAAGTATCGCTCATACCCGGAAGAATCATGGTCACGGGGACTTGTCCCTACTTTTCCCCCAGGGTGGAAATTGTAGAAACTCCTCCTAGACCCTGGCATTGATATCTCTTATCTCGTTGTAGGAAGACGATTATATCCAGCTATAATTGCTTTTTACCACTGGGTATCTAAATTCATACATGGAACGGATCGAGAGAGGATACTCACGACGGTGACGGCGTCGTTGAGCAAGCTTTCCCCGAAAACGACGATGTACAGGATCTCGTTAACGTGGATCTCCTCGAAGACCGCGAGAACAGCTACGGGGTCGACCGCGCTGATCAAGGCCGAGAAAAGGAACATGTCGAGCAGCGGAGTCTCGCAGCCGAAGAGTCCGCTTTTCCCCAGGAGCCAGAGAGAGGCACCTGCGAGGAAACATAAAAGACTGATGTACAATCCTCTCGCTCCTCCACCTGGGTTATCGACCCTCGCTGTCCCTCATCCCCACGAGGAAGCGACCCATCCGCGACCGACGTACACGCGATCTCACGAGCGGCCGATCCCTTTTCTATATTTGAGATGACTAGGGCGGATTCTCGACGCACTACGTGTCCGTCTCGAAAATATCCTCGACGACGAAGCTGAAGTGTCTGTCCAGGAAAGCGAAAAACAAGGCATGGCGTCTGAAAATACATGGATGTATATGGAATTCCCTGCCCCGGGTCGGGTCTTCCATGTTATTCGAATCTCTGCCGAGAGTCTCCTCCAGACTGGTATTTTCAGAATGTCTACTTGAATTTGATACTAATGCTTTGATTATGATACAACGCCGATGCAGGTTAATTAAACGCACAGGTGCGTGTTCTCGGTGCCAACGCACGGTCTAGTTATTCCAATGGGATTAATGTCGCCAAACAAAAGGTGTCGTAAAGTAAACCGGATGGTTATGACGTTCGATTGGGATTTTAATTCCTCCTGTACTGAGATGTTCATGGCCTCTGTTTAATGCTTGACTATAAATCTCACCCGTGGTAATGTATGCGACGTGTCGACCCGAGGTAATGCAGTTCCTATCAGGAAGTGTACTCGAAGACCTTCAGCTACGTCTTATGTATGTTACATGTATTAATTTTCATTTTTTGTTTAATTTTTAGGGTGCCGGTGTCTGGCTGAGGTCGGGGACTATCTGTGGGAAAGAAGAAATCCCGGTAGCAGGGATTACCGACCTATCGACAGGGTGTTGAAGATCGTCCCGAGGACGGCGAAGAGCAGGATGGTTCCAAGGTGGTCGAAGAATAGTCGGTTTGGCATGAAGTAACCCGCGTCGAGGATGATGGGCGGGAGCATGTAGAGGAAGAAGGTGTCCGGCGTCAGGGGCGAGACGTGGACACTGCTTGCTTGGAAGAGCAGCAACCCGATGACCACCCCGACGACGATCAGCAGGCACGACTCCGGGAAGATCCTGCTCAGCTTTGGCGCCATGTGGAAACCTGGAAACATTGTTTTATGAAGGCCGAGCACGTGGTTGCAGTGCTGGACGCCATAGAGGCAACTATCCTATCCTTAAGGTGAAGGTCCACAATTGAGATCGACCTGGGGTTCAGGACGAGGTAACGAGCGCTCCTGATACGTCGTCTCGTGGAATGTAATCCAATACTCGTATCCAAAACTGTCCCATGTCATGAGAGCAATTTCTAAAAAATTTTAAACTTCTCTCATGGGAGACATTGAATTGTTTTTTTTTAATCCGGCTGGTTGAACCGTATGAATGATTCGCACGAATCAAGGGTCTTAGATATCAAACGGCATATCCAATGACGGTTTTCATTGTCCTATCCGCGTGATGACTTAATATCGTTAACGAGCAATCGCGATAACCCTTATCGACTTCATACTACGCGCTGTGAGTCCAACGCCATATGAGTACACATGCTGATAATAAACGGAGCCTCGCGATATCCGGTATGCGTGCGTCGTACATGAGGACCTAGCCAAACCGCGTTACGCATTTGTGGAAGAAAGCGTAGCAAGCTTTGTCAATATCTCAAGTCAAGTAACACCGTACTAGAGGGAGAGTAAACAATTTCAGAACACGTGGCGCGCTGGCGTGGACCTTGAGACGTTGAAAATAGGCCGACATTTCGCGCAGCACGAGGAATTCGAGAAATGATCCTAACACATTCTCCCCATCCCCAGGTCGACCATCAGCGTCGTCACCGGGGAGGCACGCACCACCCCAAAATCTGCAAGAGTCCCATCACCCAAACCCCACGAGCACTCTGCAAGGATACTCCGAAACCCCCCAGACCGTCATGGTTCCCCCCAGACGCTGATCAATCCCCAGGAGAAGGCCCCCGGAACGTATCACCAGCTCGCAAGAGAAACAACGACAAGAACAACAACGCCAGACTCGAAATGAAAGGACCCCACGAGACCGACCGATCTTGGCGAGGCTGGCGAAGAAGATCCAGATGCCGATGACGAAGGGCGTCTCGACGCGGTGGAACTCGACGCTGAGGATCTCGTACTCCCGGTCGGGCTTGACGGTGGCGTCGACGGGGGTCACGGTGGAGGCGTCCAGCTGCTGGGGGGAGGCGTCGTCGGGCAGGGGTCGCAGGATGGGACCCATGGGGCCGAAGCGCGTGCCGGCGTAGGGTCCGTGCAGGTCTTGGGGTAGGTCCGGGTCGCTGTCCAGACCGCTGGGGCCGGGGGCGTCGGGGAGCGGGGCCTGGCGGGCGCCTGCGGGGGTCGATCCCAGGGCGAGGCCCAGGCTGGGGCCCAGGCGGAGGGTCGCGCTCAAGGCCAGCAACACCCACGACAGGCGCGCCGACGTCCGGGCCATGGGGGGCGCCATTGCTGAGGGCGGCTCAGGTGGTCGCCGCTGATGGGCGCAAGCTGATCTCGGCGAGGACCGCCGTCGCGGCGCGTCGCGATGCCTCCTGGTCGGGCTTCCTTTTCATGGCCCGATACCTCGACGCGGTCTCGGTGGGATCGTCCGGTCGATCGACTGCATGCGGCGCGGCGCCTTTACGAGCGGCGGGTTGTTCCGTCCCCACTGATGCTAACCCCGTTCCAGCCAGCTGATCTTTGCCCGAGCGACCGACGCGCAGGCGTCGCGACGCACCGATATTCCCGGCGACGACGCCATGCCGCCAACAGCGCCACCCGGGCGCGCCACGAGGCTGGAGAGTGGAGGAGGGACGAGGTGGACTCGACGACGAGGGCTCCGTGCACCAGGGGATGACCCTCCCGGTCACGCTGGAGATGCCCTTTCGATGGCCCTGCACCCTACGAACATTTATTAACCGCCCTCGCACTTGGCGAATACTCAAATTAGCGATTAGATTATGCGCGAGACTTTGGCTTTCCTTTCTTGCGAATGTGTCTCCTGGCTTTTGTCAATTCGGGGAGGGGTTTGTTAAGGTTTAAAGAATTTCATGATTAATTATGCAGCTCTAGGGACCGATGAGCGCTTCCCGACACACTGAGTAGGGTTTATTAAAAGTGTTTATTTTATTAAATAGTTGTAAATATCACATGAGCTTATAGGCGCTGGTTTCTGAAAGGGATGCGATGTATTTTTTCTGCAAATGTGCAATGTTATTTTTTCTTACTGCAATCGTATGTCGTATCGCTTTTAGGGAATCATGTCTAATGTCTCGGCGCACCTTTTGTCGGCCATTTTGTTTATCCGTGGAATTATTAGTTCCGAGCTTGGGAACTATCCGATATGGAGCGGAGTCTGTTTAGCAATATTTAGGAGCGTTTGGGAATTTTTTCATGAATTTTTCTACACTCCTCGAGAATCGGCGGTTTTAAGAGACTCGCCCCCCATTCCCCACAATGGGGGGCGAGTTTTATAAGCGCCGCAACTTAATGATGCACCTGTCGCATAACTCGGAGACCGAAAAGGGAACGGAAAAAGTGAAGAAAAGGGGGAACCGGTGTTCGGCTCGAAATAACGAAGATAAATATGCGAGAGAGGAACTGCGGAAGATCTCGAGACTTCTTGCAGCTTCTTTTGCCACGGCTCTCGTTAATGTCTTGGGAGCTGGGGTGCGCGATGAGAATAGTGCGGTCTGCTTCGCCATGGGAAACGAATCAAAGACGGGAAATTATTAATGTGGAGAATTGTCGATGTGCCGACTTTCCCGTGGGATCTGTTTCCTAAGCGATCCTGCCCGGAAGGGTGGGTGCGGTCTTTTCGTTTTTCTCCTAAATGTACTCGAAACGAAATTCTACTGACATTATATATTGATAATCATTTCACTGATATCAATTTGTCTCGAATCTCGTCCAGGTTCTAAGAGTCTCATTAATTCCGAATTAATTAAAAATGCGGATATTTGATCGGGAACAATAATCGGTGACTACTTTGCACTGCCGACGTTGACGGTCCGGCTATTTTTTATCACCTTAATTTCACTGATATCAATTTGTCTCCAATCTCGTCCAGGTTCTAAGAGTCTCATTAATTCCGAATTAATTAAAAATGCGGATATTTGATCGGGAACAATAATCGGAAACTATTTTCCACTGCCGACGTTGACGGTCCAGCTATTTTTATCTAGCTTCCGGAAACGATCAGTTCAAACTGGTATTATTCCGGTATTTTCCCGTTTAGTTTTCCAAATGCGAAGTTCAGGCCGGTGGAACCGGGTCGTCGGGAATTTGAGAAGGCGAAATAACGCCTCGGTAAATTCAGAAAGCCGGCCATGGACGGAGGGAACGCGAAAGGGCAGAATTCTGGAAAATTTGCCGGATTGGCGCAACAACGTTTGCATAATTAAGGAGCTGCATCCGTGATAAGATATCTTCCTGGGGATATGTCCGTCGTTCATACCCCGCATTTACCATTCAAACATAATTTTGACCTTCCAAATGAGACCGCTTAAATCCAAAATTAACCCCGACGAACGGGCCAAAACTTCCGCACTCATTTATATTTAACCCGAGCGCGTTGCTCGGAGACTGACAGACGGCAATATTGTTGCAAAACGCATCGCAAACTCGTCAACCCTCGTATGAATAAATCATCCCCCTGGCTTGTTGCTCGAAAAATATTTCCCGGTAAACCGAGCCATTTCATAACGCATCCATTCGAGCCACTTCAATTAATTCCGCGCGGCCCCGATGAGGCGTTTTTTAATTGGGTCTTATCACGTTCGAGACACGTAATGAGCGATATCGAATCCAATGATCGGTCAATTGGAAAACAATATACACCATTACGACCGAGAAATGAAAATGAAACCCTTAATTTTTCCTGATTTTTCATATTTTGCTTCCGGGGTTCTTATCAACGCGTCCTCTTCCTTCGAGACTACTATCATGTCTTATCACCTTCAATAAACTAGTATTACCTCCATCTTGGTTTCACAGAGATACGTCTTATACGTTTTTTTATCGAAAAACGTAGAAATTGATCGCGGGGTTCGCAAAGCTCGGGATATTGTCACCAGGGGATGAAATCCATTGTTATGTTCATCTTATATCTTTCGTCCGTTTTCTTTTGTCCCTTTTATGGAACAGGATTATATACGTGTATCGAAGAGTTATCCTGCGGTTGGATTTAAGCTTAGCGAACGAACTAAGCTCTTTCCTGACAATTTCTTCGACTTTAAAGTCCTCGCTGAGGGTACATTAATTTTCTTGAAAGTACTTCCACCGAGTGCCATCCCGCGTTTCAATTCATTATTTAACGTTTCATGGGAAATGGGTGCTAATTAAACCGCTTGGCTACGATTTTTCGGTATCTTTTTGACGAAGTAATTATATCGCCGTTTAATTTGTATGTCGATAGGGATGTGGGATTTTTTTTTTTTATAGAAATTACTTAACGCGAGGGGTTGGCAATTTTTATTAAATTCGTTTGGTCCTGCTTCGAGGGTAATCGTTGTTTTCGGGGAAAGAACGTTTTCAAAATCGTTTTTGCAGCTTGATTGGAATTCTGTACTGGAACGCAAACACTCGTCCTGGGTTTTTAATTCCGCGGGGCAATTACCGATTTGATGACAAAACACGATCCTGGTGGGATCCCATTCAATTCCCTAGGGACTTTTATTACAATCGCGATTGTTAATTTTCTTCATAATACGCGTATTAATCGAAATAAGATAATAACTTTAATTCCCATTACTGACGATGCGCGGAATTACAAAAGATACGTACAAATTTCACTGCGATTGTCGTTAATAATTTCTCTTTTTTCCGTTTCGGAAATAATTTCACTTTCCCTTGGTATCTCGATCTGATCGAGTGGAGGGGTGAATATTAATATTTCCTCGTGATTTCCATCGATAGTCGTGTATCTGGTAATTCAATCATTGTTTTAAGACCACGTGGGTTACCGAATTAATTCCCCTTTTAATTTCAGCTCTCGGTGCTCAACTTTTCTGATATCAGCTACGGAAATAACGCCGACATTGCCCTTGAGGTAAAATCGCACGAAACGATCGCACCTACATTTCTCTGGGAGGTAAAAATCGATCGGCGAACAATGCTGACCAAGTACTTGTGCGGCCCTCAGAAATAAAAGTACCTACACAAGTGACGCCGTCAAGAGGAGAAAATTAATTAAGTATCGGACATATTTATTCCCGCTCATCACTTCGGATTATCGGATCAGAATTTCAAAAAGATCCCTTAAGCCCAGGAATTTCATAACATTCGCCGTCCTTCCATTTGTATCCTAAAATTGTATCGCACTTAGAAATTCGTCCCAATATCGAAAAGCATCAATCACTTTTCCTGAAAAGCGTTCTAGCCCTTTAACCGAACATATGCACACGTTTTCCTTGCACTTACAAAATTCCTCTGGAAAATGCATGGCATCTAAAATTTCATAAAAAGATTACCGATTGAAGTAGCAACGAGTATTGCACGTGTAATCGAACTGTAAACGTTATTGGGAAAATAATGGAGTCGCCTCATGCCGTTTCCATTGAAGCGATTTTCTGCTTTTCGATATTGCGTAACGTTTTCATATTTTCCATTTATTCCCCCGTCATTCCCAGACTTGGGAGTAATTGCATCAAGGTTGGACGTGGTAAAAAGAGATGGGGATTTCTTTGTCTCTAGGGAATGATTTACAGGCTTAATTTAATAATTTATAGGTAAAATGTAACCGCATTTACCATGGATTCGTCACGGAGGTAATCCGCGATGTAATGTTATGCAGCCCTCCATTATCGCGTGCGCGTCATCTGGAAAATGAAATGTATTAATGCAAGTACCCTTTATGCCGCAGGATGTGTGCAGTATTGATTTGACAGAAGATGAATTTTCCTGTCGGTTCCATTTAGGCGGGGAAAAATTAGACGAGCCCAGAAGGAAGAGTAAACAGAGGGGAAATATCGAGTGCGGCGTCGATGTCGCCGCCATCTGAACTCCGAGGGGAGGGCAAGCATTTTTATCAGAGAATTTATTAGAGTTATTACTGAAAGGCACTTTTAAAGCCCTTGGAGCCGTCCGAGCCGCGAACCTCTGTTGGTTCAGCGGGAAGGAAAATAATATCCCTTTCTTTTCGATCCTGTCCGGTAAAATAGTCCCTTTGTGCCGGGCTGAAAAAACAGCCGACCTTCGGAGTAAAGGTAAACAGAGGGAAAAAGCAAATGCGCCTCCACCGCGGCACGGTTTTGCAGTAAAAATCAAAGTACGGAGCAATCGGCAAGGGAAATCATAAAGCACCGAAATGACGTAATCCCCCTTTTTTCACGAGCGTATCCGAAGTTTTATTTTTAGGTCCGCCATTGCGTGAGCAAAGAAAATCCTGCAAAACGTCAAGGCTTTCTAAGGTCCTGGAGTTGGCTTAGAGATTTTCTAGGATTTTCCGCGGCACCATTTTCGGATTTGAAATTATTATTAAACGTGCGATGAATAGCGAATTTTCTCCTATGATTAAATTCACGGCACAATGATTTCGGCGGAGGGATTTAATATTTATAAAATCGTGGCGTGAATTGACGGAGGAAAATTATTAATTAGGATACGGAATCTTGAGACGAATGAATGTTCTTAATTAAGTGAGTGATTTAGATGACTCGGTTTGCAGGATGGAACGTTATGGCAGGATCTCTCGGTGGTAATATTATTCTGCAGTAACGAGACTCAGTTTTCACGCACCAGTCGGCAGGAAACTATGGCTCAAAAGATTCATAATTCTGCCTATGTGTGCCGAAAGTGATTCCCGTGCTCGGTACCCACCATCTTACCGTGCAATAAATGCGCAAACCCTGGAGGCCCGGTACCTCCAACTTTATATGAAATTCTCTAAACTGCTCGAGAACTATTTCCGAGTCTCCTTCTATTAATATTCGGGCAGCGAACCTCCGAGCTTGGAAAAGTAAGGAGCGGGAAAACAAGACTCCCCTCGATGTACGGTATAAGAAAATACGATTCATTTAATAAGGAAAGTGCATCCTGCATTATATTTATTGGATTAAATATTATTGGATTTAATTGCAGGAGACCTCATTAAGGATAATGCACCATCGGAGGAAGGACGAGGGAGGATGATCGTACCCTTGGCAAGGAAGAGGGTGCCGAAGTATGGCGGCTCGGAAATTATCTCCATACCAGGGTATTACCTTCCATCCATGGCAGGATGTGCAATAAATAATCCAGCCGAGTATTAAATATTTCAAGGATATTTAGCGTATGCACTGCCTGACATATTGCTTTAAGGATTTATAGCCGCGCCGCGTTTGTAGAGTAACAGGAAGTAACCTGGGATAATGTTGAATATTTTGTCAAATATCTCGGGGAGGTATGTGCGGGTAAGCTGCGTGCTTATTAATTGTTTAATGCCTGTTTTCAACGTTTCTCCCGGTTATTGTATAACGCAGAGACCGGGGCATGTCTTTGGGAATTAAACAGAGGCGAAATTAAATCCCCCTAGGATATTCCGAGGCGTTGAAATTGTTTAACAAACATTTGGAGCAGACGTAGACTGGCTTAAGAGTGCTGGCTTATTCCCTGCGTAATTTCAGCTATTTCTTACGAAGGATATCAAGACTGCTGTCCTGATTTCAGGCTCTGAATAACAATTTCGGTGGTTCCGCACATCAACATTCAGCCGGCGGAGAAACGTCTACATACTTGAAAGCAGGGACTAGGGAAACAAGATTCACTCATACAAGGACAAGGGTGGGTATTGCAAGAAATTTATTCCGAGACGTTGATGTAGTCGATTGTCAGTTTTGCTATAGAATTTGGTTTTATAGAGGGGTTGGTTCGGAGCATGGAGAGATCTCTCTGGACGTCCTTATTTCGAAGAAGAAAGACCAATGTGATTCTACCGGTAAGGAATATGATATAGATTATCGGATATTACTATCTTTTATTTATCTCAAATTTTAAAGCCTTTTATTTTAATAATGATTGGTGGTGGAGTTTCGCGCTAAGTACATTTTCGCGAGAAACGCGTAGAGTCGAATGACGAGGGATTTAATTCCGTCCTCATCTCCGGAGGATCCGATCCTGGAAATCTTCCCCAGGGTGGTGTCCTTGGCGTGAAGTATGGGGAGGTTTCGACATTATTTGAAAATCGAGATATTACGTGCCGGCTAAAAATCCGGCGCCGTGGTGGAGTTTCGAGACAAGTACATCTTCGCTACAAACGCGTAGAGTCGAATGACGAGGGATTTAATTCCGTCCCTATCTCCAGAAGATCCGATCCTGGAAATCTTCCCCAGGGTGGTGTCCTTGGCGTGAAGTATGGGGAGGTTTCGACATTATTTGGATATCGAAACATTACGTGCATACTAAGAATCCGGCGCCGTGGTGGAGTTTCGAGACAAGTACATCCCCGCGAGAAACGCGTAGGGTTGAATGACGAGGGATTTAATTCCATCCCTATCTCCGGAGGATCCGATCCGGGAAATCTTCACCGAGGAGAGGTCTCCAGTGGTACCCCCGGTGCGGAGTATGGGGAGGTTTCGACATTATTTGGATATCGGGATATTACGTGCCGGCTAAGAATCCGGCGCAGGCGCGTGGAGCGCTGCAAGAAATTGATTCTGCGCGAAGCCGGCGGAATCATCGAACGACCGTATCCAAGGTCCGCTCCGTATTATGTAAGGGATGTTGCCGTACGAGGGATCGGGTACTTGGAGCTCCTAGTGTGCTGGGAGTCATGCGAGTGGACCTCGGGAAAATCGCGTGCACGTGATACGTCGCCAGTCTGGACAGAACAGTCCTTCCAGGGAAGGACCCTCCGGCGGTGCGCCTCGATGGAACTGCACATCGCTCTGTTCGTTCATATCGTGGGTGAGTTTTCCCGTGGAAGAGCCTCCCGGAGCGGCATACCCCTCGACGGAGACATCGCCGAGTGACGAGTGACCTTTTATTTAGTTAAACGGGGTCGTCCACGCGTTCATTTCCGACCCTCGGGGGTGGCGAGCGCTGGCGGTCGTCGCCGACCACGAGGCCCAGGAAACGTGGGGGTGTTCGCTACGAAATCATGGATTTTAACCCTTTAACTACGGGAACCGTCCCAGCTGGACGGATAGCTCGACCATGGAGTGCTTACATTTAATATATAAAATTATTATATATTCATTTCTCGGGTTGGATACATGGGAACGAAGGGTGCGGACAAAAAACCATGATCGCGTGGGAGCATGTCTCGGAGTTAAAGGGTTAATGCTAGAATTTGGTGGAAATCATCGAAGGATCCCCGGGATTTTAGGGACCACTGGGACTGGTTATCCAATGGCATTGTTTATCGTATGGGATATCAATGGCAATCGGCTCTTAAGGGAGGAAATCGATTTCACTGAGTTTCGAGATAATGGCCCCGCGTCGGGAAACGTGGGACTTGGATTTCTTCGAGGTTTCGTTTCAAGGGGAATTTCCTTCCCTTGGTTTTAGTCGCGAGGGGTCGTTGTGGATTATTTTTCCGGAGGGTCTCGGGGTATGGGAGACCTGGTGGACCAACTGAAATCCCTGTGGTGTGTCGCAGGGTTTTGCTTGGGTCTGAAGGAAGTGCGCGTCCAGATTCCAACCGCCGTGAAGAAGGGCGACTCGGCCATCCTAAACTGTTGGTATGACACCGAAGGAGACCCTCTGTACACCGTCAAGTGGTACAAGGGTGGACGCGAGTTCTACAGATACGCGCCGAAGGAGGACCCGGTCGTCAAGACGTTTCCGATCGGCAGTCTGAGGGTGAACGTAAGTGATCCCTCCCGAGGGGCTAAGAAGAGTTTTTCCGAACAGCTCGAGGGGATTTCCAGATCGAGGGTCTACGGTTTCTACCCCCTAAGAGATATTCCACTTTAATAACCCCGAAGAGCGGATTTGTGGACGCCGATTCGCGGCTCGTTAATTTCTTTCCCATCGGTCTCTAATCACCGGATAAGTGCGTTATTGCGCGGACCCGATATAATTATTCATGCCCGATCGCATGATAATTCCCAAATCGGGGGAATCGCCGATGCTCGGTTATTGTACTCGCGTCGGTGCTGATACATGCGCGAATTGGTCTACCCCCGAAAAGTCACTTCCGGTCCGATTTGCAAATCCGACCAATCGCCGATTTATCCGGTTATTAACTCTGATTTGACCAGTGCCTGGCTTCGTGGTAGAACTAACAATGCTCCCTTTTCGGGGGAAAGGAAAAAAGATCACCCGAACGGTGCATTTGCAAATGAGCCGATGTCGCGCGGTTACATTTGCAATTGCATTTGCATTTAAAGATTTACTTGGTACGTGTTGCCCGCACTTGTCCTGCGTCTAGTCGAGGACGCTTTGCTGCGTTTACATTTCAGAGGGACGTTTCGTGAAACGGGATCAATTTTTGCCATTTTATCCGGAGCTTTTTATTCATATCTTTCTTTTGCAAACCTTGATTTTCCTGTTAATTACGCGGCTCGGCGTTGAATTGACTAACACTTTGATTAATTTCAAAGAATTGTAATGTGTGCCCATAATTATGAAAGTGGTCTGTCATATATTTTTTGTTTCGAAATTACATTGAATTCATTTCGTTTGAAATAATATGGCGTGAAATAACTGATAAACTCATTTTTTTTTTTAATTTTCACTTAGACCACTTTCATAATTATGGGCACAATTATATCAAACCGCAATAGATAATCGAGGGTAAATTATTCCACTTTCATTTTGACATGAAGTTCAGGCAATGAATCTAGAAATTATTTGGGCAAAGATTATTCGGTTGAAAAAGTAATACGCCACTTAACTGTCCATTGTCACCGAGGAAAATGAGCTTTCTGTCCCAGTTTTTAGAAAAATCCTCATTAGAATAATGTTTATTGATTGTTAATACCGACTCGGCAATCTTTTAGAAAAATACTAGAGTTCCATATTTAAATGAACACACGGTTTTCAGTTCCATTTGTTAATTAATGTGTACTTACCACGTCGCGAAACTGCCTGGCGTATCCTATACATGTATTTACTTACACTCGGTGACTAAGTGCTTACCGCAATTTTTTTTTTTTACCTACAAATGGCTTTACTTATAAAGTTGACTGCCAACTCGTGTTTCCTTTTATTTACTAATCACTTTACATGTTAAACATGTCGAGTTTGCCAACTTTTTCGGAGAAGCGAGCGTTAAGCGGACGAGTAATTGTCTTGAAATTCCATTGAAATGGATAGTTATTAATTTAGAGAATACATGTCGGAGTTCGCTTTCAAGTTTAACCTGCATTTAAGCTGCATATCTGTTATTACAATCCCGTATGACAGACTCGGCCAATTGTCAAATCGATCTAATCGCCTGTACAGAGGATCCCTTCTTATTGATATACCGTTAATATAATACGGCAATAAATTGAATAATTTCGGAATTACGTTAGCAAATTAACCCAAAGTTATTCTATTCCATTTGCAAATGATTTCAGTCTAGTTAGAATAAATTATGCCCTTCTGCATTAAAGCGACGAAGCTGTAAGGTATCGGTATTACCCGTGACTACTGACAAACTAGATGTTTGTTAAACAAACGAACATATTGATATTACAATTCTATATCGGAGATTCCGCAATCCTCGTGTGTAATCTGGGTACATTACTGCGTATGTAGGTTTAGAAATTTCGGTTCAACTAGGCGTAATCGATTGAAATTTCAAAGCTTTGGTCGCAGAGGGGGAGATTAATCGAAGGATTAATTTCCTGATAATTAGAAAAACGATAGGGACAGTTTAGGCCTATAATTACCCACACTTCTATAAACACTTACCCACCCGGAAAACGAGGAAACGATAAATGTTTAAGGTAAAAATATCCAAATATACATTTCTCCTAAACTGAAAATTAAATAAACAACATAAAATCCCGTATTAACGCATCAGGCATCACGTGCACCATCAATATATTATTAAATCCAATTACCACGGTTTACAACAAATAATGAATAACTTGGCGAACCTGTAATTAGAAGGTAATTAAATCTCGATAAACGCGCCGAGTTAAGTAAAATAGTGATTAGCGGATTCGAATGGGGAATTTTCGAATAAGTAATCACGTAAACGTGCTGATTAAATCCTCGAGAGGCAACACATCCTTGATGATAACCGATTAAGCTCCACCGACCTCCATTTCTGGGGATTAATAAAACATCCGATTTAAATCAGATTAATGTCCGTTGCTCGTTTTTGCAAGATTTAATCACCGAATTATGGGGCTGTAACGCTCGGCTCTCTTTCTCTCCCTCTCGGTGCAGCATCGCGGATTACCTTCGATTTTATTCCTTTGCATTATTCACCACGTGGGGATGTTTATCGGCACCGTTTTCGTCGATTTAAGGACCTACCCCGGGGACGGTGGGGTTAAATATTTAACCTAGTCCTTTTCCCCCAGAAATCTGAGAGCAACGCCACCCAAGTTGCTCTTACGGATCTGGAATTGCAGTCGGCTGGTACTTATAGTTGCGAGGTATCTGCCGATGCACCTTCCTTTCACACATTTATCGTAGACGCAACTATGAGCGTCGCTGGTAAGATTAACAGAATTTATTATTAAATTTACTTATATAGAATTTAATATTAAATTTTACTTGTATAGAATTTAATATTAAATTTTATTTGTATAGAATTTAATTATATACCATTTAATATTAAATTTTATTTATTTACTTTCACAGAGCTGCCAACACAAGGACCGTCGATAGACGGACTTAAGACGAAGTACAGACTCGGTGAGGGATTGCGCGGCAATTGCACTGCTGGACGCAGTACACCTGCTGCAAACCTCACGTGGTTCGTCAATGACAGACAGGTAAGGTTGACATATTTTTTAAGCCATTGTAAAATCATTGTTAACCCGCTAACGACGGGACTTTGTCTTAAACATTTATCTGCTTGCGGGGAAAAACAAAAAAAGAAACATTAATCGATGACGAGTGTACTCGTCGAGCGCAAATAGATCCGCTGGAAAGTTAATTACAAGACGGGAGCAGATACTACTATATTAATAATTTATGTCATTTGAGACGACTTTAGAAAATTGTATCGATATCGAGCAGAAATTTTAATTTTTATAATGTATGGCATTTCCTTTTTTTTTTCACGTGTATGACGTTAAGGGTCGTTATGGGGTCAATCTTTTTGGAGTCAGGGAGCGTTTTCGATCATAAGGGACATTTGTCGACCTCCAAAGCCATTAAACTTTGAATGTCCAACCATTTGGCTTGTCTGGGTCGTACATAAAATACCTGACACATTACGTAGTTGATGTACGCAACGAAATTGCCTTTTCTTTTTCACTTGCCAAGTTGCATAAGCGGGTTATACGTATGAAAAAAAAAATAAATATATGCGCCACCCTGGTTCAGTTTCACTGCAATGTTTTTCTCAGTTTCCTTTGAGGGCTTTCGGGATGGTTAATAATAATAGGATGTAATTGGTTTAAGAACAATGGCGCTGAAATTTCGTTTGAATCGAGACCAGGTTTTATCCCAGATTCCGCGAGAAAAACAAATTAAAGCGATCGTTAATGACTTTTCGGTAAGCAATGGTGAATGGCAATTAACAGAAATTCACATTCGCGAGACAACCTCCTCGGGGAAGTTTGCCAATTAAGTGAGACTTCCCTCAAAACGAGAAGTCGAACGAGTAAAGCGTTAAACGGTCCCGCCCGCAATTGCAATGTCGAAATGTCGGCCGTTTCGAAATTCAATGTTTATTGTGCCGTGGGTAAATTAAACGCGAATCGCGCCCACGGTCGAAGGTAATCAATCGAAAGTGGGAGATATTTCCGAAGTGGATTTCGGCAATTGTTTCGACCGGTTCAATTGACTTGTCTTGCTTTCTCTCGGGCCTCCCCCATTTAGCTCCGTAACGAGGACAATTTTCCACGGGGTACCATAACTCATTCCTTGGGTGAATTCCTAATTTCCCTGTCAAAAGTTTGACATCGCAATTCTATACCTAGGGGGGCGGATTTAGTAAGGAAGTCACTAAGTGCCTTTTCCTTTCCGTCATCCCCGAGTCGTACGGTACGTCCTCGTCATCGCCGTCATCCCCGGTTAAATCATTCCCCCCCCCCCCCCGGAAAGTTGGAACACCCTCGGACGAGTCACAACTTCTGACGAATCTTCCTGCATCCCCTCGAAATGGGGATGACAATAAAATTGTTCCAGGGCAACGATCGATCCCCCTTCGAGGTGCAGCTCCCCTTCCTGGAGAGCATCCCCTACGTCGGGGGAAGATCTCTGGAAATGCAATGTTTGTTAATGCAGTGTCCCCTATAAAATGGCGGTTAATAACGTTTCTTCCTTAGAGAGGAATTCATGAAAGTCCTGAGAGAAATTCCTCCATAATCTCATATCTGAAATTCTGATAATTATGATCCCGTTTCTTCTGCTTTCTACCCCTCGGTATGGAAATATGTCGATTAATAACATTTGTTTCTTAGAGTCATGTTCACTATAGAGAATAATTTCTAAAAATCATGAGAAAAAATTTCAATTAATAACATTTGTCTCTTAGAGTCATGTTCACGATAGAGAATAATTTCTAAAATTTATGCGAAAAAATTTCGATTAATGACATTTGTCTCTTAGAGTCGTATTCACGATAGAGAATAATTTCTAAAAATCATGCGAAAAAATTTTGATTAATGACATTTGTCTCTTAGAGTCATGTTAAGAGAGTAATTCCTAAAAATCATACGGGAACGAAATTCTGTAAATGAAAATCTCGACTCGGGTTGATTTTTCGGTCGGTGGAGGTTGGTCAAAATGAGTAAAATCTTATTGTTAAAATCTAATTAAATCTTTCCGTATCTTGGAAGGAATTGGCCGCGTTTCCTCCTCCGGTTCAATCCGTCTTCTCTGCTGGCTCCCCAAAGACATCAGAGTCGGGAAAGGGGGAGGTAGAAAAATTGTGAGATCCTCGGAGTCTCATAAAACAGATTCTACAACGAGATGGTTAATTTCAAACTCGTACTTCGGGAGAAGAAATATGTACCTCTCCGTTCATACAGGTATACACATCTATGCAGGAGGTAGATGAGACAAAATATACGTATATCTAACGTTTAATTAAAATCCCTCCTTTGAGCATCGTTAAAACACTTCGACCTTTGCAGGAGCGTCTCTCTCTCTCCCTCGTTCTTTTCTTCAAATTTAATATATCTCCTCCGAACCCTTATTAAAATTATTAAAAGGAGGAGGGATCCTCTTTAATCGCGGCAATCACTTTAGTTTCACGGGCGATTACTTTCCTTCGCCATACAAACGCCGGGAAACCAAAAGGAAGCTGTTCCATAACTTAATTAAAACCTTCCGATCCCTGGAGGAGAATTTCGCTCGCAGACCCAATTTATATAGCCCCCCAATGAGATAAGGGAGGAATACGTAGATTTATACCCTGAGCGGTCCACTCGAAAAAGATGAGCATCCCTTAAACATCCCCATGTTCTATGGCGGCGCGATAAGAACTCTACATTAATAACAGTTCCCGAGGAGAAATGATATCCGAATAACAGAAATTCCCTCCGTAACAATGCTTTTGACATTGCTAAATATCCGTGTTACTTCCCCGTTTAATTAATCCGCCCTTACTTCCTTTGAAATTCTGACGTACCATTACAATACTTTGTTCGCATTAAATTTTACAGGATATCTTCCCTTGCAATTGCGACATGCGTAGAGTGCATGTTCACGTTGGAAAGATTGAAACGATTCGGTGTACTTAGTTTGGCGAAAAGTTTAACAATGGACCCTTCGGATGGCACTTTCGTATCGCTTTAAGAAGGAGGAAATAATGGGCGCCTTGGTTCGATAAGACGCTCGGTTTCCCTCGGAATTTCTTCCCTCTGGTCCCTCTCGTGTACAGAAACCAGGAAGAAGCAATTCCGTACGTCATCGAAATCCTTCCGACCCCCTGCGGAGAGATTCGCGGCTCTCGTTCGCGTTCCTTCCGATAGGCAGAGAAAACGTGTCTTCATTAAGGCAGCTCGGGGTACACCCACCCCCGGGAGCCCCGACAAAGAACCGCATTCCCCTAAATAATGACCGCTTTCTCTCGTTACCCGAATGCGGCAAAGCCGGGGTGAAATAATTTCATAACTTAATGAAATCCTTGCGACCCCCAAAGGAGAGTTTCGCGGCCCTCTTTCCTTCCGGGACGATTTGTATCCTCTGGCTTTGGCTCCCCAAAGAGAAGCACCCCCGAGGTACATTCACGCACGTTGGTACCTAGGTACCTTGAGAGTAGAATAAGTAGGTTTCTAAGGTCATGGGATAGTTTTGAAATTTTCAAGGGGGTTGTATTGCCGAATTTTCTGATTGCCTCGGTACTGCAATTCTTATCAAATGTGCGAGTATGAATATCAGATTACGAGGGTTTAAGCACACTCCTAAGGTACCTACGTACGCATTTCTCACGCATGTTGGTAACTAGGTACCTTGAGACTAGAATAAGTAGGTTTTTAAGGTCATGGGATAGCTTAGAAATTTTTAAGAGTTTTGTATTGCCCAATTTTCTGATTACTTCAGAACTGCAATTCTTATCAAACGCGCGAGTATGAACTCCAAATTACGGGGATTTAAGCGTACTCCTAAGGTACCTACGTACGCACTTCTCACGCACGTGGGTTTCATATTGCCGAATTTTCTGCTTACTTCATAACTGCAATTCTTATCAAACGCGCGAGTATGAACTCCAAATTACGGGGGTTTAGGCGCACTCCTAAGGTACCTACGTACGCACTTCTCACGCACGTGGGTTTCATATTGCCGAATTTTCTGCTTACTTCATAACTGCAATTCTTATCAAACGCGCGAGTATGAACTCCAAATTACGGGGATTTAAGCGCACTCCTAAGGTACCTACGTACGCACTTCTCACGCACGTTGGTACCTAGGTACCTCGATACTCGAATAAGTGGGCACGTATGCGAGGAGGAATGGAGAGATCCGCGGAGTCTCATAACGCGGTCGGTCCATCGGCGAGCTCGTAAACTCATCCCGGTGACCACCCTCTGGTTTTACAGCCGCTACCCTCGCACGTGCGCGTTTACAACCCGGTGGATACGAACGATTCGGAGGGGCAAACTTCGCAGATCGGTCTCCAGTTTCTCGTAACGTCGGACCACTTTACGAGCGGCAAGCTCAAGGTGCGTTGCAGCGCTTCCATATACGACATATACTGGCAAAGCACCGAGGTCAGCGCCGAGGAGGACCGCCAAAAAACGAGCCACTTCGAGCCGTCTGCCACCATTGTTGGCATCAATTATCTCCAGCCACCGCCTAATTTCCAGACCGGCCAGAAGAAGCCCGACGGCCAGGTGGACGTCAAAGGTGAGTCCCTATCAATTCCCGATATCACCTGGTGCACTGTAAATTAATCCTTACGCATGCCCTGGAGGAAAAGCGACTAACTCGAACTTCGAAACGGATTTTACCCCTTCAAGTCCTAGGAATCCAACAGGACCTCTTTTGGTCCTGTTTCACCGTTTTAACTCCCTTCAACCTCCAGGGTAACAGCCCCATTGTCAAAGGGTTAAGGCGGGATGAAAGGGTAATTCTGTATATATAACCGAATATTAATAAAATATTTATATAAAGAGGATGTACCGAATCGATGGGAACTTTGTCATGTGGAGGCCCTAAGGAACAATGTGGTGTTCATGAAATTTCATTTTGCCTCGGGTAGAACCTAGAATACATTTCCTATTTTTTCTTTCGTATGTAATGACCCTTTCATGTCACATTGAAACGCTTGCAATTTACATTTTCCACAATGCGGCTGTTTGGCTCACTGCAAAGTGGAGTTTACCTTGTAAAATTGATATCCACGTAGAAGGTGGGAAGACTCGATATCGTATTTAATTGCATCGATATCACGAGGTGTAATTCGCCATTAAACGCGTATTTGCAATTGATAACGCGTCGGATTTCTTTACAGTGTACAAATTCAGGCTTCAAGAGGGCGAGTCGAAAGTGCGGCTGAAAGAGGTGCATCTTTGAATATTGGTGGTGAAATTTATGCGGCATCGTTGATTTCATTTGATTTTCATGAATCTTATACACGTGTAGAAAGATGCGGAAGATCTAGGAACGCGGAAGGATGGATCTCGCGAAACGCAAAATGAATTTATACGTATGGGGTATTTCAACAATGCCGCGGTTATGAATTATTCCTACCGCCGAGTTTAAATATTCGTATTTTCGACTCGCATCGACTGCCTCTATCGTTTATTCCGAAATATTTAATCGAGCCGTTTCTCGTTCCAGTGCTCGGATCTACCGCGGTGGGTCCGCGAGCGTCGCTACGATTCGTTTTGGAATTGATTGCGTTTCTCCGACTTGCCACTCGTTAACGGACTCTTTCTGTATTATATGCGTGCTTTGGAGCTCTTTATATAAATCGACGTGCTTGTAAAAAAAAAAGGAAAAAATAAGAAAAAAAAAAAAGACACATCGCACGGGTACTTCGTTTCCCTCAATCCCGCTCCCGGAGGAACGTATCACTTGGAAGTCGGAGAAAATGATTCCCTTCTTCGAGAATCGATTTACTATCAGCTTATATCATAGATAATGCGACTCGGTGGCAAGTGACGTTTGGTCTTGACATTTTCACGGTATTACGGGGATTTCCACCGATTTAAATCCAGAATTTCACTTCCTGACTCGCGACTTCCCATTTTGCACGTATCCTAAATTGCGACTGGGTAATCGAGGTTTAATCGGATTTTTGGTCAGGGTCACGTGTACTATTTTGCATGAAAAATTACAGGTTTCTGGGTAAGGAGGCTCGCGACGGAAATTTTGGTATTTGGGTATGATGGTCCAATTTGTCTGGATTTTCATTAGGGGTTGAAATTCACTTTCTTCCTTGAGGTTAATCGAGGTTTAATCGGATCTCTGGCCAGGGTCAGGTGTACTATTTTGCATGAAAAATTATATTGCGCGTTTACAAGTCAAGGAATTGTATCGGATAATTTTCTGTAGACTGATATTACAGAGGCGATTTAATTTAATTTGGCACCGAATGATTGAACATGCAAATTGACAGGGGCATTATGTCAGTGCGCGTTTACAAATCGGGGAATTGTATCGGACATTTTCCCTTCGACGGGTTAAGGTAGAAGTGTCTTTTTCGCAGGTTTCTTCGGGTTCGATCCATCGCGTAAATTCTCGGGGAAGAATGGCAAAAGTTGGGGGTAATTTACGAGTAGCGGGAAGGAGTGCGCGACGCTACGCAAGCGGATATGTTCACCATCAAGGTGTGAATTTACGGGGTCGACCAGGAGGCAAGATCGATCGTCGTTAAGGGTTCCAAGATTAATCTGTCGTATACTAGGAGTTTCGAGAATGCCGGGCCGAAGTTTCAAGAGAGAGAAGCAATCGATCATAGTCATGCTCGGTGCCTCTTTCTCTCCCCGTACCTTTCTTAGGGTGTACACCGTGATTCAGAGCCGAGGTTGGAAACGAAAGGGACCCCATGCCCGATTCGGATTTCCGACAACTTACTCTTGAGGTGAATTACCCCGGTAACGATGTCGGAATTCACCCCCCGATAGCTCGCCACTTCCGATCGAAGACGTCCCCCCAATGGAGAGATAAATTTCAAATCCATCTACATCGTTCAATTTATGACTTTTTACTTTCCACGCGATTCTACACTTCTCGGCGCACTGACATTTTATGAGATAGATAACCGAGAATCACGGGGGGGTGCTAGGAATTTCTTTTTTTATCCCCGCCGATAAATCAACCTACTTTCATTTATTACCTCTTATCGGGGTTGCAAACATTTTCATGGAAGAACAATGCATCATTCGTTGTTCCTTTAACGGGTAATGGGCCATGATCCCGTCACACGGTTACAAATTAATGGATCGTGGATTCTGTTACCAATATTAATGATGAAAATCATGCCTACTGGAATTATAATGGATTACCGAGGATAATGCATTATTTGCAACCCTGCATGTTATTTTTTTTCTACGCCTCTTCGCGGGAAATTGGAGGTCATTTATTGTTCAGCTTACGAGGGAAGAGGTTCGGAATTTTTCGTAATGGTAATCTTGGTCTTCTCTCCTTCGTTCATTTCTTGCGTTACTTTTTCTATTATTTTTCTTCGGTAAATCGAATTTTTTTTCGACTCGATTCTATATTCAAAATGGGGATTTCGGTTGTTTCCATGGAACGATGACATATCTAGGAAGTGGATTGCAGGCGTATTTGAGGGCCGGGTGAGTACAAACAGTCAGAATCTAGGTACCTTCCGGAACAAAGGGGTAATTAGATCCTGGGAGTGCAATGAGGGTTGCGTTACGGGGTTGCAGTTATCGATGTCTAAATATTGTCGGCAATTAAATTCCCCCTCGGCCTCGGGGTAGCCATTAAACAATTAGCCCTATCGCATTTCTCTTTCGAGTCGTCTGATCGATGAAGATTCACCTACTAACTCGATCTGCCCTCCGTGATCTCGGAACGGGCGAAGAAATCAAGACATTACTCTTTCACGTAGCTTCCGTAAACTCTTCCTTCATTTTTCCGAGGTAATTTAACATCCCTCCGTACTACCTATACCCACGGAAAGTACGTGACCACGTTTCGATATTTTTATTATGCACTTTTCCTGCAGCACCATGCGCCCCGTTCGGACAAGACCAGGAAAGACCATATCGATTCTTGACAATTTTTCTCCGTGTTTGATATCAATTACCGTCCCCCTTATCTCCTCTCTTTAAGTACGATACATTTCTCAGGTTATTCAATTTTTTACATTAACATCTTGCATGCAATTACGCCTCGTTACGCCGCGACTCGAGATTTAAAAATTGCGCGGGGACATTGTCTTTCATTTCTCCCCGCATTAATTATGCTTATTAAGAAGCCAAGTGTATGTACAATATTTGTACCTTCTTTACAATCTGTTGTCCATTTGATTAAAGCTATGACGAATATGGCTTTTTGAGGGCAGAAACGGTCCTTTGTGGAAAGCTCGCGATCGGCGCGGTGCCTTTTACCGCGTCGGTAAAAAAAAGCCCTATTATCTCGCGGGACGAGCCGTAAGTTCGATCTCTCTCATTTTCCGCTTTTACGGGGCATAAATTCCCGGTAGTTCACCCGTCGGGTCGACCTCTACGCGGCGGCCATTTTGCGGGGCAAATCGTCCCGGCGATTATCGTTATTCCGTTTATTCCCGAAAAAACGCGTCGGGGGAAGAAGACGAGCTCGTAAAGAGCGAGAGAAAAAGGACTCGCGTTTACTCGTCCGATCAATTCCCTCGTCCTAACGCGAACACCCAAATTTTGGCTCAATTTGACTTTCCTTCAGTCAAAAGGCAACTCCACTTCTTCATTTAAGAAATGTGCTTTTTAATTCCCCAACTTTGTTCGTCATCCTACCATACATTATCGTCCGATATTAGGCTCCTGAATGCATATGGTGTGCATGCATTAATTTTTTTTTTGGACACTTTTCGCCGAAAGACGGAGGGTTGGGGTGCGTTTCTATTTGCAAGGAAATTCCCGGACGCCTGTTTTTTCTTTTCTTTTTTTTAATTTACGAGAGAACGCGCATTCTGGGGCGGACGAGGCGTGACCTCCTGGCTCTGGTCCAGAAACTGGCTTTTCGTATTCGTAATTACATAAAGTTTATACGTCACCGATTTCACCGACTCCTGGGAAACGGAAGTGCCCCGGGAGGAGACCTTGGCCTTGAACCTTATCAAGGCCTCGCCAAAATGCTCTTTGGGTGTCCTGCCGCTATAAATTTGCGTCATACATTTTTTATATCTTACCGTACTAAAGCGTCGTAAGCTCTCCAAGGTGTCGTTTCGGATTTAAGTGACGTTTTATTAATTTTAACGGTCCCCATAACGGCGGAAGTAACGCCGCACCTTGGCCCAAAATTGGACACATTTGAAGAATTCCTTTGCCGTAAAACTGATAATATTCTCCAATCACCTAATCTATATTTAATACATTAAAATGACACGCGACATTACCAACGTGGTATGTCATGAATGAGAACTCTCAGAGGCAGCTTTCATATCGCCGTAATTTCTTAAAAAAAATTGCAAGGAATCCGCAACTGGACGTTTTCATATCGCATTAATTTCTTAAAAAAAATTGCAAGGAATCCGCAACTGGACGTTTTCATATCGCATTAATTTCTTAAAAAAAATTGCAAGGAATCCGCAACTGGACGTTTTCATATCGCATTAATTTCTTTAAAAAAATTGCAAAAGATCCGCAACTGGTGTCATGGTTTTCAGATTCGGGAAATCCGCCCTAACATCCGAAGTCATGTGGCGTCATGTAAACGTCAAAGCTCCCGGGAATTAGCATGGGCAGGGAATTCGGGCAGATTTGGCTAATGCAATCTACATCAAAGCGACAGTGCGGCAAAGGGTAAATACGCGTTTTCTACCCCTTATGATTGCGTTAAAGTGGCCGTCGAAGCGTACCGAGCAATTGTGGACCATGACACGTCGCCCGGTCAATCGCGGGTTGTAATGAGGCACAGAGAAGCACATGCGTGGGTGGATTTCTGAATAGCACGTACGATCATAAAGTCGCCTAAAAAATGGATTAATAGCTGATAGAAGTAACCTTGCCGAAGAATCGGCGCCCAATGGCAATTCCGCTTCCTCTTTTCCGGACGATTTCCCGAGTTTGCGATTCCAAGTGTCGGTGTTTAATCGTTAAACAGACTTTAGGACCAATTTCGGGAATAAACACCGACAAAGGCCCGAGACGGGTCTCAAAGGCATTTTTTATCTCACCGAGACGTTTCTCGGCAAACAACTCCACCTGATTGTCGAGTCAGCTGATCTGACGCACTCGATGTCGCCGTCATCCAATTTCGGGGATAAAGTTTTAACATTTACGTCAATCACGGGATTCATCTCGAGAGGGAATATATGCCCATAATTATGAAAGTGGTCTAAGTCAAAATTTAAAAAAAAATGAGTTTATCAGTTATTTCACGCCATATTATTTCAAATGAAATTAATTCAATGTTATTTCGAAACAAAAAATATATGACTTAGACCACTTTCATAATTATGGGCACATATATATTATCGACTCTGTGAATATGAATTTATTATCCGGCTCATTTCGGTAATCATGGTGATCAATTGTTAAGGGCAATGGTCGATGGAAAATTTCATGAATTTCCGGCGTACACCGGTCAGGGTAATCCAAGGTGCGAATCTTGGGATAAGGTTAAATTCATCCGAATTCAAACCACGTGGTTGACCACGTGGGGCAAGAAAGTTCCACTGCAGTCGCCGTTTTGGGCAAGGTCAAGGATGTTACGTGTCCCGAATGTACCGATGATAATTTCCTGGGGTCTCCTTGACCCAGTCTGTGCCTCACTCTATTTGCAGTACCGGTACACCACTTTATGGTCCGAAACTCTACTTTCGGAAGCCTCTAGTGGCGCACCCGTGGTCTAATTTCTTTTTCATAAAAAACTTTCCGAGATTTAATATAACCTCCCTCTCAACCCAGCAATCTCTTCACGGTAGGAGTTTTGCAAGAGTTTCGTATCTAAATATCAAAAGGCACCGGTTTTATCCGTGAGAAAAATATCGTCATTAAAATTTACAACGGGGAGAGATAAACTCCGGGGAATAATTTCAATTTATTAATTCATTGCCCGACGGCGTAATCATATTTTCTGGTGTATTTAATTTTTTTTTCCAATTCGTACTAAAATCAAACGACACTGACGTTCTGCGGGAAAAATCATTGTTAAAACTTTTTTTTCTTCCTTATGGGAGAGATAAAGAATTTTTATTTATTTATTTATCAATCGGATGATATTCTCACGTGCGTTTCATAATCGGTGCCCATTGTAACGATCCACGTGCGATTAACGCGACACGTTAATTACGCACGGAACACGTTGCAGATTCAATATTCCATCACGGGTTTATTAACGAACCCGGACCATCCTTCAATTACATATAAAAAATCGTATTTACTCACCTGAAGCGCTATTAAAGCCGTTCAAAGTAATGGCCTCACTTTCAATTCGATAAACGCGTGAACACTGTGCGTGACCCTGGTGTGCAATTTACTTGTTTTCCGATCAGTCTTGCAATTAGGCTCCCTCACGTGCGTTCTATCGCATATCCTTTTTGTAATCCACGCGCAACGACGCGTTAATTGCCCGTGGGAGGCGTTAAAGATTCGATAACAAATTATCGACTCATTAACTTATTCTCGAAAATCAAGGATACAGGCATTAGTTTATCAGAGGGGGGTCTGATGCTATCAGGCGGTTATCAATGGGGAGTATATGGAAAGGGATGTAAACGAGTGATCTTGGTGCGTGACATTCGGTACCAGTTTACCCGTTTTTGCTAATTCTCGCGATAATTTACTTATTGTCAAAAATCAACGATACAGGAATTAGTTTATCAGGGGGGGTCTTCGATGCTATCAGGCGGTTATCAATGGAAAGGGATGTAAACGAGTCATCTTGGTGCGTGACATTCGACACCAGTTTACTCGTTTCTGCTAATTCTCGCGAAAATTTACTTATTCTCGAAAAACCAACAATTCAGGCATTAGTTTATCAGAGGAGGGTCTGATGCTATCAGGCGGTTATCAACGAGGACTATATGGAAAGGGATGTAAACGAGTCATCTTGATGCGTGACATTCGGCATCAGTTTACCCGTTTTTGCTAATTCTCGCGAAAATTGACTCATTCCCGAAAATCAACGATACAGGAATTAGTTTATCAGAGGGGGGTCTGATGCTATCAGGCGGTTATCACCGGGGAGTATATGGAAACGGAATAACCGCGCGACATGTAAACGTGTCATCTTAGTGCGTGCCACTCGGCACCGGTATACCATTTTTTGCTAATTCTCGCAATTAGACTTCCTGGCGTGCGCATAATCGACGCGGCGTCTGGCAGGGTGCATAATCCATCGGCGGCGATGCGACCCGAGGAACAGCTGATAGAATGACGGCCAAGCGGAGGGACCGCGGATGGGATGAAAGGGAGTGGCGGTGTATAGAAAAGTAAAGGAGTCCGCGGTAATGAAAGAGCGAGGGAGAGAGAGAGAAAGAGAGAGAAAGGGGCAGGAGGTGTCTGGCGAGGGGGAGGAGGGAAGTGACAGAGAAAAGGAATATGGTGAGCAAAGAGAGCGAGAGAGACGGAGCGCGTCGGCGGCGCCGCCACAGAGTGGAGATGCCAATGAAAGACGCGACGCGGACAAAGGGCCGCGGAAAGAGAGCAAGCGAGACGCGGCGAGTCCGCGTCGGTGGGAGCGAGAGAGACGCCAGGAGTTCCGCGTCGGTGAGAGCGAGAAAGAGGCGGCGATTCCGCGTAGATAAGAGCGAAAGAGACGCCGATAGGGACAAAGCCGACCGAGTGGCTCCGTGCGTCGTTACTCGGCTCGAAATTCCATTCCTCGGATTCGTAATCGGCGCCTTCGGGGATTTTTTTTCCCAACCCGTGCTAATGAACGCGTCGCGATTGTCTCCGGGCGTCGCGACGCCCTCGGCCAGTGGACGCGAATCCTCGCTCGCAAAAAGCTCATCTCGAGGGACCCCCGGATGGGTGCCGCTATCTTCCGCTCCCTCTCTTTCTCTTTCTCGGCTTCTGTTTCTCCCCCGAAACGCGGATGCGGAGGTTATAAATACTTCCTTATGTAACGAGAAGTTCGAGCGAGGGGATTCACCGGGACGGCGTCGCCCGAGACGCCGCTGGAGGCGTCGAACGGCAAAATCGAGTTGTTACGACTTCTCAAGTCGGAGGTTTCTCCTAGGTTATGTTCGCATTGTTTAGAAAGACCGCGGGGGTTGTTAAAAAGTCCCGTTTGCAGTCACTTTTTCTGGGGATGAGACTTTTTCGCTTGGCTCTGCAGGGGAGAGACTCGGCAGAGTTTCGCACCAAGTAGGCATGACTCGAGGCCCGAGGTGGATGGGGTTCCTATACGTAAACGCGTCCATATAAGATAGTCTGGCCCTCCTCTTAATACAAATTAATCCCTCCTGATCGCGGTAATTGACCGGAGTGTATCAATTATGAGAAATGGGTTCCTGGTCCGCACAAAGGGAACAACTTGGTTGTTAAAAAGTGCCGTTTGCAGTCACTTTTTCTGGGGATGAGACTTTTTCGCTTGGCTCTGCAGGGGAGAGACTCGGCAGAGTTTCGCGCCAAGTAGGCATGACTCGAGGCCCGAGGTGGATGGGGTTCCTATACGTGAACGCGTCCATATAAGATAGTCTGGCCCTCCTCTTAATACAAATGAATCCCTCCTGATCGCGGTAATTGACCAGAGTGTATCAATTATGAGAAATGGGTTCCTGGGACGCACAAAGGGAACAACTTACCACTCGGAATCGGCGGTGATAAAACTTTCCGCCGTTCTCTCAGGAACCTACAACGGAACGCCGGGAAGAGGGAACAAACCTAAGTTAACATCAAGACGGCATACCTCGCGGGTAATGTGTAATTTAATGGGTCTGTTTGAAGCAGACTCGCAGACTTATGGACTTATAGACCGTTTCCCCTGGAAACTCCCAGTTTACGTCCTCTGCGACCTACATGTCGCAACAGAATATTGCTTCCTTCCTTGCCCCCGTAAACGTTTCGCCATTTCCGAAGAGTCCTGGCAACTACGAACGATTAATACTTCCCCAAATCGACGTGTTTGAAGACCGGCCGCCATCTTTGTTAGCAATTGCGGCCCTTTCTCGTTATAACCGCGTTTGCGGTGCAAATATGACCGTAATTCTCAGACGGTCGATTCCGACTCGCGTCATAATCCATAATTCACTCCGACGTACTCTCTCTGCCGCACATTGTACAAATACAAGTGGCCGGCGGTAGGGTTAAGTACATTTATGCGCAGCCAGGCGCTTTAAATCCCCCGAAAGAAGGGGACCACCGTCATGGCGCACGTAACGAGGTTTACTTAATCCCATCGTCAGCTTTCATCTCCGGATCAGAATTCAGCTTTAGCTGATGTTTAAGATCACAGAGACGATCCCAGGGGAGCCCGTCGACCGTGACGCTTACTTCTACGTGTCGCCCAATGCTCCTGATGGGGGAACTTCTAATCTACTAAGGTCCAATCTTCGTTAAGCTAATTACGGACCTCCTAATGGATCTCCAATGTCGCCGGCCTATGTGCCAGCTCGACGGCGATGCTCCGTTTCGGCCATAAATGTCGAGGTGTATGTCCACCATCCGAGCCGATATGGACCAAAGGCCAGGAGGTGAAGATGCGCCCTGGATAATACCCGACATATTCTGATAAGCCGACTAAGGTTGGCGTAGATCATCTCGCGTTTATAAAGTCGCCTCTTAAGGGGATATTAATTCTTACGCGTATATATATCACACTTTCACATCACCTTAAGGTGTAAAATTATATATACATAAAAGTTTCCTCCAAACTGGGTGCACCGAATTATCTGAAACTTTAACACGTGATTATGGAGGCGCCAAGGAAAAACGCGCTGCCCGTGAAATTTCATTTTTCTAAGAGAGAAAAAAATTGAAAGTAAATAAATGTCTTTTTTGGTTCTTGACCGAGATAAGTACATTTATTTGTAAAAAAGAAATCTCACGAGCAGGGTGTTCTTACGGTTTTCATAATTAAATTTTCAAATTATTCGATGCACTCAGTTTGGAGATAAGTTATATAAATATTTTGTAGTTTTATATATATTGTCATGCCCTAACATTGTGACTCCCTTTTAATCTTTTATCACTCGCCGGACCCTGGAAACGTTGATAGACACCGGTTTACAGTGTTGGTTCTATGCCAGCAAAATTGTATCTTGTAACAGGAATACCCTTTGTCCTATCCTTACTCCTGCTCTCTCGGCTCCTGAGGAGCGTCAATCGTAAATGTCGTCATGAACCAATAGTATTCGACGTGAAAATAAATAAGGAATTATGAAAAATTGATATAAATTATCAAGGAATTAATTATGAAAGTGGTATAAAATTGTCGCAATTCCTCAAAAAAAAAAAAAAAATACCTCACGGCATAACAATATAAAATGACCCTTTCATATCACCTTAATTCGTCAAGTCGCAATGTTCTTGGACTACAGCTTGACACGTAGAATAATATAAACCGGTTGAAAGCTGCTCGAAGAAGGCGATGATCGCGAGTGCCGATCCCTCCTTCGAGCTCCGCTGGAGCTCGGCCTCCACGCTCGCGCGAGCATAGTATGCTGCACGCATAGTGCATACTACATGCCGGACACCTAGTATCGCAAGCGAGCGCTCTCCGACAGTCTACTCCGGTCTCTCGGCAACGAGAGTTAACGAAGAATTCCCGCGAGGTCCGCTCGTTCTCTTGCGGTTTCATTCCGTCCGCGGCCTCGAAATATCCCACCCTGGGCCCGCCGATTTTTCTATTATATTTCCTATATCTTGATTTTTGTATTTCGCGTGGGTGCCACGTGGCTTGGTGAGACACGACCCCGTAAGTACCGATCGAGGTGACTACTCGAAAATCTCAAGGTCCATCTTTTCTTGCGCCCGGCACAGGTGCAACAAGTCGCCAGGAACCACCTGATGCTCCAAGTCACCGGTTGTGATCGGAATTAATTTAGGGGCAATACGCGGGATTTCCCGAAAGTGGACATTGTCGGGGATTTCGCGAGATCCTTGAAAGAGAGGAAAAAAAAAAGAAACGGGGAAAAATTGAACCCCGGGAACGGTACACAGGAGGAAAGTAGGTGCGTGGTCGACATGCGCGTTGGAAGTGGAAGATCCATGTTAAGGATTGTTATTAATTATCCTTGGTTATGTTACCATGTTTGTACGTTGGATCGATATACGAACTGTCCACTATTAATTTTCATATTAATCGAGGTTTTTATTTTTTTTCTGGATTTAAAAGGATGTCTACTTTTGGGAGGTTTCAGTTTTGCATATGATAGCGGGTATTGTTGATGTTGAGAGGAATCGTTGGTGTAGGTCAGGTGTTACGGTACACGTGAGAGTCGGCCATTGTCACCCGTCCTGTTATCATTTCCATTTCCACCGTGCCTTGAGCAATCTGGGCGGGAAATCGGTGGCCCACGTGTAATGTCTAACCCTGGGAATTTGTTGTTAAGAGTTAGGTATTGAAAAACGACCTGGAACGTGTAATCGGTGGGAAGGGAATCGCGAGTCGCCCTCGCGCCGCGAATGGGCCATTGTTCGTCATGATGTACAATAGGCAGATAAAGAGTAACCCGCGTCGTCATTTTTACCGTCAAGTATGAACCGGAAGTGCCGATTTACCTTAACCCACTATCGCCTCTATTGGCCAGGTAAAATGATTTTAACTGCAGGTTACGCTCGACTTGGGTTAACCTTCCGCGGAAGCCATTGTTCCTGCTCGATTCGCGGGACATGAAATGGAAATTCACGGTTCACGGACGGTATGGAATTGCAATGCGTAGAAGGAGCCCAGGAATTATTAATTCTCCCCTCCTCCAGTTAGAGTTAATTATTTTTCACCGATTAACCTCCTCCCTCCCCGATCGCTCCGGCACGTGACTTCCACCTTGTCGAAAGACAACTTTTAAAATTTTACCTTGAAATTCTTTTCAAAGTTTAATCATTTTTTTTTTATCAATTAATGTTTTGAATGTTCGTATAATAATTCTGAAATTTATTTACCGGTATCATTTTCCTCCTGCTCATCGAAACCTTTCGGTCGAAATAGGTATACACGAAATAGTGTTAAGTCCCTTTGTTTTTTATCGCCGCCGCGGAGTGGACATTTGATAAGCCTCGTTTACTTGGATAAGTCGCAGGGATACGTGCAAAAAGAGCGCATAAAACACGAATTGGACGATACCACCTGATGCGCAAAGTTACCAATCCCCGAGGTCCGTCAACTTCGGCGAAGCGATTCGACGTCACTTTGGTGCCTTTAACTCGGGAAAAGTTTTCCCAATTCCCCGGGTTCTTCTGATAAGTGCCCGTTGCCGGCGCTTGACGTGTTTACGTGAAACGCGATAGTCCCTCGATTCGATCTATCGATCGAGGTCTGCCGTGTTCGAGAAATTGAGCCTATCAACGCTGCGAACAGGAACGCTCGTCCACATAGCCTCACAGGTAAGTTTAGTGAACATTACCCCTGACATGGTTAATCATTTATTGTTAACACACTCGTGACCGGCGACGTGAATTCACGTCTTTTCAACTTCTATTCCTGGTCGCCGCTGACGTGAATTCACGTCATTTTAAATTCTATTCCTGATCGCCGCTGACATGAATCACGTCCATGACGATACACGATACAAGTTTGCAATCAGTTTAAGAATTTCATTATTTTCGCCGGTACTCAGTATTTCAAACGGGACAAATTTGCCAATGTGTTATGACACGAGGCAACCTTTCGGAGACAATGGAAAATTTAGAGAATTCCCCTCGGCCTTATGAATCATGTCCTGTAATTTAAAAGCCATTTAGAGATCTCCACAAAACTGAGTAATGACAGGGAAGGAAAAATTGTATTGTTTGGAGGTATTATTCATGACTTATGTAATATAATTATGTCCTTACGAGTCTGTAGTTCAGACTCGATTGGTTAATATTTAATAATTTGTTTAGTGGATCATTGAGCCTCAGGGAGGTCAAGATATTAATCCCGTCGAGGTTTAAACAATTTTCCCGAGGTTTGTCGGTTGTTTAAAGCTGTCCATGTATTTTTTTATTTATTTTATATCATTTATGTAACGTGATTATAATGTCCTTACGAGTCTGTAATTCAGACTCGATTGGTTAATATTTAATAATTTGTTTAGTGGGTCGTTGAGCCTCAGGGAGGTCAAGATATTAATCCCATCGAGGTTTAAATAATTTTCCCGAGGTTTGTCGGTTGTTTAAAGCGCTCCATGTATTTTCCTCGAGTAATGGGCTTTGGACTCCTTACATAATGCGACTTAAAATGAGTCACCTGTAGTTTCTCGAGATTTCGACACCTCGGTCTCTTGTTCATCGGACCGGAGATTGTTAAGGTCATTCCAACATTTTTACCATTATTACTTTCTAACATTTCCCTCGGGGTAGTTCCTCCGAACGAATAAATGGAACGTTTTCATTAAGGTGTCCTTATTCTCGGCCCGATTTCCGAGTCTCCTTCCTTTTTCCCTTTCTTCCTTTCTTTCTCTCCGGAATTTCCGGTATACGACACTCGGAAAGGTGCAGGCCATGAAACTGCAATTAAGTAAATGACAGACTGCAACGTGAACGTACTGAATTATTTTCATATTTTCATGCGGACGGAATAGATTCTTTTTCTCCCGGGGACGTTATTCTTCCTAGGTAGCTCGGTGACATTCCCCACGTGTTTCTGTAATGACATTATTACAGGTGTCCATTTTTTTTCCCCTACATCGTCATGCTCCAGTTCCTGGCCAGTCTTGAGAAGTCCTTTGCTTTTGCAATTCCTGAGACGATACCTCGCAAGGCCACCCGTTTAAGTACCACCAGACAGTAAAGTACTGTCCTAGTTTGAAATGTAAAACACCAGGAAATTACCACTAGGTCGGAAAAGAGAAATGTCAAATGAATCCTCCGAGATTCTGAAACGTGCAATTAGCTCGACATGACAAGCGACGTTGGCTTGTGTACGCCTCCGCCTGGCATTAACATTCATTTAGTAAATTGCATGATACTTGGTTTGTCAAGGGACGAATTAAGGTATTTTGCGTCTATTGATCGTTATATGTCACTCTGGACAAAGAAAGAAACGTCAAATCTAGACGGCCAACAGGAAGGCCTCTTTATCAACGAACAAAGCTTTCGGCAACATCATCTTCAAGGTCTGAACTCACCGAATGAAATCTGATAGAAGGCCGCATAAATCTCATCTACTCATTGCATTGTACTTGCATTTTTTATCATCGTTGTTACATAGTATAGGCTTTATTTTACCCCGCTCGAAAAACCCCCGAAAATCAAAACCTCCCATTTTTGTCAATCACGTGTGTCGTTTAGCATTGTAAAAGGAAATTATTTTTTTTTGTTATCGGGGGGAGTTTTCTTTTCAACGAGTCTATATGTTATGTCATTCGGTGGGGAATGGGAAATTTTCCCATCGTCGAACCGAGGAACTTTTTCGAGAGAAAATGCCTTCGGAACCAATACGACGGGTCAATAGAATTTCCATGACTACAGGAGGAGAGTCTGCCGTCTCCTTTATTTTCACCCTTGTCTTTTCGACTTTTCTATTTCCTTCCCATTTTCCGTCTCTCCCTGCGTGTTAGATTCCACTGTGCGATGCAATCTACAGGCGATGCACCGTAGAGTCACGTAAACCCGGGAAAGTAGTTTTCTCCTAAAGTTACTTCGGAAAATTGCTCCAGGAGGAGTGTAGAAAAGTTGCCTTTGAAACAGTTTCTGAGGACCCGAAGGGAGAGGAATGAAAGGAGCAACAGTCAGTCTGTAATCCCATGCGTCATGTGCAAGTACTCCCATATCGCGTTTCAATGATAAACTAAACCGTTTATATCGGATGTTTAATCTACTTTAGGCTTTAACGGCGAAGACTAAACATTAAGTCATGCCAGGCCGAAGAAACACATTAGGCATAAACAAAAAGGCCGAAGTGGAGGGCCACTTCTCCCATATCACTGTTTTGAAATATCTTTTTTCATTTTTTATGTATGCGTCAGGTTTATCGGGATATTCTGTGACTCATAAAGTCTGGTTAATATTACTGGAATAAGCTCACGGTGAAGTTGTGTTTAACAAGGAAAATAGATATGTCTACCTTGGGCGCCTTGGTGATCCTCCATTTAATTTTTCTATTATTCCTAATTCAAGAATAATTTTTTTATTCAATATAGCCGATTGGTTTCGATTACTGTTTCCTGTCGTAATGTCTGATCGAATTTCTGGTGATTCAATATTCCACGAGAAGATCGTTAAAGTTTTGCGACTCGAGCTAAAAATAATTGGCAGTCTATTTTCCTGCAATTACCTTGCCTAATTACTCATGATATAATTTTCGGTCTGGCATCTTCCACGAAAATGGAATGTAATCGATTAATCGATCTCGCTTCCCAAGTCCGGAATTAATATTTCATTTCCGCGAAGCCGCGATACGAACGCACTTGGAAATTTCGCAACTTTTATTGACAATGCCATTTTTCTTTCTTTCACCGGCAGTGCATTAAAAAGTGATTCACCGATTTCGCAAATTTAAGCCGGCCTAATATAATCGGATTTGCCGATTTTTATCGGATCAAATTGGACTCGCATCAGTGCTTCATAAATTGAAACTTAATACCGAATTTTCCTTTCTTTTTTTTTCCTCTTCGGTTCAAGTAAAATGACGCTGAATATTTATGAATAAATCTCTAGTATCTGATTTTAAGTAAATAATGCAATACGAGTAATAAAATACGAGATAAAATATCCCGGATTAAAAAACAGAAGGAAATAATTTTTGTTTACATGAACATGTGACGAAAGGAATAAATCCATATTTCTCATAGAACTGATTAGAGTACATTTTCTTTTTACGGTCCAGAAATCGAGTTTCAGTTATTTCGACGGATTCAGATTAAATTATTAATATCACCGAGGACTGGGCAAAATTGAACACGGACTGCATCGATCAATTTACCTAGGTACTGATTACACCTTGACAGAAATTGATGATTCCTTGCTCCAGATAATCCCTCCCGAAATTCAAGATAAAACGTCAGGGTGCATAGCGAACGAACGGCCGATCTGTTAATTTGGGGAGATAAACCGTCACGGAGATGCGTGTGCAAACCGCAAATGTAGGGAAAAACGTGTACATTGCGTGACAGCCATCCGTTTGCGGCATGCAGGAATCATTACAAGGATCTCTCAACATCATCCGAAAGTTCCACGAGATTCAAAACGAGCTAAATGAATGTGTAACACGGAATCGTGGCTTGCAGAATCGCCGATTAAATTACCATCACGATTTGATACCAAAGATTGGGATTAAATTCCCATATTTCCTTTCCTCATTGCACGCATTACATAATTTGTTTTTTACTCCCACGCGCAAGTCCAATGATCGGTACGTTTATTTCATGAAACAAGACCTCCGTAAAGCCACCTCCCATCAATTATAAAAATGTCTAAAATGTCAAAAGGTTGTAGGAGGATGTTTTTTTTATGGGCGCAAGGATGCAAAGGATCATTGTCACGGAGAGGCTCTTTAGGGATGCCTTCCGTCACTCCGGGTAATATTTAATTCAATCGATGCCGGATTTATGACAGGATCAAACCCCCCCGCATTCCCGAAATTTTCCCCTTCCGCAAATATTTAATCTTGAAAGCCGGAAGCCGTTTGCGGCGGGATGCCGGTGTACGTACATACATCGCGCGCGCAACAATAGAGTCGGTGCGCTGATTCTGGTACCGAAATCCTCGGAGAACCCGATCCATGGAACCCCTCGCCGGGAAATATCGGAGGCATTGAAAACATTGGGAACATTGAAAACGCCGGGGAACATCGAAAAGGCGGGGCGTTACACCTCTGGAAAGAATCGCGCCGATCCGCCGGGAATCGAGCGGCCTCTTCAATGCCGGGAATCGAGCGGCGTCTAGGATACAAGGGCGATTCCGCAGGTCGAACAATCCGCGAGGAAACGTCAAATGTGGAGCGATGGGAACATTGAAAACGTTGGAAACATTGAAAACATGGGGCGTTACACCTCTGGAAAGATTCGCGCCGATCCGCCGGGAATCGAGCGGCCTCTTGAATGCCGGGAATCGAGCGGTCTCTCGAATGCCAGGAATCGAGCGGCGTCTAGGATATAAGGGCGATTCCACGTGTCGAACAATCCGCGAGGAAACGTCAAATCTGGAGCGATGAAAACGCCGGGAATCGAGCGGCCTCTCGAATGCCAGGAATCGAGCGACGTCTAGGACACAACGGCGATTCCGCGCGTCGCACAATCCGCGAGGAAACGTCAAATCTGGAGCGATGCGTGTCAAGGGAGAAGACAGATATACGAGGGTTGGATTTTGCGAGGAGAATCCTCCGGGAATCGCGCCGATTGATTCGGTGTCATCGGCCCAGCCCGATGACAATGCCGGCTACACCGTAGTTCTCGAAATCGTGA